CGGAACCGCGCGTATGCCTTTGATACATCACCATCAAGTGGGCAGAGGTGGCATATACGCATTGAGCCACTTCACCAATTTCTCAACGAGAACTAAACATAGTCACAGGTATGAACGAGTAGGCGAAATGACGGACTCCGCGTTTGATAAAGCGTAGTCCGCGAGTAAGAAGTAAGACGTAAGACATGGGGATGTGGGTCAGATCAAATTCATTTCAGCGCGATAGATCAATGAAATATGACTATGTTTGCGGCGGCCAGAGGCCTGGAGCTGTTTGCCCAGATGTTTGCCCGGAATCACGATTCATGACCCGGTGTTGGGGGCGGGCTAATCCATATGATTCTATACCAGTCCAACCTTTCGAAACAACCCCGACTGAGAAAGTCCTCCTGGATTCCATCTATCCGACCTCCCCTGGCCAACGATAAGAGTTCATGTACCTGGGCCTCACAAGTAGCAAGGGCCCGCGCGCGAAGAAGGCGATAGCCAAAGAGATAGAATCCGATGCCAGCACCAGCAGCGGAAATCAGGGCCGCAGCCAGGTTACGATAGGAGGGGGAAAGCGCCCCAAGACACAGGATAATCCTAGATTTAGCACCAGTCAGTTTCTCGTCTTTCCGACAAGCGCATAGACTAGAACCATCTATACTTACCAAGTAAGTGTCTTCGTTTGTCGGCCCGGATTGTGTACCTTGCGGAGGTCTTGAAGATGACTTGCAACACGCGACAGGTCCCTGATGAGAAAGTCCCAGTGTACAAGAAGGAGGAACATGGCTTGAGTTGAGGGGGATCTATCTCCTATCGGTTCTTCTGGGAGTTGCGATGGCTTAAGTTAGTGGGGGAAAGGCAAAAAGGAAGAAGAAGAAAAACGGCCCTCGTGCGTTGTTTGTGCGGGTCTCAGATGGAGGTGATCTGGTTCTGGAACGTTGGTTACTGTACCTTTTCTCAATGATTCGGCGTAGCTTCTCAGCACTTTGCCGCGCCATTCAAGAAAACTGTTTAGGTGGTAATCTGCAGATAGCCTGCAGACCTCGTGACGAGACCAGAATTCTCCTGGAGGTGCCGGGCCCTGCTGCTGCTGCTGCCCTGGACTTGATCTCGTGGGCAACTTATCGGTGATATTGTTTTGGGGCCAGGGGGGGATGAATGCCGCGGTCGAGACGGAGACAAGGCTGTCACTGGATGGATGGCATTGCTATTGCTCGGAGCAGGGGAGGATTCGTCTTTGCTGATTTCTGCCATGGTGAAAAGACGATTTCTTCATATTCTTTTGTGGAGAAAGATGGGAAACTGAGAGAGAGTCGATAACTGGCCCTCTCCAATGCGGCGGGTGCTTGATATATTACCTCGTTCTCATCTTTGCTACCACTTACAAACAACTAAAGAACGAAACCCTGTGCTGACTCGAACCTTGCCCCATCCCTACTCTGGAAAAAGATGGAAGAGAGCGCCGAACTAGGCCATGCCCTTTATTGAGACGACGAAAAACATGAAAACATTGAAGCTGCTCTCTGTCGAGAATTCCAGACTTCTAGTCGCGTCAAGGCGGCCTTAGATCTCACCATTGCTTGATGTTCGCCAATAATTAGAGGGGCTTTGAGTTAAAGGACTGGGATGTCTAAACATAAAGGCGACCTACTTTTCCACTCCTCCTACTTGTCGGCATCTCTTTTTATCTTCTTGCTTTCATCGCCTCAACATTCCAAAACCAAGGGCTCAAGAATTGGGTTGTACGACTAGTGCGCCATCAAGAAGATTATGACGGAGGCGGCCAGGACAACTATGTCTCATTTGAGGTGACCATTATCCCTTCACTGCATTAGGTCGGAGGGAGTCGCTAATTCTGACTGCTTGCGAGGCTCCAAGCTCTAGCGCGCGTTCTTCTGAAAACTATCTCTAGAACTGCGCTGACATACGGGCAGCACCCCATTGCGCATATGCACCTACGGCTGCGGTGCCCCTGGCTCCCTTGGACCAGAGATGAGCTCGCGAGTCTCGGAGAAGAGGTCAAGCATTGCGCGTGTAGGCGTGACAGGCACTGCCATGGCTGTTTGTTACACCCTGGAGACTTTGCCAGGGATGAAACGAAGCTCAATAGACGGATAAGGTATTCGAAGACGAAAAGCGCTCGAGATTTCAGTTAGCGTGAGTGGGCCCTTTCGGGGTCCCTCTGACAAGTGGTATTAGCAGTTGACCTTCTACTTAGACTAGAGTAAGGACTGGAGAAGAGGATGAAGGAGGGATAGGGAAACTTTGGCCCTCTCGGCCTGCACTCACCTGCAAGGAACCAGACGAAGTACCCTTCCCCAGAAGTAGAGCATCCATTGAGACTCTTGCCCTTGGCTGCTCCGACAGCGCTCACATCGTGGCACAACTTCGGGGTTAAGCTGCACGATGGAGAAACTTGTAGGTGGAGAGAGCAAGAGCGAATTCCCCGCCACTTAGACATGTAGGCTATGATGGGGAGGAGACGGCAGCCAAGGCCGAGGGTCCTGTGCGCTCCGCCACCACAGCTTATATTGGTGTGGGGTAATAACATGGCGAATCTCTTCCTCGAGGATTGGACTTTCGCTGTAGTTGTACTGTTGGAGTTTCAAGGATGGCCGAAAGGCTTCGTGGAACGGGATGGAACGATGGCGTTCCGCGTGCATTTGTAGTATGTAAGACGAGAATGCATACACGACACACGAAGGTCGACGTGGACACCTCTGGTCCGGTAAGGAATAGCAAGGTAAACGCCCAACTTGTGTTCAAGACAACTCGTATCATAGCTAATAGTGAGTGGTAGAGACGATATTCGACGAGTTACATTGCATAGGCGGGACAGAATAAGCCACAACGTGGCACTGGGTTCACGACGTAAATGGGCCGAAAGACCAGCTCTTCGGCTTCACCAGAGTTGAGCGCCAAGAATCCGGGATGCAGCAGCAGGGAGGGTGACGGCACACTCCACTCCCCGACAGTCTGTTAAATCCTCCTGCGGAGACATGGGACTTATAAATAGCTGAGAATACAAAGGAGGAAGATGGGTAGAAACGCTGTGCTTATACTTTCCTCCCTGCTGAGGCACATCCGCATAAGTTGGTTACACGAGCGTCGAAATCCATGAGCGGGACGGCAGTGAAGAGAGTGAAAGGAGTGAAGAGAGGCGTACCAGTACCGGTCTCCCGGTATAAATCCCCATTGAGTGCTACTCCGAAACTCTGCATCTTCAATATGCACACTTGAACTCTTCGCGACGACGAAAGGGCTAAGAAGAGCTGGGTCACCGGTGACATATCTGCAATATCAAAATCTTCGTTCGGATCTGATCCTGCTGTGTGACCGTGCCCCTATGAGGTATTATCGTCTTCACAGAACCCAGAATGAATCTTGTTGTATAATCTCGACCTTTGATTCCTGGAATCGACCAGGTTGCCCTCAGCCACAAAAACCCCGGCAAAGGATGCGGAGATGCTACGGCGGAATGGTGATCAACAATCGTGGTCGTATGACCGGTAAGGTGCTCCTGCTCACCCTCGTCACGTTGCCTGCCGCTACAAGTAGTTTATAAATTGAGAAGGAAGACAGAAAAAAAAATGCCAAGGAGCCTGTGTCGATGGATCGTCGTCCATCGCCCCTGTTGGAACTTCGCACTGCCCCGCCCCGTCTCGTCGGACCGTGCTCGATGCTGTGCTAATTCAAAGTTCCCTGCGCAGATCAGTGGGTTGACGGCTACCGGAAAGCCATCCGCCTGGCTGCCTGGCGTGGCCTTTTCTGTCAGAAGGACATTGCGGATTTAGGGCAATGGGCTGTGCCTGTCCACTGCTTTCCCGGTGTAACCGCTGCGCTTATTGACGCCCTGACTCTGATGACATCTACCACTTCAGGGGGGTTCGTTCGGCGCTCGTCCTCCAATTCGCATCGATTTCCACTCCTATGAGAATGTTCCCAATCCGATCATAGCAGAGAGAGAGAAATGGCATTACTTTGCAGTTGATGGAATGAACTCGCCCCATTGAGTGTAGACAGGGTCCGGTGCCTCAAGGGAATCTTGAGAAGAGTGACCCATAAGCTTGACCGGGGGTTGATTCGAGGCCAGACTGGGGAAGGATGGTCATATTGGCTTATCCGCGATGGGACAACAGAACAGTAGCCTTAAAGTAGTATAGACTTCAGGCACATTTCGACTTTGTCCCCAGTACCGCCTGGAGCGCCTTCCCCAATGTATCTGGTTACGACAGATTCTTCTTGCAAAAATGTGAAGAAATCCTGGGAGATGTGCGTAGCATGCTGGGTTATTATGCAACTTCCTCTAAATGCTGGATGGCCCAATGCATCCTGTGCTACACTTGGTACTTGGATATGTAGCACAGAAAAGAAAAAAAAAAGAGGGAAAAAATTTAGCAGCGAGTTCAACTCCTACATTGGCAGGACGATGTCATAAGCGTTTCGTATAATTGGGCCAGCGCTGGGAAAGGCGCCCAAGTTCACTTTGGACATGATTAATGGATCATGGCTCTAGATTTGAGGACATTTGATAGAAGCTCTCGATGCTGGAGACCAGCTGACACTGGCTCATTGGTGGCTGATGGCGAATTTTCAGTTGTCAACCAGTTGGTTGTGACCGCTGGAGCTTCCTGCCAACGCACGTGATGTTCTGAAGCTTTCTATGCCGTGCCACACACAGAGCTTGATGCTGTGGCTTGATCTGTGGCTAAGTCTCCACACTCCACGTCGACATTCTCCACGGTCGTGTGAATTGAGAGATTCCGCGCTCTTGCCCTAGCAAAAGCCGTTCTCAAACGTGAATCTTCGACTTGTTTCCCCCATTAACTACGTCCTGCTTTCTCTCCTCCACAATCGCGCATACAAAGCGCCTCTCTAGCCCCCTAAAATCTCCTTCAAGCAATCTCCTTCGATCGTCGTCAACACCTCGCGTGACTACGAAACTCGTTAGACCAAGGCCAGCGTATCTCTCATTTTTCCTCCCCCATTGATCGCCCGAATTCACCGCCAAGATGATGGACCAACGAGAACTCGACGCGAGGGTAAAGGCGTTGAATAAATCGATTTCCGCAAACGAACCCGCCGCCAACGCCTTGGCTCTATTGAAGACGTTGAAGGAGGATGCGGCCCCAACGGAGGAGATGCTTCGGGTATGATCCTCATCTCCCTTCTATGAGTCTCCTTTATTTGCCCCCATGGCCAACACATGAAAACTCCAGTTTTTTCCCCGCCATTTTTCGCTCTCCTCGCCAAATTGCCAATTTTTGGGGGAATAAGGGCGTACAATTTTACTGACAAAATCTGGTTCCATCACTTAGGCGACTAGAGCTGGTGTCCTCGTAGGCAAGCTCCGATCCCACCAAAACAAAGAAATCGCCGCCGCCGCCGCCCAACTGGTTTCGAAATGGAGAAAGCTCGTCGAGCAAGAAAAGCTAGCCAAAGCCAAGCACGCAAAGCTAGGATCCCCAGCCTCTCGCGCGTCGCCGGCCCCCTCGGCAGCCACGACGTCAGCGGCGGCGACGGCGGCGGCAGCTTCGAGTGGTGGTGCCCCCAAGAAGTACCAGGGCGATCCCGAGAAGCGACGGGCGGAGACGGACAAGGTCGACACGAAGAGGACCAAGTCGGATATTCGCAACAACTGCATCAAGCTCATGTACAACGGTCTCGCGTACCGGTCGACGGATCACCAGGATGTTGTGCTGGCCAAGGCCGTCGCCGTCGAGGATGCGGCGTTCAGGCTGTACGGGGGCGATGAGAAGAACAAGGAGTATCCCAAGAAGATTCGTTCGCTGTTCCAGAATCTGAAGAATAAGACGAACGCCGAGCTCGGTCGCAGTGTTATGGCGGGCGATATTTCACCGGACCGCCTCGTGTCGATGAGTGACGTGGAGCTCCTATCATCCGAGCAACGCAAGACGAATGAGCTGTATGAGAAGGAGAATATGAAGAAGGCTCAGGTGCCCATGATGGAGAAGAGCGTTACCTCTGAATTCAAGTGCTCGAGGTGCGGTCAGAGAAAAGTTTCGTACAACCAGGCACAGACGCGCAGTGCTGACGAGCCGATGACGACCTTTTGCGAGTGCACTGTCTGCGGTCACAACTGGAAGGTGAGAATTCTCTACAGTTTTCGAGAGGTGTTCGATCGGGAAGCTAATTGTAATCTAGTTTTCGTAAACTTCATCAGCCCCGGCAGCTTATTAGGCTGTGAGGGTTGGGTTCTTCTAATGCTGGAGATGTTCATTACACTTTTTCTACTTGTCCATTTTCTTCTTCCCATTGTCGTTTTTTTTTTTTTTCCTCTCCACCTCTTTGTGATGCGATTCAAGCAATGATGAGATGACAACTTCCCCTTCACGTCTCACTGGAACATTGCATCGGTTTGGTTGTTTCCTTTTATTTTCTTTTATCCTCATCCCCTGATGAATTTCACTGCGAGGAGTTCCGGCAGGATCAGGTGCCCTAGGCCAAGGGGTGGTTTACTTTGAGAAAGGAGAGCGGAGGAGGCGCGCTCGTGAGTGAGAGTGAGCAACTGAAAGCTCCGTTGTGGTTTTTTAGAGCCAACACTCTACTTTTTCTGTTACATAGATTCAATCCAAGCCTTGCAAAGGCAGACTCACGTTGCAACTTCTTTTTTTTTTTTTATCAAGATGCAAAGAAGTACAAGATTTATTTAGCTTTTGGTGATACATCTATTCCCACAGCCTTAAAGAGATCTGCACCCTCATCCCCCTCCTCCAGCCCCATCTCCCCGATATGTTTCCAAAACTTGCTGACATGCCGCGTCCCGGAGTCGCAAAGCAAGGTGACCAGCCTGCTCCCAGGTGGTAGCTTCATAGCCGTCACGACAGCCGCGACGCAGTTAACAGCACTGCTGCTCCCGACGAATATGCCATCATTCTCAACAAGCCACCGCGCCATCCTCGCGGCCTGGTCATCCGTCACCTTGACGGCATCGTCGATGAGTTCCCTCCCGACCTCGAAGTTGTTCGTGATACGGTTGATGCCCACGCCCTCGACCATGGAGTCGACCTGCTGGCGTCTCCGAGTGCCCTCCTTCTCGGTGGGCGAGTACATGACGCCGTGGCGAATCTTGTTATACAGTCCGCTGCCCTGCGGATCGGCGAGGATGATCCTCACGTTGTTAAGCTTCATCTCCTCCTTTAGATACTTGGCGACGCCGGATATCGTCCCTCCCGTTCCCGCACCGGCGATAAAGGCGTCTATATCTCCTCCTGTCTGCGAAAATATCTCGGGGCCCGTCGTCTTTATGTGTGCTGTGTAATTCGCGTCCGACTCGAACTGGTCTGCAAAGAACCCGACGCTCCCGTCGCCGTGAACGGCCTCATGTTCCCTGGCGCGTGTCCTAGCGAGATTGACGAAATGGCCCGGCGAAGTAATCGGTGCGACGGGCACGCGCTCGACGACGGCACCCAGGTGTCTCAGCAGGTCCGACTTTTCCTTGCTCTGATCGTCTGGCATGCAAATGTGCGCCCTGTAACCTTTCGCCCTAGCCAATGTGGCCAGTGAAATCCCGGTACTCCCCACCGTACCTTCGTATATGGTATCGCCTCGACCAGGCACGAGCAGACCCTTCTCCTCGGCGACCTGTATCATGTTGAGTGCCACGCGATCCTTGGGACTTCCTCCGGCGCCATTGAGGAATTCCGCCTTGGCTAATATCTCCCTTCCCGTAGCTTCCGAAAGACTCTTGATCCTAACCAGCGGCGTATTCCCTATACACCCTTCGAGGCCCTCGACGATGGCGGATATATCGACCTCGACGGCTTCGTGGTCCTGCAGCGTCACGGGCCCGCCTCCGAGCCCTCCGCCGAAGAAGAAGAGGCTGTCGCGGCGCGCATCGGATTCTTGTTTCGATAGTGTTATCGTGCTTCTTCGTCTTTGGCGGCGGCGGCGGCGTTGCTGGTATCGGTTTTCGAGATCGGGGTAGACGTCCTTGAAGCCGAGTGTCACGAGGACACCTGTGACGAAGGCCAGTGTTATGGCGGCGGTGCCATAGGCCTTGGGATGGTCGCTTAGGGACATTGTTCGGGTTTCTCTTCTTATTCCACCATGATCAAGGCTATGAATCGGAGATAGAGAAAATCACGAGAGAAAAAGATGGATTCTCATGTTGAAGCTTGAAAGAGAGAGCTGTGAGCTTAGTCAGGAGAATTTCAACAGTCCGAGATGACGTCTTCGAAGAATAGAAGTTTGAGTGGACCAAGTACCTTGTACAATTCTCCGGGTATGACTAAGCAAACTTGCTCAAGCTCAGGACATCCCATATCCCCAATTCTTCTCAAAGAACCAATCCCAAAGAGGGAAAACAAAAAGTTGCCCATTGTTCTGAAAATCCCCGACCGACTCTGCTTCGGCCCCCCTCTCACCTCTCCAGCCAGTCATGCTTCCAATGACTTATGACGGATGAGGAATGGACTCTCCGATCATGGCCGGCCTCATCCGGCAACTCTTTCAACAACCGGCCTGCCAGGCCACTAGACGGTCACTCTCGAGGATAAGACCGACGGCCCCTTGGCCCAGCACCACCGCCGCAGACCCATGCAGGCGTCACATGTCCTCTCGGAGAGCCGCCGCGGCGACTGCAGCAGCAGCGGGCGGCAGGGACAAGAAGAAAGGGAACGATGGACGGTGGCAGCAGCGGAGCGATTTATTACCGGAGGACAGGATATCGGAGTTTGAGTCGTTTCCTATGGTGACGGCGAAGGATTTACGGACGCATAAGCAAAGGCCGAGGAGAGTGAAGATGCTGCTCCGGGATTTCATAGAGGGTGAGTGCTTGGGCGGCAGGTGGGAAGGAGGGGAAGAAGAACTATTCACAGGCCCCCAAGAAGCTTCGTAAACGGAAACACTAAACCCCTACGTAGACAGTCTATACAACCCCCACTACGGCTACTTCTCCAAAGAAGCCGTCATCTTCAGCCCCGGCGAACCCTTCAACTTCCCCGCCATGCGCGACAACATCGAGTTCTACTCCGAGCTAAGCCGGCGCTACACCGAATTCGAAGACCGCCTCGACTTAGCCGAAGGCGCCGAGAACCCCACGCGCCAGCTCTGGCACACGCCCACCGAGCTCTTCCGCCCCTACTACGGCGAGGCCATCGCGCGGTACCTCGTCGCCAACTACCACCTCACGTCGTACCCCTATCACGACCTCATCATCTACGAGATGGGCGCCGGGCGCGGCACGCTCATGCGTAATATTCTGGATTATATCCGCGACATGGACCCGTCGGTGTACGACCGCACAAAGTATCGCGTGATTGAGATTTCCTCGTCGCTGGCGGCCCTGCAGGCAAAGAACCTCGCGGGCGACCACGCCGACAAGGTCGAGATTATCAATAAGTCCATCTTCGACTGGAGGGAGAGCGTGCCGTCGCCGTGCTTCTTCCTCGCCATGGAGGTCTGGGATAACTTTCCCCACGACGGCATCCGGTATGATCTCGAGACCGAGGCGCCGATGCAGGCCGTCGTCCTCGTCGATTCTGACGGCGACTTTTACGAGTTTTACACGCCGGAGCTAGATCCCGTCGCTGCGCGCTTCTTCCGCGTTCGTCATGTTGCCACGGGCGGGCGCTATCCTCACCCTTACCCCTCGCATCCTTTCTTGAGGAAGTTGCAGAAGAATATGCCGCTGGCGGGAAACCTCTCCGAGCCCGAATATATCCCCACAAGGCTCCTGCAGTTCTTCGAGGTTTTGGAGAGGTACTTCCCCGGGCATAGGCTACTAGCTTCAGATTTCCACTCTCTTCCTCAGGCTATTAAGGGGTTGAATGCCCCTGTAGTGCAGACTCGGTTCGAGAGGAGGATGATTCCCGTGCGGACGCCCTTGGTATGTATCTCATTCACTTTTTATCACGGATTTCTCTTTTCCGAGTTGATATGCTAACGGAAAGCGTTACACAGGTCCACCAAGGCTACTTCGACATCCTCTTCCCCACAGACTTCCAAATCACGGAATCCATCTACCGCGCCATCACGGGAAAATTGACCCGCGTGCTCACCCACGAGGAGTACATGCGCCGCTGGGCCTTCGTCGAGGATACCGAGACGCGCACGGGGGAGAATCCCCTGTTGAGCTATTACCAGAATGCTAGCGTCATGTTTACCCTGTAAAAGCGGATTTTTTCTTCTTTTTGATTTTACTAGCTGGGGTTGGTATAACCCCCTGTTCCTCTCCTCTCCCTCCGTTTAAGAGGCGTTGAGGTCGATGTGTTGTAAAGAAACTTGTATAAATAGCGGGAATGAAAATGGATAGAGAGCAAAAAGACACGGAAGTGGGCAAGGGGTCGTTGAGAAATGACCCTCTCTCCCCCATAATATAGAATATACCCTTCTTTTAGACTCGGTGAGTGAGGGACGATGAGAGGTGACAACGTTTTAACAGTCTTTATATTTACAATTCGTCTCGTCGACGAAAATCCCCTCCCCAGCTTCCTTGTAACCCATGAACACTCTAAAATCACGAGGTATGAGAAGGGATATATATCTCATTCCGGTTTTCTTCTAAATTAACACACAGGAACCCCCAAACCGTCATCATAATATTTTACAACTTGAGCTTCTCCTCGAGCCACTTCGCAGCGACGGAGACGGCGTCATCAATAAGCTCGGGCTTGGCACCCTGTCCTTGCCTCGTGGGCTCCTTGCCGCCGGCACGACCGCCAATGACCTCCGTCACGCTGGTAGCCCAGGCCTCGGCGGTAACACCATTAGAGGCGAGATGCTGTTAAAGGGGAAATAGTCAGTAAGGGGTGGACTTCGTAAGATGTAGGTCCGGGCAGAGTAAACTTACAGTTCCAACGTAGACGGCATGACAGACAGCGCCTTCCTCCTTGCTGCCACCAAAGAGATACACCGACTTCTCCTTATCCTTAGACTTGTAATAGTTGACAACTTCGGAGATAGCCTTGGCATTAGCCGAAATGGGCAACCGTCCAACGAACCACTTCGCCTCCTCATCCTTCTTGAAATGCTCGAGAACGGCATCCATGGCGGTCTTCGACTCAGCCTTCTGGCGCTTCTTCTGCTCAGCGAGAACAGCCTGCGAAATCTTCTCGAACCGCTTCTTCAACGCATCCTTGGTCAGCGTGGAGATTGTGAGCTGGGAGAGGTCGACGCCGGTGGTCTTGACAGCCTGCTCCTTCTCGGGTCCGTTGGGGAGCTTCTCGAGGGCGTCGAGACGCTTGGAGAAGTCGTCGGCGATGCGCTGGCACTCGTGGGCGGCGTCGCCGGTGTAGGCGATGATGCGGCGGATGCCCTTGGCGATGCCAGACTCCTCGACGAGGATGAAGTCCTTGATGATGCCAGTCTGGTCGACGTGGGTGCCACCGCACAGCTCGATGCTGTACTTGTGCCACTCGGGGTTCTTGGGGTCGGCGACCATCTTGTCGATGTCCATGCCGACCGAGACGAGGCGGACGGGGTTGGGGTAGGTCTCGCCGAACACGGCACGGCATCCTTCGATGGACCTGGCGACGTCGAGGTCGAGGTCCTTGGCGTAGATCTTGACATTCTTCTTGACCCATTCGTTCGAGAGATCCTCAATCTTCTTGAGCTCTGGAAGGGTAACGGCGGTCTTGTGCGAGAAGTCGAAGCGGAGCTTGTCTGCGTCGACGAGGGAACCCTTCTGGTGCACATCGTCTCCAAGGACCTCCCTTAGAGAGTGGTTAAGGATATGGGTGCTAGTATGGTTATTCCTGATGGGCGATCTCCGGAGCTCATCGTAATCGCAAACGACCTCATCTCCGGCGGAGAGCTGGCCGTACTCGAGGTAGCCGTTGTGTACGATGTACCCGCCGAATGCCTGGACATCGAGAACCTTGAATTCGGTGGAGCCATCAATGACTAACCTGCCGGTGTCGGCAACCTGACCACCAGATTCGGCGTAGAAATTGGTCTTGTCGAGAAGAACGCCGATAGGCGTGTTGGGGGGGAGGTCTTTAGTGGACTTGACGAAAGCCTTGCCGTCGAAGATAATCTGAACCTTGCCGGCAATCTCCTCCTTGCGGTACTTGGCGTCGTCGTCGGTCCGCTCGATGGCGAATTGCTGCTCCAACTCGGCAATCTGGTGGACGTTGAGCTTGCTGAAAGTCTGGACCGCATCCTTGACGACCTTGCTAGCTTCCCTGGCCTTCTCGCGCGCAACCTCGACCTCGGAATCATCAATTTTAAGTCCCTTCTCCTCAGCCATCAACTTGGTAAGATCGACGGGGAAACCGAAGGTCTCGTAGAGAAGCCAGACAAGAGCACCGTCGAGCTTCTTGTCCTCCCTAGCGAGCGCATCTTTGGCGTACCTCTCGAATTGGACCTCACCACGGTCCAGGGCACGGGCGAAGGCGACTTCCTCCTCATCAAGGATCTCCTGAATATCCTGTTGCTTCTTGACAATCTCGGGGAACTCCTCACCCATCTGCTGCACCAAGGCCGGAAGGATCTTGGAGAAGAAGGCACCAATCTCGGTATTGAAGTACTTCCTGGCATAGCGGGCACCACGACGGAGGACTCGGCGGACGACGTAACCGCGGCCGTCGTTATTGGGGACAGCACCGTCGGCGATGGAGAAGGTCAAGAGTCGGATGTGGTCGGCAACAACACGGTAGGCGGTATCGATGCCGTCGGCATCATCCTTTCCATACTTGTCGCTGTACGGCCGGGCACCAGTGACTTCTTGTATTTGCTTGAAGAGAGGAGTGAACACGTCGGTGGCGTAGTTGGAGGTGGTGTCTTGGAGGGCCGAAACGAGACGTTCGAAACCCATGCCGGTGTCGATATGCTTGGCGGGAAGGGTCTTCAAGCTCTTGTCCTGTTGGCGATCGAACTGGATGAAGACGATGTTCCAGACCTCGACCACGAGAGGGTCGTCCTGGTTGACGAGGTGCGATGCATTGCGACCACCGCCAACCTTGTCGTAGTGGATCTCACTGCAGGGACCGCAAGGGCCTTGGTCGCCCATCTCCCAAAAGTTGTCCTTCACATTTCCGGGAAGGATGTGGTCTTCGGGGACGCCGACAGATCTCCACAGCTCCTTGGCCTCCACATCAGGCTCAAGCCCCAGGGCCTCGCTGCCCTCGAAGTAGGTGACGTAGAGGCGCGCAGGATCCAGCCCGTACACCTTGGTCAGAAGCTCCCAAGCCATCTCGATGGCCTCCTTTTTGAAATAATCTCCAAAGGACCAGTTTCCCAACATTTCGAAGAATGTCTAAATGTACTTGTTAGCTCGCGGTCGTCTCTCGGGTCTTATCAGACGTATCGTGACCTACATGGTGATAGCTGTCCTTGCCGACATCGTCAAGATCCTGTTTTAGTTAGAGTCAGTCTATATTCGAGGGCAGCGGCGCATAGATATGGATCGACAGACGTTATGTTTGCCTCCAGCACGGATGCACTAGTAAGAGAGGATATTAGCAATCTCGATTTGCAGACCCTTGTCATTGGAGAGGAGTACCTTTTGGGTATCGGCAGCACGCTTCAGGTTCGCCATATCATCCGTCTTTCCAACGGTTCCGAGGAATATGGGCTTGAATTGGTTCATGCCGGCATTGGTGAAGAGAAGGGTGGGGTCATTGTGAGGGACGACGGAGGAGGACGGGACTGCAGGAGGCGAGGCGAGCGTTAGCTAGGTCGAGACGAATTGGCAAGCAATTGAATGGAAACAGAGCAATGTGCGACTGGCAGAGCTGATTGGGAAGGCTGGAAACACAAGCGAGAGGTGACTCAAGGCCAAGGAAGCAAAGAAAGCCATTGCGACCGCAGTGACTAGGGCAAACGACAGTCTAGAGACATGCTCTCGAACACAACAGACAAGGCAAGCCGCTATGCTTTGCTGTGCGGTTTATATCCACTCCCTTCACAAGCCCAAGACAAAGGAACAAGGTCTTTCAACATACCGATAGTATGGCCCCGCTCCGCAAAGAAATTGTGGAAAGTCTGGCGGACCTTTTGGCCAGTCCACTTATCCGCCATGGTCGGCAGAGTCGAGTAGTTTCGTGTAGAGAAGAGTCGGGGGTTACGCTGGAGGATAGAAGAAAGGTGTCGCGCTCGGAAACAGGAGGGAGTAGGGTTCGTTCGGATGTTGTTGCTGTTGTTGTTGTGGGAAAAAGAAGAAAGAGAAGGTATCGCGGCGGCAGAAATCTCGAGAGTATTATTTCGTGTAGTAGGAGCAGCGGTGGCGGAGTGTAAATTGGTGGTGGTGGGGTAGTTCCTGGAGCGATGAGGGGCTAGCAAACTCTCAAAATTATCGATAGGACAAGGAGGACAAGGATGAGTCAACGCCGCCGTCGGGGCGATAACAGCTGGCAGAAGATAAGGCGGAAAATCGCGGTTAGATACGTATACATCTGAGAGCTGCGTCGGGAATTTTGTGGTGGTCTGAAAGGCAAAGACCGCAGGCGTTTCTGGAACAGCAAGAGCGGCCTTGCCGAAATGCAGCTGTCTTCGCTGCTGCTGGCGAAGCAGCCGCCTCAGCACAGTCATACTGGCCTAGTAAGTTCAGAATGCTGTCACATCAATACAGCATTCTCCCTGTCATCTAGTCATCGCATCGCGGATTACTGAATTGGCGTGGGCTCTTAAGAAAAGGGAGCAGCTGCATCATCCATGCGGTCAATTGGTTTGGAATTGATGGTCTGGTCGCGAACAGATTGACCAGGCAAAGGTGGGGATTTGCCGAGGTCAACCCGGAATTTCAGCGCTCCCTCAGCTCGTCTCAACTTGAGCCTGAGTCTGCGTCCCAGGCCATGATGAAGCATAAGGCATGAAATTGGTTTACTTCACAGTTTAAGAAATAGCAATTGACTTGGATTCTCTGGCTTGGATTCTACGGCTGGTCCAGCCCCATGTCAGCGCTTCGTAATAGGTCAACTGGTGTCTTTGAATCGCCAAGCTTGTGCATCGAGCGGGGAAGGACATGGAGTGTGCATATCATCCTGGTGCGGGCAGAACAATGACACCAGTCCGGATCGGAGCTCAAGATAGGATGTCCTCTATGTCCTGTTCCAATCCACGGGATTCCAAGCTGAGCTGGCTGCAGTTGAGACCTGGAGTTTCTCCCCAGCGCTCAGGGGGCGACAAAGACAAAGGGCGTTGCCGAAAATGCGACTTCTCGTAGGGGGGACCGGCGTAAAACTCTCTCTGGATCACCTGTTGCGGGGTACAAGCGATGCCCACCAAATCCCTTTGTTCGATGCGGTACAAGTCTGTACCCCTCTACCTTTTGTACTTTGCCAGCGGAATGGGATCGAATCGCGCAGAGTCTCTCAGAAGCCACGGCACGCCCCGACACTGTGCTAGTGCCTTCCACAATCGCAATCCCGTGCTTATTCCGGCGCTTCCCAATCCCCACTTACACGGGGGAAGCTGCCACTGAGGATCGAATTAGACTCACCCATCCTTTTTCCCTCCATCTTCCCACCAAGTCCATGGTCTACGTACGACTCCAATTTCCCTTTTTATAAAGCGAGTGAGATCCCGAAATCTTGAAACTCTTTGGCTTCAGCCCTTTCCTATATGCCTTGCCACATGTCGTAATATCTTGAACCTAAGCCCCCACGTATACGCTCAGCACTTCTTTTGCCCTGGGCGTGACCTTGAATCCATTCCCGAACCCACCACATCCACAGTCGCACACGAGACCACTACAAAAATGCTCTCATTACAAGGCTCGTTCACCAACAACTACGATCGCCGACACCCCACGTCTGCCTCGGCAGCGTACGAACAGCAGACTATACCGAGCCCAAGCCGCAAGCGGAAAGCCGATGCGCAGGAGAATGAGAGGTTATCGAAACGGCTAGGTCGTTTGAATATCGGTACGTTGGGAAAATGCGCAATGGGACTTGCCCTTCGCCTTGGTTCTCCACGCGGCGCACTGAATCGAGGACCAGGCTGCCCGGTGTGCTTTTTCGGAATTGAATATACTAACTTGACATTCTTGAACTCGTATAGGCCAGAATATTCGCAGACTCTACGCCACGGTAGAGGACGACACATCTACCAATCAAGCGCAGACATTCCCACCACCAGCCAATGCCACCACCAGCACCTTCGGCGCCGGCACCGGAGTCAGCAGCGACCAATTTTCGAGCGCAAGCCTAGACGACGACCTCATGCAAATGGACGACACCAAGCACAAAGTCTACATCTACAACCTCGACGACGAGCTCTCCTCCTCCGAAAGCGAAGCCGAGGACGGAAAACTCATCTTCCTCCCCGATATCGAAAAGGCCCTCAAGGCTAACCGCATCCCGCCCATGCTCCGCGCGAACCCCGAGGGCCAATTGGCCGGGCACAACATTGACGATATGCAGCTCGTGCTTTATAACGTGCCATCTTCGTTGACGGTAGCGCCGGAGCATGATAGCGTGCGGAAGGCGATTATCGAGGCGAGAAGGCGCATGCGCGAGAAGCAGAGGCGCGAGTCGGAGGATGGGGAGTCTAGTGTGGCTAGCAGCCCGGCCGTGACGCCGCCTGTCTTGTCTGAGGACGAAGATGCCATGGACCTCTCCTGATGTGTCTGGTTCCCCCCATTGATTTACGGAACATATGGACCACACCACACACAAACTATCTCTTTCTCTCTTATGTGAATCATAGCATGGCATGGCAGGGTCTTTTGGTTGGACGGGTACGGCGTTACCCTATCCTGGTGGAGACCGCCCGGCGTTTCCTGGCAACACACAACGAAACAGTTACGGCAGACAAACTAGACGGAAGATACCCCTGGGATGTTTTACGGCGATAGAGGTCGCGGCCCTGGTGGTGGTGGACTAAACCAAACCAGGGACTGGGTTCCAGCAAATTGTATGCTGAGAAGTCGGCAGTACAAACGACAAACGGCACGACCCATGAGTACGAGGGGTGTTCGACAGCGTTGGGGGAGGCTTGCTTTTATCGGTTGGACCGACGGCGTTTCTATTTTTCTTCTACTTTGTAGCTTGGCGTGTCTTCTACCACCGCCAGCATGATGGCTCGTCAAACGGCGTTTTTTTCAGGAATAGCAGGTAGAATTTCTTATTGTTGAAGTCCTAGTCGCTTGGCTGGCTCGAATTGATGAAACATCGCATTTCAAATACGCCTACTTCTACTCGTGAGACACATGTGATTGTTTGATTTTATGCATGACGTAGGGCCCGAAAGGCGGGTTTAATCGGTTCCTGAGATCGTTAAGCCCGAGTGAGACAAGGTTGTGTGAATCGTTCCCCAATTGGATGTAGGACAAGGTGCCATGTTGATGGTGAGTTGAGATTATGTCCATGTCTCTTCGGTCTCGTTATATCCTATGACATTGAAGTCGATGTTTAGACTACGGAGCATGGCTCCCATGGTGTATTCCTGCTGTATGAAGAAGCACTGTTAGTATTCTAGTTAAGATAGTTAAGAGTGAGAGCGAGGCGGAGAGTTTTCCTCCGTTCTTATCTAGACTTACATTTTCGTCTTCCTTTTCAGTCTCCTCCTCGCGGTTTTCATCTTCGGTCTCGGAGAGGGATTCGTAGCCATGATCCAGGTTCTCTTTGCTGGTCGAAGACCTCTGCAGCTCATGCTCCTCACGGTCCAGGAATTCGGCATGCCGCCTCTTCATGCCACGAAGCCCGCCCATACTATACAACCATCGTAAGCAGGATCCTCTCAACCACCAGCATTTTCTGGTATCCAAAAAGATCGATCAGAGCAAACAGTCAACACACATGCACAACTCACCTCTGAACCCGTAACCTCGAGGCCTCATATAACTCTTCAGCAGCCTGTTGAGCTGCAGCCTTCCACTTTTCAAATAGTCCATCCAACTCACCGCCGGGCGATTCTTTACAAGACGCCGCCTTAGAGACGGGGTCTATATTCTCCAGGCGGGAAATTTCCTGCTCGATCCTGCGGTTCTCGTCCTCCATCTCACGCCGGCGTTCCCTCCAGCTAAAACTCGGCACCTCTTCCGTGCCGGCATCCCGACCCTTACCCCTCCCGGCACTTTGAGACCCTGTCTCCGAAGAACGTGCTCGCTTTGCCCCACTGGCTACGCGTTCCTTGAGCGGGGTCGTTTCTCGTTCGGGAGTCGTCGCAGGGTCTGGCGCTGGGGCTGGGGCTGAGGCGTTGGATCTCCCGCGGACGAGGGGCGAGCGAAAGGGGCGGCGGAGGGTTGCGTTTGCGGATTCGATGCGGCGGCGTTTGGAGGTTGGGGTGTTCATTGGGGAGGTATTGGGATTGGAGAAGTGTCTTGCATTGATGTGGTGGTGATGGGTGATATCAGCATTGATGGCTCACATTTTTTTATGAGTGTGAGGCCAAGTTTCTTGAGAGGCGAAGTTCATGTTTCTATCATCTCGATAAAGATGAATAATAATATTTATTCGAGCTTGAATAATAATTACCTTGGATTCCAGGAGAGATTCAGATTCACAAACAGCAGTCTGTGGATAGTCCATCTTCATAATAATCGGATTCTAGTTAGACACAGCACTATCCGCTCATCATTTGCTTCAAGTTGTCAACGCCGATCTGGGATACTGGAACACACTGGGATACCTCACGGCCCTGGACGCTTGATCAAGAAAAAGAGAAGAGCAGCACAGATCACCTCTTCATCCATGTCCAGGTTCGCCAATCCTCGTCTCGTTTATCATCTCCGCAACCACTGATCATCCCACCTCTCACCAAATTTCCCCAGCAGCCCGGCCCAACCTCTCTGTAGTAAAAGAAAATGAAAGGCAGAAATCCCCAATAATATTCATACCAACCCCCTGCCCACATCCCTCCAGGCCCTCGTAGGTCTACATCGGGGGTATCACCGGTGACCACAGCCTCCCGGAAAATCCACTCCCGTTCCCGCCCCCCCCAAAAGGAACAAAGAACAAAAGAGTTGAGCGAGAGAGTTAGGAAAAGAACGGCCACGCGGCTCCGGCAATGTTGAAACGCGAGATGCCACACCACACCACACCACAAACACACTCACTCACTCCCACCCTCTTTCCTCGTCGCCAAGACCCGCAACACCTCAAACAACCATTTGATGCCTCCTGTCCCACCTCTCCTCTCCTCTCTCTCCCTTTCAATCAGTAAATTCTTCATTCAGCCATCTTCAACCTTTTTCATTCCTGTAATATTATTTTAATTCCATAAACTTGGTCGCCTTCAAAGAAAGCCAGACCCGTACGGCCGGACCTACGAATAACCTCACAATTTCTCGATTCCTCTCCTCTGAAGCCGACAACCTCACCCTCTAATAACTCAAAACAACGTCCTTCCACATCCCAAAACAAACCATGGAAAACATCAACCTCCTCCCCCGCCAAAACCCCCCCGACAACCCAGACACCATCCCCGACGGCTGGGTAGTAGACGACGACGGCGTCGCCCGCCCCTGGTGGTACTCCCGCGAAGGCTACATCGTCAAGTGGTCCGTCTTCTTCGGCATCGTCTTCCTCGTCGGCCTGTACCTGCTGCTGGGCTACCTGCACGCCAAGGCCCGCGTGCGGAAGGGTCTCGTTCCTCTCTACTATCACCGCGTACGTTTACTTTCAAGAGAAGAAGAAGAAGAAGAAGAAGAAAACAATGAAAAGGAAGGAAACTAACAAAGAGGAAATGCAAACAGTGGCTCGTCAGCAAATCCGAACTCGCCTCCGTAGACCCCCTCTACGCCTACCCGCAATCCACCTTCCGCCCCTACTATCCCCCTCCCCCCCAATACTCCATGTATCCCGTCGCTCCGCCCCCCGTTTACGAACCACCCGCCGGAGCCACCAAGACCGATCCGTCGCAGTCCTTCCCCGCCGACGTCGAGGCCGGTCAGAGGCCCGTTAGCGGGTTTGCGCCGCCACCTGGTCCTCCACCTCCGCCGGCGGCTGGGCGTCAAGGGGCCGTAGCTAAGTTGCTTTCGAGAGTGAGGGGTCGGTAGGGGTCTTTTTTGCTTTTAGATTTATCTCTGGTTTTGTTGGATTATGATTGTGATGATCAGTTCGTGCTGTCAAGTATATATGGGATGGGCCTGGTGTCTTAGATCGTACATATCTACCCTTTTGAAAAGGAATTCGGGGCGTTGATGGCGTCTTTGTAATTTCTATTCGACTTATACATATCAAATCTCATGTCGATTCTCTCTGGATCAGAAAGTATTCAAACGTTTGCAAACTCGCAGTTGGTATCGGTATCCTATCCATCGCATCCTATCTCTAAAAGGAAATCAGGGTATATCTAACAAAACTCAACAAATCTCTCCCAAAAAAAAAAAAAAAAAAGGAAAATGAATTGGTCAACCCAAATTCGAAGGTCCCGCCCTACCGGATCCCTCCTCATCAATTCCCAAACTCATCTCCAGCGCCCTCTTTAGTTCCTCGTCATCATCATCATCCTCCCCATCTTCTTCTTCCTTCTTCGGTTCCTCCTTCATCTTCCCCTTCTCCTTCGCCTTCAACTTCCGAAACTCCTCCTCAGCAAGGCTCTGCTTCCGCACAAACTCAAGAATAATCTCCTCCTCTGTCCTGGCCACCGCCGCCCGGTTCGCCTCCTCCTGGTGCGCCGCCTTGGACTCCTCGATGGCTCGTCGGAGCATCTCTTCTTCTTCGGCGTGCGCGTCCGTATGTTGCGCCGCTGCCTCCTTAGACGCCTCGATGGCCTTCTTCAGCTCTTCGTCGTCGTCCTCCTGCGGCGGCTGCTCCGAAACGTTCGTCTTGGACTCTTCGATCGCCTTCTTGAGGTCTTCATCGTCCGAGGTTTCTTCTCCGTGAACCGACAGGTCTGTCTTCGATCTCTCGAGAACTCGTCTCAGCTCCTCGTCCTCACTATCACTCACTCCATGACCGTCATGAACGCCCTCGGTAAATCCGGCCGCATGAATCGCCATACTCTGCTGGATCGCCTTCTCAATAAGCGCCTGATACTCCTCATCCGTAATCTCGAGATCCGCCTCCTCCGGATCCGTCGTCCCGGATGGGCCCTCGGGCCGCTTTACACCCACCATTTGCGGATTCGGCAGGGGGCCGCCACGTCTCTGGAACTCCGACACGCTGGCGCGCACCGCCCGCTCGACCATGAGATCCTCCTCCGGATCGCCTCGCGACGTCTCGCGGATCGACGCCTGGATGGCCCTCTCGAACTCTTCGTCGTGGTTGGGGTGGTGGTCAAGGTCTGCCTCGATGTGGTTCCGCCGCCATGCCTGCTTACCCTTCAGCAGTCTCTTGCCATGCACGTCGAAGTGGCCGATCGACTCGTTGCCGAACTTGGGCGAGAGGAGTGCCGCGACGTCGGCGTGGAGGTGATGGTGATGCTCGTGGTGGTGGCGATCGAACGCTGCGCGGTCCATGGCGTTCTCACCTCCTTGGGATTGTGAATCCTGGGCTTCTCTGGCTTCCTTCGCTTCCTTGAGCTTGCGCTGGTACAGTTCCTTGAGGTCATACTTGGCGTTCCTCCACGCCGCCAAAACCTCCGCCTTCTCCTCCCTAGTCGCCGCCTCGAAGGCCTCCGCTCCCTGGATCATGCGAGAGCTGATGATATAATTTTGCATGCTCTTCGCGAATCGGTTCTTCATCGCCACATATGCGCCCTGCATCGTGTACGCGGGAAGAGACCAAAGAGCTACACACCCGTTAGCAATGATACAAATAGCAATAGTCCACACCTGCCGAGAGGACGGCAACATCACGCCAAATCGACCGGCAGAGTAGTCGTAATCGCTTACCGGCAGCAGGCTTCACGAGAAAACCGCTAACACCTTTGCCAACCCCCTTCACAAAGCCCATTCCCCCTTCCTTCTCGGCGCCCTTCATAGGCTGCGTAACTAGCCCAGAGAGCCCATCATACAAACCTAGGCCAAACTCTTTACCCGCCACCTTGAACCCGCTAGCCAAGCCAGTAACCTTCTCCGTCGGTCGGACGGTGTCGTCGTTGTACAACTTCGGCACATTCCTAAAACCCTTGGCGAGACCGAGGCAAAAGTTCATGGGCGACTTAACGCCCGTAGTCACGATCCTGCGGACGCTGGTGCTGGCACCGCGCAAGTCCTCGATGTTGACGCCCCGGTAAGGGTTCTCGTCGTGGGACGACTGAGGCCGGCCGTACGGACTTGTGCTCCGTCCACGCAAGAGCGGACTGCTGGGGAAACGGAGAGGGGAGCGGGAAGATTGCCCCGCCGAGCTCTCGCTTGTCGGGTCACTAGTCACGGTGACCAGGGGGGTCATAAGGCTAGACGCCGTTCTATCCGGAGTTGTAGGCGATGGGTGTCCCTCCCTCAGTCCAGTTCCCGCAGTTGTTGGTCTACTAGCTGATTCTAGCTGGGAGATATCAGTGGCATAAGCAGGGAAATCAGCGGACCCGGCGCCACGCAGCCCACTTTGCTCAGATGGAAGGCCTGGCATATCCCCGGGTAACTCAACCCGCGGCTGCAGCTTTCCAGGAAAAGGACTTGGCAGTTCAACATATCCCGGGACAACCGACTCCGCAGTAGTAGTGGCTGTCGAGGGCGCGGTGACCAAGGTACCACTACTCATGTCCACCGACTTCCCCGGCCGCCCATGCGACGATCCAGACGAGCTCCCTGTATCCTTCGATTCCTTCGAGGATTGGAAGATGCCACGAGGGAAATCGGCGACGGCCAGAGCAAGCTCGCCTATATCCATGAGGAGCGATGAAGTAACGGCGGATATGGGATCCCAGGGCTGGCCTTCGGTGTTGTATTCTCGTGGCCGCCATAGCTTTAAGTCGGAGTATTGAATAATGCGTTCTCGCACGAGCATCTCTGCCGCGAAAGGACTGAGAATAACCTTTGTCCGCCTCACCCTCCAAGCTGCCACTCGAGTCGGCACTAGTGAACAACGTATCGTCTTGAGGTCAAGTTGATCATGGAAACTCTTTCCACCGAGATCAGCACCCTTTTCTTCGCGGATCTTTTCGCCTAGAGAGCGGGCCTTGTCCGCCGTCTCAGGCTTCAGTGCCGTTGTGATAGCCGCAGCAAGCTTCTCGGCAGTCAGGTCCTTGTAAGGTACGGGCTCTGGACCTGCACCGGCTCGCGCAATCATGGCACCCCAGAATGGTTGGTCTCCAAAAAATGGCACGACGACCGTAGGCTTGCCGGCGTAGATACCCGCCGCCGATGTACCAGCACCACCGTGGTGGACGACGCAGGAAACGTGCTTGAAAAGCCAATCATGGGGACAGTTGCCAATCATGTACACTCCCTCGGGGATTCCGACGTCATCCGCGCCAAGTCCTCCCCATCCCTTGGACACGAGAGCCCTGACACCAGCTAGGTGGATGGCGTCGAAAATGAGACGAGTTAGTGCGTTGGGATCGTCAACAACGATGGAGCCGAAGCCGATGTAAACGGGCGGCGAGCCGGCCTCTAGAAACTCTACGAGAGACGGGTCCGGAGTATACGCGTTGGCGAGATTGAGGAAAAAGAAGCCGGAGATATCGATATTTCGTTGCCAATCATTGGGTTTGGGGATGAGAGCCGGAGACCTGCAGGGTTTAGTACTTCGTCTGAGAGGGGGGCGCCTTCATAGCTACTAGTGATGTGCTTACCAGCAGTATGTATAAGGAATTTGCAGTCTTGTAAGAAGGCCAGGAGCCCAAATTAACGATAGGATTTCAAGATCAAGAACAGTGGTTCGGAATCGATTGATAACATCTCCCAGGCCCTGCCAGGTCATCATCTCAACCAGGGCGTAGGATACATAGTTAGTCATGACATCGTCAGTATTTGAAGACTGAATGTTAGCCAGCGGATGTGGGAAGGCGCGAGTTGGTGACCAAGGCATACTGCAAGACATGCATTAGCATCGGAAACTCCTTAGTCCCCGGAAACACTTGGAATTGTCCTTACGTGAACATCAAGTGCAGCGGAATACCAAGCTTCTCCGCAATGTGAATATGCGCAAAGCTCGGGGGGTTAGCAATAATAGCGTCAGCAATAAAAGGACTTTCCCTCGGATCCCCAGGAAGCGTAACCTCATCATAATTCATCTCCAAGCCCTTCCTATGTGCCGGCATCGCCGGCCCCAGCCCGTTTCCAGGCTCGATGCATGACCGCCAACAGCCCATGAGAATCTCCTGCATTCCCCTCCTCCTCTTGCTCACCTCTCCCGACTTTAACGCATCGAGGCCGGGCATCAGGCCGGGGTTCTTGACCATAAAGGCCATGAGCTCAGCGGGGTCACCTCCGATGTTGAAGAACTCGAGGCCGTTTTCTTCGACAAAGGTCTGGAAGGTGGCGTGGGTGGCAAGGCGGACGCGGTGTCCGTAGGTATCTTTGAGGACTTTGCCTAGGGCGACGAAGGGCTGGACGTCACCGCGTGATCCGACGATCTGGATGACGACGTTGAGTCTAGGCGGCGGAGTTTGGCCGGGCTGACCACCGAGAGTCGGCGGAATGTAGGCCGGCGTGGTGGGTGCTTGGGGGAGCGCGGCTGCTACTGCTGCGTCCGCGGCGACTTGGGCTCGGAGGGTGTGGCCGAGCAACTCGGCAAACTTCCCACTTTTCTGATTGATGTTGATGTTGACACGACCGTCGTCTATGCCGGAACAAAGCAGGACCGTCACGTTAGCAATTTCCGGTTTCTTTGTAAGGCATAGCCCAGCTTATACCAGGCCATCCAATTATCTCGGACAGTCGGGCCTAAGAAGAACTGGGGTTTGGGCTGGCCAAGACAAGTCATACCGGTAACATTCGCTCCAGCTTCAAACCCAGGCTGAGAAAACTGCAACTGATCATGCAGCTCCCCATAAGGCGGGGGAGCATCCCTCGCCGCCTCCAGATCAGGCATGTTAAACCCATCAGACACCAGCGCCGCCTGGACATCCATGCTAACCCTCGTCGGCGGAGGTGCGTCCCAAGGCACTTCCGCCTGCTCTCCACGATTTTGAGTCATGGTTTCGGGGTTGGTTGCTGTTCGGAGAGCTAAGCTCCCCTCACAGACGAAGAGATCGAAAGCTGCACGGGTGAGCGGGAGGGGCTACACGCTTTAAGTTGTCGATAATGTTGAGGACAAGCTTTAGGTAGGGCTGGACCTGGAAATATATGCGAAATGCGCAGTGGTAGGGCGGAAACAAATCCAGGGATGTTGCACCTCAGGAGAGAAGAAAAAAGGACAGAAGCGGAAAATTAATCGAACAATCCAAGTCCCCAGTCCAAGTTTGAAATACGGACAATACGCGGATGAGGGAAAACGAGGTGCCTGAAAGCTTCCATTTGTACCAAAGTCGTTTACAGTCTCACTACATAAGATCCCCGTCTTTGGTGGGGCACAAGGATCGGTTTGGTTTGGCGGAGGGGGGGCAAGGCATAGGTTCAAGCGTCGAACTGCAGGCGTTGCTGCGGTCGGTCCATGACGTTTTCATCCTAGCACGCCAGCCCTCCAGTAAGGTTCCGGGAGGTCACTGCCAGGGAGCAGGTAACAAGGCACCAGCATTATCGGTGTTTAGCTTGCCCCTGTTTATTGGCTAGAGTGTGGCTGACGATCCAGACCATCGATCAATCGACGACTCGGATCGGCCATGTTACCCTCTTGAGCGTGGGAGTTTCCCTGATCGCCTGTTACTCGATGCGAAGAATACGCGAGGCGCTGTGAATGTCCACGGGCTGTAGTCAATGATATCAAGGAATCCAATGAATACCTTTAACCGTTATGCCCAAAATCCTCCCTAAGAAATACATCGAACCTCGGGCCTCCTACCTAGCTGTATCCACAAGAGCTCAAGCGCCTTTCAAAGTTCCCCATTCATTTGATTGATGCCCCGTCTGTGGAGCCCTAAAGTCCGATTTAGGGGGCCCCGAAGAGCCTCACGCCCTTCAAGTGTGTCCTATATATAGAAATTGATCGATCTGATAGACTCGAACCTCGGGTTGAGCGTCGATGCCTCGAATCACACGCGTAATGGCGCCAGGTACAATATCGTGCTTGGATAACTTGCGGGCCGGGCCCATCCGAGTCTATGCTTGGCTCGTTGTTTCGATTCGCTCTCTGCATTGGGATATATCAAACGACGGTGGCAGTGTCGATGGAGGCACATTGACAACCGGGGAACGTTGATCAATTCAATCGAACAAATGATGTTAACCATCTTACCCCCAAAAATCAGTAGACAGAACTGACTTCCGCTCCAAGGACGACTTATTTCCAACCAAATCAAAATAAAATAAAATAAAAAATAATAATCATCATAGCGGCATCGATAGGAGGCCTAGAACCGAGACTACCATTTCATGTATTGTACATAGCCCCATAATCAGCCTCGGGCTACCAACAATCACCACACCTCACGGACGCGGCCACGCGGCCACGCGTCCACTGCATACGGCCACAAGTCCAGCGGCCCCGATGCGTCGTTGTATTTTTCGTTTTGTTTTGTGTGTTCCCCATTATCCTTGTTTCCCCAAAGATGAAAACGCCGATTCGTGCCCGCTGATATATCGAAGTATATGGAGTTTTTCGAGCCCGTGCCGTAAGTCCGGTCGCACTCATCCCCCCCCCTGACTACTGCTCCTGTCGTTCGCGCCAACAAGTACCGATGTTTAGGCAAGTTTAGCTGGAGAACTTGCGGGTGATCTTGGCAATGACTACGGGCCGGACGAGTTAGCGAAAGAAGCGATATACGCACAATTGAAGAAAGACAACTTACTGTGCAGAGCGACAACGCTGAAGATGAAGACCAAGGACAGAACCAAGACGACGACGGGATCAACCTTGAGGCCAGGAGACTCATCGGTATACAGCCCTACCCAACCCTAATGTTAGCAAATACCTTTGCGTATTCCTCTCCGAAATCTCTCTACCAATCTTCGTTGGCATATAAAAAGAAGGTAGGACATACTCAGCATGGTGCTGCTGCTGCCACCAGCGCCCGCCGCACGAGTGCTGCTAGGGCGCGCATTTGCAATCTTCTCCTTCTGGTCGGCAGCCGCCCTTCGACGGATAACGGTCCTAGGACCACCGGGAACCGAGGGCGAGGCGGGTCGGACGCTGGAGCCGGTGGCGGCGCCGGTGGGAGACGAAGCACGGGGAGAAGACTATTTGTTTAGCAAGCCGGCAGAGTTAGCTTCCAACCATCTTTAAGGACATCATCCGTATGTTTTCCATCTAGATTAATAGATATCGACGAATGCGATTCGCGTCACACGGGGGGCTTGCCCGATTCGAACTTACCATCTTGAAAGAAAAAAAGGGGGGTATTAAAAGGAACGAGGAATTATAACAACGGAAGAAATTAGATCTGAGATCGCTGCAGGATGCTCAGGTCCAAGATCGAAAAATGACAGAATGGAAAAGAAAGGAGACGAGGTCGGGTTGCTGGTCGTTGATGTCGTTGGAAGGGGTGAAGTATCAATTGATCACTGGGAAGGGAGAATGGTTGATGGCTGGCAAAATCCACAGTTGAGGCCACGCTGCATCACGCTGGGAGCTCCTAGGACGGAATTTGCCGTCTTTGTATCTTGACAAAGGTCATTGTGACCCTTTTAGGAGAGCAATTTCAAATAGTCCGAGGATTTGCCGACAGCAAGAATAGAACAGGGGTAAGCTAGAATTGGCAAGCTCGTTTGGTGTTAAGGTTTGGAGCATTTGTTTGATGCTATCTTGGCCAAACACACTTCCTCAAGAGAAACAAAAACCATCCCAAGTTAACTTCGCTTGAGGATATCATCACGGCTGACCTAGGGAAAGAATCTAGTTTACATCATCCCCCTATCTTCAGCTTCATCGAATCCTAATATCTCTCATGGCACCATGGCACATCATACACTTGAGTAGCTTAGAATCTTAGTATATTTTAGTCTAGCTCTCCATCGCTCTCAACTCCAAGCACACAATCATATTTTGCCGTTTGTTAAGCACGAAATACCAAACAGAGAAATAAAACATGAAAAAGAAAAGGATTCCCTCCAAACATACAAACTCTCTCCTCTTCTTCGCTCATTGGGGCTCCATGTTTCCTGCTCGCAAAAAGAAAAGAGAAGAAAAAAGATATGCTGTGCAAGTAGGCGGGAAAGGGTATTATGTGGATGAAATTTTTGAACAGACGAGAAAAATGAAAAAAAAAGAAAAGAAAAAGAAAAAGAAAGGAAATAGCGAAAAGAGAGAATTGGGGTGAAGGGTCGGAAGAAAATACAGACATGAGACGGAGGCCGCCAGGGTTGTTAAGACAAAGGAAAACTAAGTGTGTGGTGTAAGATGGTAGAATGGAAAGACGGCCGGATGGTTCGCGGCTCAATCCATCTCACGAGTGCCATATATCGTGAGATATCAAGTAATGTCTCGTCAAGGGCAATGTCGCAGGGTTCGTCCAGGCTAAACTCTTCCTAGGGCAGGAGAACTGCGCATACGTGGATAGGTCCTCCGCCAGGACGAGAACGCTGGAGGAGCTTTTATAGAACTCATGGCTCGGCGCCTGAATAGCTAGTGGGCTGCCCAGCCAATGTCTACCCGCCATCGCAGAACCACGTAGTATCGCATCCTGTTTGGTCCCCAGAAGAAGTTGTCCCCAGAAAGGAACTATAAAAGCCGCCTTAGGACCCAGTCCGTTTTCGTAAAAGAAAAAAAAAGCATCTCCAGGGCTATATCTTTCCTCGCCATACTTAAAAGAAAATCCCACTCGTGGTGCTGTTCACAGATAGCTGTCAGAGACAATCCAGACTAGCGGTCGTCCCTTGCGCACAGCTCAAATATATAGACATTAAGACAACGTGTGTCTACATTTCGGAATCAAAGCTTTCAACCAAAACGCCTCTCGCTATGATCGGGGAGCCAATGATAAGAACTTTTGTTTTCTTTCTGTTGGCGAGGAACTGCGCCGAACTGTGGTATCAAAGATATGCCGTAGTAACAAAACGAGAAAAATATAGTGTGCTCTTAGAGAGTAACGTCGAGAACGAGGCTGACATCCCTGACGTTGGGTCCGGCTAGATCTTCGAGGACGGGGATAAGGTCCAAAAGCTCATTATCGTGCGCATCCGAGAACCAGCTACTTATCGGCAGGGCGTGCTGTGGGTGGAATATATAAGAAGTGGGAGAATTGTCGATGATAATGGTATCTTTTAGGTCCCTTCCAACTTGCGACAAATCTTTGACGTAGTTGCCTTGGTGGTTATAGCAGGATTCGCGGAAAAGTCGGTGGTGAACAACGTTGTGGATATCGAGTTGATCCAAGAGAGGGTCGCCATACTGTCGTTCTAGCAGTTAGATAACTGGCTTACGCGTCGAGGGCACGGGGTTGATGCGAGGTTCATCGAGGAATACACATACCTTGGAGACAGAAGCCGTGAAAACGACAACTTCGTAGAGTTCTCCTACCCTCTTCATGAACTCATCTACACCAGGTCGCTTGATGACATAGACGTTGTGGTAATTGCCCTCAATCTCTACTGGGATCGTGAAGTCGGCTTGATGTAGGATCTGGGAAGGGAAAAGAAGAAAAGGTTAGCCACAACCAACTACGACCATGAGAACCTTGACAGGCGTTGACATACCTTGAAGGAGCTGTGGACAAGAGTTTCATCGAGGTCGAGTACCAGGCATTTCCTTCCTTTGTGCTCGGGCCGAATGGGTGGTAATAACGAGATTTGCTGGTGCTCTGGAGCGAAATCAGATGACTCGGAAAGATCGTGGACGGGAGCTGTAGTGGAGGGACTGGGTCCGGGAGGCGGCGGTGGTATTTGTGACACGGGTTCGTCGGTGTTGGGCTCTTGCCTGATTTCTTCTTCCTCTTGTTGTTGCTGCTGCTGCTGCTGTTCCTGTTGGGGCAACTGATCATCGTGCTGCTCTTGATGTTGCGGTTGAGGTTCCTCAATGTCAGCATCAGCCATCTTGATATCACCCTCCTCATCCTTCGTATCACTAGGCACGGTTGAATCTGGCGCGACGGGTGCCTCTTTTATCGATCCGTTGTTCGGTGGTTGGATCTGGACTGAGGGTGGAGGAATAATGGATTGCTTGGACTCCCTCTCGGGTCGCTCTCCGCCTACGGTAGACTGATCGTGTGTGCTCGTGTTAGAAGCCCTCTTATCCTTCGCCGCGGAGTCCTTTCTTGGCGCGTCGGTCGTCGCTGGAGCCTTCTCGTTCAGCCGAGACTTGTTGACATTCACCGTCGGCTGTTGGTCGGGGGGAGTGTGGGCTGTCGGGCGCGAAGATGATCCCGGCCGGTTTGGCAGCTTGTCGAGTTTGTGGACGTTCTCTTCGCTCCCCTCACCGTTGTTCGTCGAATCTGGGACGCCACCACAACAGCCTAGAAGGGACAGGAGGCCGCCGCTCTTCTTCTTTTTGTGGGGTGCCGCGGCGGGCGAGCTGGGCTGAGAATTAATGGGAGTAGATGCAGGCTCTGTGTCAGCACCAGACCGACGACTGGAGGCGCTTCCGTTGCGTTGTCGGCTCCGCATGCTTGCTGATTCTTTGGAGAGATCTCCGAGGCTCTGGCGTGAATCGTTGGCCGTGGCGCCGCTCAATCCGGAAGCCGTCGGCGAAGACTGGTGTCTCTGGGAAGATGTCCTGGATGGCACGTGTAGCAATGCTCTTCCTTTACCAGTCGTTTGCTGTGTGTTTTGATCGGTTGCAAGGGGCTCTGTCTCCTGAGGCATATCGCTCAATGTTGCTGGAGAGAGCAATCACGCTTCGTCGCGGTGAACTAATAAAGACTCCGACCGATTAAATTAGCATCAAAGCGTCCGACAAATATCGACGATGCCAATAGATGATCGGAATGGCGCGGTTTTTAAGCTCGAATGTAAGGCATGAATGGTGTTTGTCACGCGGGTACTAATGCGCCAACTCTGGCAATACTGGTAGCCGCTGAAGTGAACTGCGGCGTGGAGGTACTTCGCAACGACCAAGGAGCGCGCAAAATACGTGCCCGACGTTCGACGTGCTCGAAAAGGGTCGAAGCTCGGATAGGTGAAAAGAAGAAAATGAAGAATGCCCACAATTAAGCAATGGCCAAAATAATGTCGCAGGACGGCTTGGGGCGAAACTAAGGCGACAAAAGGGGTGGTTTTGGGGGGAAAACGGAAAGTAGGAAAGGGAAGGCTCACCTCTTCACGTAATTTGGACAATTTACCAAGATCGTCCAACCCCCTAAACGCCGGCTAGCCTTGAGCCAAAAGTGGCTGGTCGCGACGTGGATTCCAATCCGATGGGGTAAGAGAAAAAAAAAATGCGAAAAAGTTGAAAAATAGAAGTCCGCGCAGGCTTGTTCAATGGTAAAGAAATGAGCGAAGTGTCAATTTGTCGGGGCTTCGTGCATTCGACAATCGTATCGTGCCCGGTTTCCGACGCGCGGAATATATGAGGCCGGCAAGGCGAGAGGCGGTGGTGTGTCGGGCTCCAGTGCAGACAGTGCAGCGCACCAACAAACAGGCCAGGCCAAGCCTAGAGTATCGAAAGAGAGCAACGAGAACGAAAGGAGCTGGTCTGCGAGTAAAACGACGCGATCCCCGCACTTTCAAAGGAGTGACGACGTGAGACTCGTGGGGTTTGGCCAGCGATTGAGGCTGGATGAAGGGTTTATGGGGAAGAGGAGAAATGTCTCGGGAGAATGCTGGAGCGCGATGCTGAGGTTTGTACACATTTGAGTATGGCAGGTTCAGAAGGGGATTGGGAGAACATTAAGCATAGAAGTGAAGGGCGGGAGAGGATGTGAGTGGACGTATCAGAGGCTGAGGAAGCGAGATGACTATCCTTCTTGGGGAGTGGTCGGCAAGGGGTCTTACCTTCCTGCGCAGTATGGGCAGTGTCCCGCCCAGAGCAGGTGAGGAAGGCGCTTGAGCGAGGGCGGACCGAACGGGAACGGGGAATGGGGAATTGGGGGGAAGCTGGAACGCTGGAACGCTGGAACGCAAGACCGACTCTCACTCTGGCAGCTGCTAGAGGACCACAATTGATTGCACGATCAATTTGATGAAGCTATTGAATGAGAGTGGATAGATCCTGCCACTAAAGTTGGTCGAATGCTTGGGCGGCTTGAGCAGTGGGCACTAGTGAGAGCCACTTCAAGCATCAATCATTACCTCGTAGAAGTTTATACAGTGCGAGGCGGGTGCAATTACTTGGCAAGAAGATGACAACTGTTAATTGTAAAGCCAGTGAACAATTGAATCGCGGACAGTGTAGACACAAAGTAGTCTACACGATGTACAATCGAGCGGTTTGGCCCACGCAAATCACCGCAAATCGTCGGTCGGTGAGCCTGTTGTACCAAGCTTTGATTGATCGATCTTATCCACAGGACAAGTGGGAACTCGCTCGAGTACCTTCGTCTCCATTCGCCGCCGCCAGAAGCTCTTGTTCCCTCCGGCTCGAGCAACTCTACTTGTAGGTTCGTGATCGATGTCGCTCTCCCTTCGTTTGACCCATTCGTGTAATAAATGCATATATTGATCAACAAGAGTGGGTGAGTGGCAAGACAGGTTTGTTTTCCCTCCCTACTCATTTGTACTGTCTGGATCTGTGGAATATGAAAGCCATTCATAATTCAGCTCACCCAGCGAAGCACTTCACAAGTTCACATTACAATTTTCATCGCAGCAAATTTGGCTTCCTCCAAAGTATACATTGCACAGTCTGACAGCAGCTTGGATGAGTTCGGTGGGCAAAGTATACAAAGTACCTTGGCAAGATGGACCTGTCCCCCAATCATACCCACCTTTCTCTGGTCTGGTCCGGGGAGCGCACTGATCATCCCTAGTCCCTGTCGCCCACAGCAATCCCAGGTTCACCATGACTTGAGATTAGCTTAAAGTCCGGATACCACTGCACGACACCACATTCTGAACACTACGAAGGACCGAGTCCAATTACAAGTACAAAGTCTGCACAAGAGCCAGGTAATAGTGTACATCCAATGTTAACACTGTATTGGCCCACTGTCCTCCTCCATTGATGTACGAAGTATCACTCCCGCCAAGATTAAACCCGTCGGTCGCTGCCTACCTCTGTGCAACAGGATAATCCTCAACTGTTCGGCGAAGATTAATTCCACTTCATCATCGGCCGTCGGGATGAGGTAGCACCTTATGCATAGTAAACCACGAAGGTGAGTACTTCCTACAATATTTCTGACCCACTGAGCACCTAGTGTACTTCGTGGTGTACTACTTCGTCCATGTATTTGATTATGCCCCAAAATTGCTCAACCAAGAGACCTTCATTTCCCACGTTATTAGAGCCGAGGGACCATGAGCATTGTGCATTGTGGAATGGCACCTTGGTGAGCCACATTACGAGCGAGCATTACGCACTGTGTCTTACTTTGCGGGTACCTTCGATCTTTAGCGTTCAACATCAGGGATGATGGTACATGCCAATCTACCAGAATTGGGGTGTACTCGACTCGGCAGGAAGGAAGACAAAGAGACAAACCACAACATCGAGGAACCTCTCGGTATAATGATGGATCCCTACCTTTATTGAACTTCTTCGTACAGACGTTACAGACGTACACCTGAAGAGCCTTACGACAAGTTGTCAGGGATAAGGATCAATGAAAATAGTGTGGTACAATAGTCACATCTAGCAGCCGATGCAAGTCCACCAGCGTGCATAAAATGGCAGCTTCTGGGGCGCTTCCTGGTCCGGCCTAGCTTCCAGGTACTAGCCCGTTTCGCAAGCCGCCGAGCCTCCCTCCACAAATCTCATGCCATCCTCCTCCAAGTTCGTACGAAGGTAGCAGCTGGGAGTGTGGTTGCTATATACAGGACGGATTTACGGAAGTTGGTAGAAATTCCCCGGATTGGAGGCTTGCTGGGGCAAGGGCGGTCATTCTGAAGAAGCTCTGTGGTTGCGCAGGAGCTCGACCTAGCCGAGGGGAGCCCCTCGAAGTACATACTTCGTACATAGTATTATGGTGGACGAAGTACGAGCCATTGATGGTGCTACAGCCTGGTCTGGCTTTACCTTGATCCCCCGTGCTGATCCGGACAGGCTACGTTGCGCGTAGAGAGCCATCCCTGAACAGCAACCTTCGAATTCAGCCTCAGCCACAGCACTTCGCACTGGGTTGATGAGAGCTCCCTGAATTCCCCTACCCCTTGCTAAGCAGTAGCTTCATCTTCATGCTTTGAATAGAAAGTGACTGATGAGATGTTCTAAGTTTGCTGGAGCATGATGGGCTATGCCTGTGACTGGAGACGTGGTAGGTGGGTTATAGTATCTTGATTGGCCATCTTGCCGCCCGTCGCGGTGATGGGTAAGGGTCCCTCAGCAGGTGAGGAGCCACTCAGATCGAGGCTAGCATTTCCCGTCAGGGACCTCAAAGGACGAACTCTGCATGCCAAATGTTCATTGACATTTCGCTCGTCGGTTCCGATCCAGCCCGCTTCCAGCATTGACAGCTGGTTTGATCTCCCAGGAAGATACTGAGGTAGAATGGTAGAATACGTCGCCCTTTTTCACCGGTATCGCGGCCACCAGGAGGCGGGGCACAGCTTTGGGAACCCGCAAGCCGTCTTCACATGCAGCTTGACGACAAACTCCGGGAACCTTCGAAGTAAGGAATCAATCCGTCACTCCTCGACACGACGCTCGACTCCTTTGCACAGGAATACAATGGCCTGTTCAGCTTGACCCAAATGTGTTGATGGACGGATATTCCATTTGAGGAGACGGTCGATTTAGTTGTACTTCGGATGAATCGAGCACCACCCTTTGTATTTCATACGGAGGGGATGTACACCTCGCCCACTGTTAATAGTGTTGCCCTTCTTTCGAACCCCAGATCTCCCAATCTCGACCCCTGGGCTACATTTCGCACATGTGAAATGATGATTGCCCCGCACGTGCCATCGTGGGGGGTCTTGGTCTGGAGAGATTCATTTCGCTCTCGCCATGAGCTTACTTTCGTACTGCATACGGTCGCACTGTCAATGAGGGGATATCGGGTCTCTTCATTTCTTACCTCGTAAATTGTTCGACTTCGTACGAAGTACTTCTAACGTCTAAATTCAAAGGTCCCGCCACCAGTTCCTTCGAAGCAGCCACGTTCCAATTAGCCACCAGCCAATGCTTAGACCCAGGACACTTAGAACACATGGCGGAGTACCACAGTCACGAGTCAGGACTCAGTCACATGGAAACGAGTTTCGTTCTTTTCCCCAGACGATGACTAAGCCGGTATATGGTGCTGGGGAGCCCAAATCTGGGGTACAACCCATGGACAACATTGTTGTCCAGTGGGAAAAGCGCTAACTAAAAATCACTGCCTCGGCCTTGGTCGGTGCCAGAAACGATCACATGTATGATGTAACACTTCTTCGAGTCTAGAACTCTCGCCCATCGTAGCTGCCGTACATAGTTTCCACAGGCACAAGAGGCGGCGATTTCTTCCTAATCATTACCTCGACTATCGCAGTCCTTTCTATCGATATTCTTATTGTTCTTTAATCCGAGAGAGCTCCCCGAGATGCGAATTCGTTAGGAACATGACCATCTAGCCGTCCTCGTCGAAGCCACCCCCGTCAACGACACAACGGCACCTGATTTTCCCCACTGGCGATGACCGTCCAATCCACGCTCCGGCACACCGCTGCCGAAGAAGCAATCGCGGAATTCGTCGACAAGTATACTAAGCGCTTTCGATCCCGCCTAAAGGGCACATCCCGGACCACCCGCTTGCTCGCAGCTCTCGCGCTCGCCGCTTCCATCATCCTCGCCGGTGAGGGCACTAGGCGGAGATGGAAGAGGCGGCGTCTTGAGCGGGAGCAGGGCAAGAAGCTTGTGCGCACTAATTCGTTCCTCTTCAATAAGGACGGCTCCCGAACGATATACGTACCCCACCAGAACGGGACATCCAAGGTCGTCATCCACACGACGAAGCCCCTCACCTTCGAAGCTCATCGACGCCTCTTCTTGAACCCCCCGCGGGTATCCGGCCTTCGAGATGGCACCGTTCCCTCGGCGCAAACTAAGCCTGGCCTCAACTTGGCTTTTCTCCACCAGTTCTTGAGTCTGATGAGCATTATGATACCGCGCTGGACGAGCAAAGAAGCCGGTCTCCTCGTTAGTCACGGCGTCTTTTTGATGCTCCGTACGTACTTGTCTCTAGTGGTCGCTCGGTTAGACGGTGAGATTGTGCGAGACTTGGTTGCGGGTAACGGACGCCGGTTCCTCTGGGGCATAGTCAAGGTAAGCCCATCCATAGCTCCCGCACGCCGGTTAGGGCACTCCATATTGTTCATACTTGGTACTAACCTTGGATTTTACCAATAGTGGTGTGGCCTCGGTAGCTTTGCCTCTTATACCAACGCCATGATCAAGTTCCTAGAGTCCAAGGTATCCATAGCTTTCAGGACTCGCCTCACTCGGTATATTCATGATCTATATCTCAACAATAACCTCAATTACTACAAGCTCCACAACCTGGATGGCGGTGTTGGTCATGGCGCCGACCAATACATTACTCAAGACCTGACACTGTTCTGCGCATCCGCCGCGAACCTCTACTCATCCCTGGGCAAGCCGTTCGTCGATCTCTGTGTCTTCAATTACCAACTATACCGGTCACTGGGGCCTCTCGCCTTGACAGGCTTGACAACCAACTACTTCCTAACCGCCAGCATTCTTCGCCGTCTATCGCCTCCCTTCGGAAAACTAAAGGCAGTTGAGGGTAAAAAGGAGGGCGAATTCAGGAGCCTCCACGCGAGGCTAATCGCGAACGCCGAGGAGGTTGCCTTTTACGGCGGTGCCGACATGGAGAAGCAATTCTTGAACAAGGAATTTAAATCCCTAAAACAGTTTATGGAGGGTATCTACATGCTTAAGATTCGGTACAATATCCTCGAAGACTTCATTCTCAAGTACAGCTGGAGCGCCTACGGATATCTCCTGTCCTCGCTGCCCGTATTTCTCCCTGCATGGGGTGGCCTTGGTGGCGCCATGGAGCTCGCCTCGGGTTCCGACAAGGGAGGCAGGGAGCGCGGTCGTATGAAGGAGTTCATTACGAATAAGCGTCTCATGTTGTCCCTAGCAGATGCGGGTGGCAGGATGATGTACTCCATCAAGGACCTTTCGGAACTAGCTGGCTACACCAGCCGCGTGTATACCTTGATTTCTACCCTTCACAGGGTCCACGCCAACGCCTACTACCTAAGGGGTGGCAACAGCGAACTCTACTCCTTGTCGGACGTCCAAGGCACCGTTCAAAAGGGCTTCGACGGTGTGAGATTTGAACAGGTCCCTATTGTTGCGCCTGGCCTTTGGCCCCAGGGCGGAGACGAGTTGATCGAGTCGCTGTCCATGGTCGTGCGTAGCGGCGAACATCTCCTGGTACGTTGCCCTTGCTTTTTCAATGAATCCCCTAGCATATTTAAGCTAATAACTTATTAGATATCTGGCCCCAACGGTGTCGGAAAATCTGCCATCGCGCGAGTCCTCGCCGGCCTCTGGCCCGTCTATCGAGGCCTCGTCAGCCGCCCCAAGGAGACCGGCCAGGACGGCATCATGTTCCTCCCCCAGCGCCCCTACCTCAGCATCGGCACCCTCCGCGACCAGGTCATCTACCCCGACAACGAGTACGACATGCGCGAGAAGCGCAAGTCTGAGGACGATCTCAAGCATATCCTCGAGGAAGCCCGCCTCGGTTACCTCCCCGACCGCGAGGGCGGTTGGGACACCCGCAAGGAGTGGAAGGACGTCCTCAGCGGTGGCGAGAAGCAGCGCATGGGCTTTGCGCGTCTCCTCTACCATGAGCCCCGCTATGCTGTCGTCGATGAGGGGACTAGCGCCGTATCAAGTGATGTTGAGGGCCTTCTCTACGAGACGTGCAAGGAGAAGGGCATAAGTACGTTCACCCCTAGGCCATCGTCATATCCATCTTCACTTATAAACTAACTGTCTCCTAGCCCTCATCACCATCTCCACTCGTGCCTCCCTCAAGAAGTATCACACCTTCAACCTCACCATCGGCATGGGCGACAACGGCGACGAGTGGGAATTCGAGCGCATCGGCACTGAGCGCGAAAAAATGCAGGTCGAGCGCGAGATCCACGACATTCGTGACCGCCTGGCCAAGGTCGACGAGTGGAAGAAGAGGCACGCCGATATCGAGCGCGAGCTGGCTAGCGTGTGGGTCGAGGGCGGGGAGGCGCCCCTTGCTGCCCCATCGTACGCTGCCGCTACCTCTGACGATGGCGGTGCTGCTGCCAAGGAGGAAGCTGAGGTGGTGGAGAGCGAGTCCGGGGTTACGCCTTCGTATGCCGACGTCAGTAGGGAAGAGGCGGAGGAGGAAGAGGAGTCCGTTGATGAGAAGTTTGAGGAGTCGCTTGAGGAGATTGTAGGGGATGAGAGTATGGAGGCGTTGTAAGAATAGAGGGATCGGCTAAGAGGGCTGTTTTGGTTTTCCGTTTTGCTTAGACGCAGAATGCGGCGCTGGGGGTGTGGTTTCGTGAGTTTGGTGCATTCTCGAACTTGGTGATATAGAAAGCATATACTTGGGTAAGATAAAAATATCGACTCTATTTTATTTCCCATTTGCAAAGGCACCAGTGAAGATTTACCTTGCGCAGTTCTCTCAGAGCCAGGAGAGCAAGAAAGCTTCCACATCGTCCCTCCTCTTACCTCTCACCACACGGGCATCAAGACTACATTCCCAGACCTATCAATACCCGTCCACTCCTACTTTAATAATCTCAAGCTAGGACAATTCAGGTATGCGACAGACTCGACGTGCATCGCAGACGCAGGTTAGCACAGGTTGCACTTATCCATCCGGCTTAGGGAGACGATCTTATTCCCACATGATGCAGCTATGTCCGGGCCATTCTCGTTACAGTTTGGCTTCGTCGGTGACTTTCAAGCTCTAGACCTGGGAACATATAGGTATACCGAGTAGGTGAATTTAGCGAGTATATTAAAAAATTGTTAGTCTCATGCACCTACCGTCTATCAAAGGTTGGTGAAACAAGTCTACGGTTGGCATGCGGTCATCTTCTTCGTCGATAGCTTCGTGAAGGTTACCTTAGCATATTCCACTTAGATCCATATCAACACCTGAAAGACGGTAGACGGGCATACACGATATGCTAATCTTGGCACTGAACCATATCTTCGGTGAGTTTACGAACCACCGTAAAAAGTAACGGGAGGCGAACATTGTAGAGAAGGGTGTTGTTCCTTCACAACTTAGCGTCCAAACGAACGGCAACCCTCTGTGGAACCTCCTCTGGACCCCTAACTCCCTTCAGCTACAAAGCTACACCTGAAGTGTTGCACCTTAAGTAGGGTGGCTTTACAAGGAGAGGGGAGAACACGGTCAACTGCCGGATCCTTCCGTCCCCAAAACCGGCACTTGAACGATGCCCCATTCCGGAACAGAATACTAACCAGCAGGGTGGTAGAGTTCCACATGGCTTTGGAAGCAAAAAGTATACATGCCATTGGACACATTCTTCTCACGTATTCGAACGAATCCTACCAGTAGTAGGAGTAAGTAACAGAGTGGGCAGCGTTGTTGGTGACAGGAGGCGGGAGGCACGGAGAGGTGTGCGGTTTGCTTGGATCACAAGACGCAACATTCCGGTTACCTTGCCCACGGATAGCTGATCCATGCTATTATAAAGTAATAGCGGGACGGACGAGAGGAGGCCCGTTCATTGGAATATTGAGGGCGTTATGGGTGAGAGTGTGGTTAAGGCCGCGTCGTGAGTACTGCATATGGGGAAGCACAATAATTATGTGCGGTAGGTGCATAAAAAGCAAGAGGATTCGGAGACGCAGATTGACGGGCGTTCAGGATAGACGGGCCGTGTTCCAGACCTCCCCTCACACTTTCCTGCATTCCACATCGCTCCGGTCACTTGGAATCGTCCGCCAACCCACCTTTGCTCTCATAGCCATTGCGAAGTAAGAGGCGCTAAAAAAGAGCGCAGGAGGCAGCCAAGTGCGCAGAGGGCCAAAAGCAAGTTAAAACTGTTGATAGAGGTCAAAGCACGGCGGTGAGATTGGAATGCGGGACAGCCCAGTTCTTTCCATGCCGACATGCTTGTTGACAGAGGCGAGGTTTGAGGCGAGATTGTGTCGGCAAACCTCGGCAAAGGGGGCTATTAAATGTTAGCGGAAACAACATCCATATCCCTCAAAGAGTGATCACTCAACTTTCCAATTCGAGCGGCTCTCATCATGGACCTGACACAGTGGTGAATGCGCTGCGCAATGCCTTCGAGAATCCTCGCTCGGCCGCCATAGCAGATGCATTGGTGTGCTCAAGAGTCCAGTGCTCACTTCTTGAAGATGCGATGCTTAAGCAGCGTGTAATAGCGCAAACACTGGCGAATTAGCCGCAGCCCTAGTTTGGAAATAGCCTAAAGTCTTTAGTGTCTGGGGCCTGTGGGCTGTCTCTTGTTGATGTCCCACTTCGCGGCGCAACAACAGCCGGAGTGAAGTGAGTTCGTGACTCGTCTTCAGACTACCAGTTCGATGTTGCTCGGATTGTAGGAGCATCCATAACCTTGACTCGATATAATCCATAGAGAGGGCATCAGTCAGTATGCAGTATGGTAAAACAACGACACCACGGTCAGGGTTAGCCAAACAACAAACAAGAGCTTCACTTTCGAAGAGGCAAAAGCAAATTGACCTCTCGATGGAGGCATATTCCTTCCGAAAGAAGCCAGGATATGACAAAAGTTGCATACATCCGGTATATCCCATATTTGCATGCCTGGGCACGCCCTCCCGCTGATTTGGGCCGCTGACACGGGCATCGGTCGGGTGAAAGGCTTTACGCGATCGCCGAGTCCAGAAACTTCCGCGAAACCGGTGCCGATAAAGGATCGAATTCCGCTCTCTCACCGAGCTTAGTGTGTATCATCTCGGGTCATCCGCTCGGTATTTGCGTAATCGTCTTAAAGCAAGCAACGCATCAGACATCACAGGGCATTATTACTTTGTACTATCAACGGTTGAGATAGTTAGCATAGAGGGCAGCACAGTCCGGGTGGCTGTCAGGGCTCTTTTCCGGGCTTTCTTGTCCCTATCGGCCTTCTCCTCCGTCGTAGAGCGGATCAATCCAAAGCTTCGAAAGCTGGATTGTTGTCATATTTGATCGCACTTGATTGTGCTTGGAATGTTACAAGTTACTTGGATAGTTCCATAACAAGTATGGAAGTAGTTACTCGAGGTTTTGGGATCCCACATGTGCAGTGTGACAGAGGGAAGTAATCGCCATAATGGATTAATGGATGCAGGAGTGTCCTCGCCCTTGAGAGTAATTGAAGTTACCTCCTTCGTCTGCTGTGATGAAGAGGAAAGCACTTTGCAGGAATGGGCATTCGTGACGCAGTTGCACCCAACAACTTAGACGGGTACGTACTTCGTAGTGTGGTGAGCACTATAGTGCACCGGCCCTATTGCCTAGCTTGCAGTAGTCGCACCTGCCATGGTGTGGAGCGATGGTGTGCGATTTGGACAATTGGAAGCGCGAGTTTGAGCGTGTCGGCGGACTTGGGGCTCCACATTGGATCTCTCCAGAAGGCGCGACACGGAATGGAGAATGGAAGCAGAAGGAGGGGAAGGTCGACGGTATTATCCATGCCAATGAGATTCCTTCTAGAGTCCCGTATCTGGAGCACGAGCACAAGTCATACAACGTACACGAAAGAGAAAGAGTGGGGGAGAAGAGGACACAAACTATCAAGTGCTCACTCTTGCTCTTTGCTCTCAACATCAGCTCCTTGGTGGAGCTATGTTGGGGCGTTTCCGTGTCTCGGGGCTTCTTCCTGCGATGCCCCCTCCCTTGACTCCCGTTTCTGCCGGCCGCCTCATCAATTGATCAAATCTCATTCGATCACTCAGTGCTGGCTGCTGCTGTTGCCTTGCATTCCATCTGCTGACCGACCACTTCTAAATAGCTTGAAAGCGGATGTTTTATAAGTGTGCCCATCCGCCGACCACTTACAAAATTGCCCGCCGTCTCGGAACCACTATCGGCGGCATCGGAGAAAATGGTCCCAAACTGCCAGAGAGGTGTGCTGGTACCACTGGTGGAACACGAAGGAAGGAACTCGCACCAAATAGCGGCCCCTCTTCTCATCTTGGATCAATCCCAACTCGATTCATCCCTGATGAGGGACCACTTCGCACTAGCCTTGGAGCCGACTTTAGCTGGCCCTAGCTTGACGTCAACCCCCTTGCACACTGCAATTGCAGGGAAGGTAAAAAAGAAAGAAAAAACTAAGAAATTTTGCCAAAGTTCCGGCGTGTAGCATCGATGGAAGGGTGCGGCCAATTTTCGAGAATAACACCGAACCCCTCCTTTCGTCGTATCCAACTCGACTGAGGTCTCCAGAGCGATGAATATTACCCGGGTAGCCTTTTGCGTCCCAGCAAGAGAATCCGTCTCGCATCATGCAACTATACTTCAGGTATAGTACCTTCTGCACTCTAGGAAGTCCCTAGAGCAACAAGGACTATTAGCCAGGCAAAGAACGACTGCGCCGCATAGTTCCATACGGTTTTATCTTCTCCGTGCGAACAGGCTAGGCATGCAGGCAGGACCTCCTCAAAGGGACGAGCGTCCCTACGAACGGATACTTATCAAAACAGAACTGCCACCGCCCGTCTTGTTCGAAAGACTCGCTCACTTCTGGCTTGTTATCCTAACCCCCCTCGTCCCCACCACCATCCACACTCGTTCTTCCACCTAGCCCGCCCCGCCACCCATCCCACGCTCTGGTGCTGGAGGCGTTGGGATGATGGAGGGGTGTGATTCTCGGGTAGGTAGGGGGAAGGCTAGGTGGGTTGTATTAGATGTCGCAGCACGAGTGGGATGGTTGATAGCTTTCCCGGTTCTATCTTAAAACCCCCTCTTATAAATACACGAAGAGTTCTTCCAAGGCCTGGCTTCACGACCAGTCTTTCCCATTTGCATACATTAATGACCGTGTCCTCAATCTCTTCTACTCGAATCTGATCCTCGTTTCTCCCTCAACTCTTCTTGACCCATCTCCTCCTCACCAACCCACCCCGCCCGATCACTTCGCACTTTCAGTCCGCCTAGCCTCCAAGCATCTATCCCGTCTAAGTCCCCCTCAAACGACATTCTCCAAGCTCCCAACCACACCCCGCCAAAATGGTTGCCGTTCCTAATATCAAACTTAACAATGGCATCGACATGCCCCAGGTGGGCTTCGGTCTCTGGAAGGTCGGCAACGATGTCGCCGCTGATACTGTTTACAACGCCATAAAGGCTGGGTACCGCCTCTTTGACGGCGCTTGCGGTGAGTTTTGGGGAGCCCCATACTTTTCTTAATTACCATAGCACATATCCCCTCTCTCTACCTATATTACAACTTCCGAGAGACGAGGGAATGGGAATCTCCTCGGGCCGAAGCTATTTGGACTTTCAAGAACTCCCCACGAAGCTCCGTGGCTAGCTCTCAGGAGATGGTGTTGTCCACGCCGCCCCAATGGTCGACTTGTAAGCCAATGAGACCCGGACCCCTCGTGCGCCCTGTACGAACGACACGGGAAGTTTTCAGAGGAGACAACCAAGAGAATGGACCAAGGCGAAAAGGGAAACGAGCGGTACCAACAGGCAACAGGCAACAGGCAAAATCGAGGGGATCGATAGCTCCCCATACCCCTCCATTCTCTTTATTTTACCCCGCCATGCCGATATGCATGAAACCGACCCGGTCCCGCCGCTTGATTGGCCGAATGACTCCATGCCTTCGAGGTTGACTTATTCCGCCTGCACCTTTCCCATGCACATGAGCGCTCATCCGGACAGCGAGCGGCCATAGTTTTGCCCCAGCGTTTCCGGATTAGGGCTCTAGTTTTTCTGAATGGATTGGAGGCCGGTTCCGTGGCCCGACCGGACCGGGAAAGCTCTCACCGTCGCTTGAAAACGGATCTTCATGAGATGCAACCACCGAGTCCCATTCTAAAATTTTACGCTGTCTTGCACGATCACTTGGACACCATGTTCCCCCAATCTTTTGCCATTTTCCCATTTTGAAATTCAATGCCATATTTCTTTCTATCTTGAGATTGAAGACGATGTCTAATCATTAATCTAGACTATGGCAACGAGGTTGAGTGCGGCCAGGGTGTCGCCCGCGCCATCGCCGACGGTCTCGTGAAGCGCGAGGAGCTCTTCATCGTCTCCAAGCTCTGGAACACCTTCCACGACGGCGACCGCGTTGAGCCCATCGCCAGGAAGCAGCTCGCCGACTGGGGCCTCGACTACTTTGATCTCTACCTCATCCACTTCCCCGTTGCCCTTGAATACGTCGACCCCAGCGTCCGCTACCCGCCCGGCTGGTTCTATGACGGCGAGGGCGAGATTAGGACTTCCAAGGCCTCCATCCAGGAGACCTGGACGGCCTTCGAGGGCCTCGTAGAGAAGGGCCTTGCCAAGAGCATCGGCGTCTCCAACTTCCAGGCCCAGCTCCTTTACGACCTCCTCCGATACGCCAAGATTCGCCCCGCCACCCTCCAGATCGAGCATCACCCTTACCTCGTCCAGCAGGAGCTCGTCAACCTCGCCAAGGCTGAGGGTATCGCCGTCACGGCCTACTCTTCCTTCGGTTCCCTCTCCTTTGAGGAGTTCTCCATGAAGCAGGCTAAGGGCCTCACTCCTCTCCTCGAGCAGGACACCATTAAGGCTGTTGCCGAGAAGAACGGAAAGACCCCATCGCAGGTCCTCCTTCGATGGGCTACCCAGCGTGGCCTCGCTGTTATCCCCAAGACCACCCGCCCCGCCATCATGGAGGCCAACCTCGATGTCACGAGCTTCGATCTCCCCCAGGAGGATATCGATGCCATCAGCGCACTTGACAGGAACCTCCGCTTCAACCAGCCCTCCAACGTAAGTGCCCTCCTGAATTTTCCAACAAACGAGACATCTTGATTTTCTTTGCTTCCCGATCGCATTTCTTTATTGATCGTTTCTTGCTGACTCGAACCTCTCCGTAGTACTTCCCTACCGAGTCCCTCTGGATCTTCGGCTAAGCAATGCCGCTGGCCCACTTATTCTCATGACTTGTAATTGACGAACCATCATGCCACTATGGGTAGATGACGAAGAGAAAGAAAAAAGAAGACTCATGGAAGGAAACAAAAGCCCCACCCGACCATGAGAACAATGAGGATAAATTGGGGAGAGGAGTGAAGCTCATCATGTCCTTTCATCCCAATCCCTTGCAAGATTCCCCCTCCTCGTCGTCATCTCTAAAACCCACCCCTCCTGTACCTTATCCTCAGAAAGATCAAAAAATAAACCTGACCCTTGACGCCGGTTGTGGTATTCCCCTAATAGTTACCACAACTATAAACAATAGCCTGGTTTCAAGTAATGTCGCCTAACATAACTGGGGTGTCTTTTTTTGTGTGTTTGTGCCTTGCCCGTCCATCCATCGTAAAGCTGCATCAAAAGAGCGTTTCGGAGTAGAAAGCAAGCAAATGTGAACCTCTCTGTTTTTTTAACCCGCTGTATACCCTCGTTTTCCCCAAAAGATGTATCAATGGGCTGTAAGGGGAGACTGTAGAGAGATACGGTAGTCGTGATGCAGAGAACCCAAGAATTTCAAATCTATTGTACATTACACCTTGACAAACGCTGCAGAAGAAGAAAAAAAAGGGTCAGTAAAAACAAGAATATCTTCGCTAAAGGAGGAGGAAATTTCATACTGGCATCGATCTGGATGACCTGCGGCAGCGCCAGCCTAACTTTATTCCTATACAGCGCCGGACCGCGCAACTGCACGGGATTCCCCTCGAAATAAACCGTCGTAAGCTTCTTCTTATCGCGCAAAACATTCTCGATGTCGCCAATGTCAGCGATCTGGTTATAGCTAGCCCAGAGCTCCTCGAGGTCCGCGAGGGGGCCGAGACCCTCGAGGCTAGCGATCTGGTTGTTGGAGATGTCGATGATGCGCAGCTTCGTGTTGTTCTCGATTCCCTTGAGGGAGTCGAGGGCGTTGTGGGAGATGTACAGCTCTTCGAGACCGGGGACGGCGGCGAGGGGGGAGAGGTCGCGGATGCGATTGGATTGGATGCTGAGGAGGCGTAGGTGGGGCAGTCCTCCGAGGCCGGTAAGCTGTGTGATTTTATTCTTAGCGACCCAAAGCTCCTCGAGCGCCGTGAGAGACTCGAGGTTCTTAATCTCGCGAATACGGTTCGACCCGAGCTCAAGCGACGTCAACTTATCGAGACCGTCCAGGCCCTCAATGGTAGAGATCTTATTCGCGACGAGGAAAAGTTCGCGCAGCTCCTTGAGGTGGTTCACGTGCTTAATGTGCCGGATCTTGTTGAAGCTCAGATCGAGGCTGGTGAGGTTGACGAGGTCGTCGAGGCCGCGGATGCGCGTGATGAGGTTGTCGTACATGTCGAGGTCCTTGAGTTTGGCGGCTAGGCAGGACAGGCCGTCGATTTCTTGGATGCAGTTTTGGCGGAAGCAGATGCGGGCGACGTTTTGGAAGCGTTCGAGTTTGAGGGCGGGGATGGAGGCGATGCGGGAGTGGGAGACGATGATTTCGTCGGTGTCGAGGGGTTCGCCGTCGAGGAGATCTATGGGGAGGTTGAGAGGGAGAAGTTAGTTCTGTACTAGATAGGGATTATGCCACTTCACAGCTGCATTCTGCGACCTCAGCGCTCCTACGGGAGTATGGATTTCCCAGTCCTTTATTATTCAAAGACCAAAGACCCAGGGGAGCTCATATACCTTCGTCGGCATCAATCACCTCGCCGGGCAACACATTCTCGTCGTCCGAATACTCTGGATCCGAAAGAGCTTCGGGATTTGTCAATGACGCCCGCCTAACGCGCAGCTTGCCATCCCAGCCCTTATCGTTCCTCATCCCGGGGCTCGGCTCGCCGGGGTGGTGCACGGGCGGGTTCTCTTCGAGTTCGATGTGGCGGGGCGTCGTTGGCTTCGCCGGCGTTTCGGGCTCGGGATTCGTCATGGTTCTGGCGTTTGAGTGGGATGAATTGTTATGGTGGGGGCGGGCAAAAAGATCTTGGGGAGTGCGGGGTGCAGGTTGTTTGCGGATGGATTTGGACGATGGAAAGGGAAGACGATTCGCTTCGAAAGATGGCTTGGATTATTTTGAGTAGATTGGAAGAGAGTAAGAGTAGAGCGGGTGTTGATTATGAAGGTGGGAAGAGTGAGATCTTGTTCGTGGCAACAGAGGTGGGAGGAAGAAGCTGACGGAATGGTCATCAGCCTTTGGGCATCTGGCTGAAGTACCCCACAGCGACAGCAACATTGACGGGCCTAGGAAACGGGTCCAGCGCCAGAGCTCCTGTACGGGATCCCAATTATTACCCCGGCGACCTTGATATTGAGTAAGGATGAAGAAGAGTCAACACAGCCCAGTCAAAAGCTTCAAGGCTGCAGCGGCCAACATCAATTGAGACATTCAACAGGCACAGTACATCCAAGGGTTCGACTCCTTCCGCCCGAAACCTGCAACGGGCCAGGGAGAACAAAATAACTGGATATCGACTAAAACGCTCAGTGGATGCGTTGGCATCTGTCCACTTGCATCACCTGGATGGATCAGTACGAATCAGAAGCACGAGATGAACTGATGCCGGGGAGCTTAGCGCATTTACATTTCTCGTGGCAGCCAGGCGAGGATAGGCGGTGAGACATTGCTCGGCAGAATCTTTTCTCCCTTCTCGTCCATTTCCATCCTGTTCCTGCTTGCCGTTGCATTCTGTGACATAACCTGCTTTTTGGGTTCCAGGCCGGTCTTGGCATCACTAAATTCATGGAGTAAACTATAATGCCTTCATCACGACGAATCTCACAGCAGCAATGGCGACGAGAGGCCCTACCATCTCAGCAATCAGGCTAGCACGGCCTCGTCTTGTTGCTTCTCGAACTTATCCCATCTTACACATCCGAACACGCCAACTGTCTCTGAAGCCATTCCTGCTGCCACCCGCCATGTTTTGCGGCCTGTTAGGGGCGCTCTGGATCTGGAAGTGTACAATGATGGTCGTGTTCCAGAACAAAATCATCTACATGCCGGGACTGCCGCCTAATGCCCGTCGCGAGTCAATCGAGGACTACGAGGCGCAATGCTACGGCATCAAATGGCGTGAGGAGAAGATAGTGGCCACTGACAAGACGAATCTCTCACTATGTGTGGCTGACGTGGTCACGGGTAGGCCATCTGGTCGCTCTGAATCACCAACAGGGGTCGAGGAGGATCTAGTGCCCGTGTATATCCTCTACTTCCAAGGTTAGATAGAGTCACTTTGTGTGCGTTGCCTGTTGCCCCAACCCGCTTACACGTAGTAGGGAATGCGTCGTCGATGCCTCCACGGCTTCCCGACCTGTCTTACGTACTGCGGTCCCTGAGGGATCGTAACCCCAAATCTAAATATGCTTTCACCATGGTTTGTCTTAGTTACCGAGGATATTGGAGGTCCAGGGGCCGACCTACGGAAAAAGGCATCAACAAAGACACCGAGGCTGCGGCACAATGGATCGCCGATGAGTGTAGTAAGAGTGCCGGCAAACACCAGCCTATCCTGATTGTGTGGGGTCAGAGCATTGGAGCAGGTTTCGCGACTAACCTTGCCGTCTCGCCCAACTTCCCGAAAGGTCTTCGTCTAAATGCCATGATACTCGAGACTCCATTCCTCTCTATCAAAGCCATGCTAAGCACCCTCTACCCGGAGAGATGGGTTCCGTATAAGCACTTGTGGCCATTCCTGCGGAATCATCTTGACAATTGGAAGAACCTGGGACTGTTGGCTGAGCAAAGCAAGGCGGCGGGCATCGCCCCTCCGCGGGTGTTTATCTTAGCAGCAGGCAGGGATGAGCTGGTTCCTGCCGAGCAGAGCGATATGCTCTATCAGCGGTGCGTCGAGGTTGGGGTACCTGTGGAGAAAACGAGTGTCCCGAAAGCTTATCATAACGAGTCGATGATTCGAGCAGAGGGAAGGCGTGCCGTCGCCGTTGCGATTGAGAAGGAAGTCGCAGATGCACTGAAGGCGGATGGAAAGAGTGGGTCATCACAAGTGCGGTGACCTGATCCCGATGTCTCTTCTCGTTCTGGCTGCAATTCCTGCGCCGTTTCCGGCGCCGTTTCCTGGGAAACCAGCCCGTAGCTTCCTGGAAACGACGACTTGCAGTCACTTCAAATTGGCCTGAGAAGTGAGGTCTGGGGGCCAGTGGATGCATGGAACAGTGAAGAACAGTGAAGCTTCCGACGTTGGAAAGAACGGGACCGCAGAACTTGTGTTCTTGTCACATGCCCCGCTTCGTTTCGAGTCTGGACCTTCGAAGAATTATGGATGCACCTTCCATCAACAGAGCCTCCACGATACAAGTTACACAGCCCGCAGCTTATCGACATGTTCAGGCCACCCCGTCCTTTCCGCCGGTTCACTGGGGGCAGGTACGCCATGTCTTTTCGACTGACACGCCGGGGAGAAACTGGGTGCTTCCTGGACTTACACGCAACCGTCGCTTCCCATGGCCTTTCCCTGTTGGTTGATAGCATTAACAGTCTTGCTCAACGAAACCACCCTCTCTCCTCGACTGTCTTCTCTGAACTTCTTCCCAGAAATCTCTTCTTCATTCTTCATCTGTCAAACACCAGCCCAACTCCCAATTCAGTATCATCACGCAGCTTCAGATACAATCCCATCATCGTTCGTTTACATCAGTTGACATCAACCACTTTTTAAACATTTCAACCCAAGAAATCCATCGTTACCATCCAAGATGCGTCTCTCGCTCATTGTAACCCTCTCTTCGGCTCTTGCCGTTGCGGCCACTCCCCTTCCCGGCCTGTCTCATGATAAGGCTCAGGAGATGAAGCAAGGCCTGGCCCACATGGCAGCCGCCCTCGACACCGACAACTGTTATGTCGCCAAGGCTCAACTGGGTGTCCTCAAGCACTCGTTTGTCGACGGGATTGTTGAGGGCCATGTCGAAGATGAGGAGGTACGTTGATGACATTTCCACACACGACTAATGATGGCTTCCCCTGGTGGCTCCTAAAACCCAGAGTACTGACAGCTCGCCGCAATTTGTTTAGGAACTTGTGAAGTTTATCACTCGGGAAGAGGGCCATGCCATCCTGAAGAAGGTGCAGCAAATTCGGGACGGAGGGAGCGTCCACGCAAGGGAACTCATCGATAACATACCTCCTGGGCCCCAGAAACCCCAAGGCCCGACGAGTCCAGAAGGCGGAAAAGCTGGGAAGAGCGGCCCTAAAGGCTCCAAGGGCCGTAAGGGCAAAGGCCGGAAAGGTAAAGGCAAAGGCAAAGGCAAGGGTAAGGGCCGCAAGGGGAAGGGTCGGGACCCCAGGGATGACGACATCTCTGCCTCTGAGACCGAGCTTCTCAACACCGCCAAGCTTCCCTGTGGGTCGAGCAGAAGGATCCTCAAAGTTGTTCGCAACTTCATCGCCGAGGTCCCCAAGACTGGGAAGACAACCGATGGGAAGAGCGTCTACTACGTTCACCCAACCGACGAGCGTGACCTCCGGCGCAAGATTGTCAAGGCCGCTACGTCGCGGCGATATTGAACAATATTTCAGGTGGACTTTTGTTTTTTCTCTAATTCAGCGAGGTTGACGTCGAGTCTTGTGCGTGGGAATGGTTTAAGCCTTGTCTTACATTGTATGCATTGTATTACATTGGGTAGCGGATAAGAGAACGGATAAGAGTATGCCGTTAGTATAGAGGTACAACCCCAGGGTTCGAGCATAGATAGAGGAATCAGTTGTTGCCCCTAGATGATGCCGCTCCCAATGTGCAAGCTTCAACCGTTCATCTACAAGTACCCTCACCAACATCTACAGTCAAAAGCAGAAGGTCACCAACATAGCACAGTAAGCACTCGCCCGCTCTCCCATCTCGACAAGACTACGAGTAGAATCGTCGGTTTTGCAAGTCACGCCATGGCTGTCCACTAATATGTCACTTACACAGACGTGCATGGCATTGACCAGCCGTGAGGGAAGGCATTCCATACAGATAAGAACGGGTGAACGCACAAGCACAATAAAATTATTAATATCATATACACTGGGGGAAAAGGGGCAAGAACGTGAGGAAGACAACATCTGATGCTTTCTCCTTCACTTAAACTTCGCTCACTCTGTGCGATACGGGTATCAAGATATAATATTCCCAACGCGTGGCAATTCCGGGTATTTTCTCACTCTTATATGGGCGCATATTGAACCAAGTTCTTGGCTCAGGCCTCCAGTGGACAGGTACGCGCATTATCGTCAGCTGCGATAACTTGCAGTCCGGCAAGGTCTGCCCGACGATGAGGTGGGGAGTGATTGGAACGCTTCGCAAGCAAACGTGGATAAAAGATCAGATGAAACCGGGTACGGAGAGTGGCTTTTAAGTGCTTATCCATATACCTCTGTGAAGGTGCGAGATTAACGACTGTTCTCGTGTAGACACGACATAGAGAGATTCGCGGATGATGGACGCTCTCCGTCCCCAGTCGAATCCTGTGAATTTGGCAGTTTAACTCCAACGATCGTTGGGAATGGCTGACAGGCGATGTGGACGGAAAGGCCAGATAACGACGAAGGTTCCCACCTCGAGATTGTCTGTCCTCTCCTCACTCCTCAGCCTTTCCCAGTTATAATATTTCAAACTATTTATCCGCAAGCAGATCGGATGGATGGATGGATGGATGGATGCAGTCTGCAAGGATCCCGCCCCCAGGACACCACCATCTCCTCCAACTCTTTATTGATCCTATGTGGCCCTCTGATGGGGTTCCCGCGTTTACTTATCATGCAGTCCAACGGGGGTGCGTCTCGACTCGCTCTCGTGGCATATCTGGCCAGCGTTCACTTTTTGCCGCTTATATTCACCCGCCTAGGACAGGACAGGGTTCTGCCACTCTAGTTATTCCTTCCATGCCGCCCCATTATCGATGACCCCAAGCCTCATATCCGGCCCACGATATTACCTGCTGCGTAATCAACCCCTCTTTCCCTTCCAATTGGGGTTCATCATGGCCTAAGTCAGAGATGCTAATTGAGAGCTTGCATTTTTCTTCTCGGTGATGTAAATGCCGAGAGAGAATCAGCTTGGCGTGGAGAGAGAGAGACTCTTACGCGTTTAGCTGGGCGTATGAGTGTGACACAGATACTCTAAACTCTGGATCCCCTAAATTCCCCTACCTTAGCCAAGTCGCTCTCTCCATTTATCCCACAAGGCTGGTCTCATGTTGCCCCTCCTCCCTTTCCCCGCGTTTTCTCATGTTGGAGGGAGGTCCCGGCGTGACGACGATCCTGGTGATCCTTTATGCCATTTAAATTCTTCCCTTCTTATCATGGGCTTTCCAAACGCCATGTGGCGTGTCCGGGAAACCGTTTTCCTATCTAATACTTCCGTCGCGATCCTGCTCTTTTATCTCCTCTTGCTGGGGAGTGAATTGTGTACGTGTACATTTTCTTGGCATTATAGTTCCCTGATATACCTTTCACAGCCTTCCTCGATGTAGATCATAAATTCTTTTTTCCTTCTTTTTCTTTCCTTTGCCTCATTGCTAGTTTCTCGTACCCAGCTTTCGTAGTAAGAGCTGTCCATTGGGGAGCAGGTCGAGGCAATCCTCGAGTTCTGTCCTCCTTCCACTCTCTTCAGTACCGAGATACGCTCCTAAGCTTCGCAGCTTGTTAAGAGCCCTCGTCTACTGTAAATCATGAAGCTCCTCTTCCTCCTTCTCGCCTCTTCAGCGGTGGTCTTTGCCGAGCCATCCTCCTCCCACTCCCCTCCTACCTCCCCCAGATCCATAGATCTCGGCCGCTACTGCTACCCACCCATCCTCAACTCCGACGCCGCCCACCTCCTCACCTGCCCCAGCGAAGACCTCGACCCGCGCTACACCTCCGGCCCCACGACCCCACCACCACCGCCTCGCAAGCGCAAAAAGAAGAACCCGAACGCGCAATGGGACAAGATCGGCCCGTGCCTCCGCGCCAACGTCACGGACCCGGACTCGACCGAGTTCTGCATCTACTACAGCAGTGCCCTAGGATCCGGCCGCGGCGTCGTCGTGCTCACCGAAGCCGAACGCGCCGACTACATGCTCCGGTACCCGGCCTTCGACCCCGACTCCGACCTCGCTGAATCGATGGCCGGCGGTCCGGGACTGAACAAGTTCACGCCCAAGGCGAAAGTAGTTCCGATCCCGGGGAAGGAGTACGGCGTTGTGGCGACGGAGACGATTTTCAAGGGGGAGAGCATCATCGCGGAGACGGCGAGCTTGCTGATCGATTATAACCCCGTGTATAAGCTGGCCGAGAAGGATCTGTTGAGGTTGCAGGCTTTTGGGATCGAGTATTTGCCTGGGGCGCATAGGGAGAGGGTGTTGAATATGTCGACGCATGGGGCTTCGATGGATGTTGTGCATAAGTTGGAGAAGGTGCTGGTGACGAATGCGTTTGAGGTGAAGTTGGATGATGAGAATGAGAATAATCTTTATGCATTGTTTGCAGATAGTAGGTCTTTTTATTCTCCCCGTCTCCTCCGAAAGGCAGAAGAAGAAGGGCTCATGAAAGGAGAGAAAATGGACTTATGCTAACATCGTCGCAAGCCGCGCGGATGAACCACGACTGTCGCCCCAATGTAGGCTACCACTGGGACTACAAAACCTTCACACAATACGCCACAGCCCTCCGAACAATCTACCCCGGCGAAGAACTCACCGTATCTTACATCAAGTAAGCCATCCCCTCTCCCCCCAATCCCTCCCTCACACTAACAACAGCACCAGCGGCCTCCGCCCCCATCACAAACGTCAATCCGGCCTCCGCCGCTCCTGGGGCTTCACCTGCACCTGCCCCGTCTGCTCCCTCTCCGCCGCCCAAATCGCCACCTCCGACGCGCGCCTCGCCCAAATCAAACTAGCCCGCCGGGCCCTCGCCGACCGCACCCCCTCTTCCCCGGCAACGCCGCAGCTCGCCGAGATGCTCATCAGCCTTTTGGAGCAGGAGAGGATGCACGTGCTGATGGGGGAGGCGTACACGTACGCTGCGCTGGAGTGGAACGGGGTCGGGGAGGCGTGGACGGCGATGCGGTATGCGCGGCGGGCGATCGAGGAGGAGGTTTTGCAGGTGAGGGAGGAGAGGGGGGAGGATGTGGAGGATATGTTGGAGTTGGCGGAGGATCCTTGGGAGCATTGGAGTTGGTTGTGGAGGACTAGGAAGAGGATGGGGTGGAAGCCCTTGAGGGAGGAGAAGAAGAAGGAGATTGAGAAGGATGTGGAGGAGGTGAAGGAGGAGGTGGAAGAGGCTGCGGCTGTGGAGGTGGGAGAGGGAGAGGGAGAGAGTCACGAAGGTGAAGGTAAAGGGGAGGGAGATTCGGAGAAGCGAGCAGAGGCATGACGATAGTTCACAAGGTAGAATCATCGGGATGTCCATGGATTCTGGCGCCGGGGCGTGTGGTGTCTTTTTGATATTGGTTATCCGTGTCGGTCGCACCTCTTAACACCTTGGATGAAGCCATACAAGTCACCCAAATACGAAGGAAGACGAGCTGTCTACGCATAATTGTTAGGGTTAAATGTGAGTCATTTTTTTTTTTTTTCCCATTGCGTTTTCCATATATACTCATGTCTTGTACTTCATTCTGATTTATACATTCCTCCATTGTTTTTCTCCATCCATGCGTCCCGTTCCACCTCTCTCGAAAACCCCATTTCGTCATGTCAATGCGTGATAACCTTTTTACCTGTTTATGAATGCGCCTCTGCGTCTAAAGTGGATTTGGTAGAAGAAGAAAAAAGGAAAGGAGGAAGAAGAGTGAAGAGAACAAAAAAAAAAAAGCCCTGTCCAGGGTAGGTAATAGAGCCCGCCGGCCAACTCCCGTTAATGTCTGCTGCAAATCGGGAAGTAAGGGAAACGCCGAATCAAAAAGTAAATATGACCGCCCTCTCAAGGATGGAAAAATCTTCATCCTCTCAGAAGGCGGACGTAGGGATAACGGGAATATCTCCGTCAGGCTTATAAGAAACCAACCGCTCCGTCCGAATCTTCAAGGGCTTACCCGCGCGCTTCTTCGCCACCATCTTCCACGCATCGACAACCCACTCCGCGGGCTCAAACTCAAAAGAACTCGAAAAGACGAGCTCGGCATGCTTCTCGTGAACGGAATACGTAAGCCGATGGCGTCCGGCCCACATCATAGGTCTCTGGCTAATAGTCAGCGATTTGAGCGCCGGCATGTACACGGCGAGGCGGGCCGCTGCGAGGGCGAGATCCTGGCGGAACTCGGTTACCATGTCGTGCTTGTTGAAGTCTGCGTTCTCCTTGTACCAGTCGATCTTGTAGATGAGGGAGGCGTAGTGCAGGTCGACCGTCTCGAGGTACTTGCACTTGGGTAGGCCCCGGCGGCTGATGGGCAGGATATCGCGATCCTCCGAGTTGGTGGGCCAGAGCGGGATGAGGAAGGCTTTGATGGTGACGAGGTTGGCGATGGAAAGTGTGCGGAGGCGGGGGGCTACGTCGCGGAGACAGGAGGCAAGATGATCTCCGGCGTCGGCCTCGGATATAGAAGCGTGAGGAAGTTGTCTCCAGTTGGAGGTTGTGTTGCCTCTGATAACCAATGTCGAGAGACGATGAGGCCAACGGACCATCAGGTCCCCGAATTCTAAAGAAGGCGGTCAGCTGTTAATTTGATAATCCCTTCCCAAGGTGTTATTGCTGTCGCCGTCCTGGGAAGCGCGCGGGCAGGCAAGACCGCTCGTCTTTTCCTTCTTGGCTAGACTATATCTTAAACCGGGTTCATGGATGAAGGAACTTACGCGAGAGGTTGAGCCTTCTTACTAGGACGCGCCTCTCCTTCATGATGTTCAGATATGCCTCGCGCAAATTAGGCAAGGCAGATATGATCTCGGCATATGCGGCAGGCATGACGGCGCGGCGATGAAGGCCTTCTGATACAAATTTGGTAATAGAATAAACGGGCTTCAGCAGGCCCACTACGCGCCGCTCGTCATCCTGGCCGACGAAGTCGACGGCCGAATCAGCGAAACGCCTCTCTCCAATGTCTCGGGTGTTCCACCGGCGCTTCTGCCAGAGGGCCAAGCCGACATTCCTTAAGTCGCTGGGGCTGGAAACGGACAAATCTAGCCGGATGCCACCGGGGACTACATCCTCCTCCGGCCACGTATTCATCAGCGCAAACAGGCGGGTCAGAGTCTCGGTAAAGATGTCATTGATTCGCCTCTTGTCGTCAAAAGACTCCTTCTGCGTACATGGATCGCAAGCATACTCTGGGGCTCGGATGTGTAGTAAAATGCCCCGCAGGCGACGACGCCTCACGCCGACGACGAACTCCTCGAATTCATCCAGCCGGTCAAGGCAGAGGTAGAGGTTGGAGAAGGTTTGGCGCTCGATGATTTCTTGCCATTCTCGGCAAACGGTGGTGTAAGGTGCTAAACCGGGCGATGTGTAATGAGTCGACTTCGGGGCATTGAGACACTCCTCGATTAAGAAGAAAAGAATGGTCTGCCGAAGCTCGGGAGGGAGCGTGGCGAGATTGGTGGGCATTTTCAGAGGTGGGCTCTTTTCCTGGATCTCAAGTATTGGCGATGGAGGACTCCAAATGTCTTTGGTGAGTGTCAGGGGCTCTGCACATCGCATTGCCGCGTGAGGTTGAAAGTGGGACGAGCCCAACGGAGCCGGGGGGGAAAATGTCCGCGAGGGGAGAAACAAGGGGAAAGACGTAATTGAGTTCGGGGAATTGCTTAAACCAGTGCCAGAACCTCCTTGGTCATTGGAGAACCCGTTAGTGTTGGAGGTGAGATTGAGAATGAGGAGGAAGTAGGAAGCGTCGTGATCCTTCCTGTCCTCGTGCCTGTCGCCTGTTCGTGTGAGGTGAGATGAGTCGGTCCAGAGTTCCCGAGTTCCCGCGTTCCAGAATCCTAGAATCCTAGAATCCTACTTTGTAGAATTCCACAGCCTCTCTCAGTGAATGCAGAATGAGGTTTACGTTCCTGGGACTGGCAGCGTCGAGTTGAGAACCCTGGACAAAGAGTCAGGACGATAATTGACCGGGTTGCGCAACGGCTTTGGTGAGGGGCAGCTAGGCAGCTTCAGGCTGGGTTAACGTTCAAGCCTTAAAGACTGCAGGGCCGCCGTTGGTGAGTATCGGTGACAGGCTGATGGCCTCGAATCTTAAATCTTGGGCCAGCTTACGGCTGGCGCGGCAGGGATTGGATGAAGGAGGGTGTAGAGGGTGGTTGGTAGGACCCCTTGTGGCAGAAGAGCGGTAAATGTCGGCAAGGGATTGGTGGCCAGCCATGCCACAACTAGCGATGCAAGACAGCAAGACAGCAGAGCGTGGCCAAGCTATGTGTCTGTCCAAGTCAAGTTGTGTGTTGGCCCTTGGGCATGTTTGAGGTCACCGCAACTCGAAGCTGGCTGGAATTGGTTCGACTTTCGTGGCCCGATTTGGTGGAGGCAGCACACGGCCAGACAACCAAAAGAAGAGAGCGTCGAGTTTGGATAATGCCCGACAATATCCCCGAAGAGAGAAGAGACTGCTCTGTGCTCTGCTCTGTGCTCTGCTCTTTCCCTTCTAGTTAGCATGGGATGTGGGTTTCTCAGTGCTGCCTGGCGCCAGCTGCAGTGGTCTGGCACCCCCAAATGTGAGTTCGGCCCTCCCCAAGTTGCCCCAAGTTGCCCCAAGCTGCCCCTGCGCCTCTGCCAGGCTGAGAATCAACCAGTAACAAAGCTCTAAAAGTTGCCCCTCCCCCGCCTTGGGTTGAATTGATGTTGGAGCATTTCAGTGTACACTATGTCAATCGGTTGTACTTAATAATACCTTCAATGTGCACAGTATTATATACTGCTTCAAGTATCTCTCTTGTCTACTAATGTCCATCTCAGTTCTTGCCTATGACGCAGCCTGTCAATGCATCGCCATATCCATCAATGCATCACTCAACGCTTCCCTCACACAAACAGGACTCCCCGAGGTATGCCTCCGATAGCAGTAGGAATCTACAAACTAAACCTTTCCTAAATAAACATCTCTCCTTGGTTCTGTCTGTCTTTCTTTTGGGTTTGCTTTGATTCTTTCTGTACCATATCCAAAAACCCTGCTTCTCCTACTCCTTTCATTAGACTCCCCATCGTTGTCATCATCGTCATCGACATCGACATCCCATCGCCATGGGAGAACATCTGCCTGCCGACGAGGTCGTCCGCCGCCTCCAGGAGGCCCGCCCTCCCGCTACTGACGCCTTTACCTACCTCGCCCTTCTCGACCAGCACATGTCTCCCGAGCTGTTACCCGCCCTTCTTGAAATCCTGCAGGACGCTGAGCTTACGACGCTTATTGGATGGGACCTAGTTGACATGCTGATCAACGTTCCCGGCAGTGAGGAATGTCTCGAGACTGTGGCCCGGCTGGGAAACCCGCGAGAGGTGATTCTTAAAGCCTTAGAGGTGCTGGAGAAGACGGCCATCGAAGAGGTCGAGGATGAGGAGGGCGGAGAGCTCAGCTCGGATAGGAAAGACGCCGAGGGTTCCGAAGAAAGGGAAGCTATTAGTCCGGACGCCCCGAGCGCGTCGTCCAAGTTCATCACCCTCCTCGGCATGCTTGGGATTCTTCACAAACGCCTTAAAGTCCGCCGGCCATCTCGCTTCCTCCACACGACTCTCCAGGCCGTACTTCAATGTTATACCCCAAACCGCGAGGAAACTGCCGCCATCATTAGCTTCGTTCGCGCCGTTTCCATTTTTGCGCGTCCGCCTTTGCCTTCACGCAAATCTAGCACTACCCTTGAGACTCCATTTCAGACTAACGATCCCTCTAAGAATGCTCCCGACCCCGAAGCGGAAGCGCAAGATCCGGTGGAGGAGGACCTCATGTCCAGGCTTCTACAGAGCTTTATAACGTGCATCTTTGAAGCCTTTGTAAACTCTAACGAGATTGGATGGGCGTCTAGGCTCGTTGAGTTTTATAACCCGCATAAGATTGTTCCTGGCCGGAAAACAGTCATGCAGGCCTTCAGGGACGACCCGGATCTCCTCGCTCGAGATGCGCTTCTAGGACAATTAGCGGTATGATGACTCCTTATTCCTATTTTATTTTTATTTATTTTTTTTTTTCCATTTTTTTAAGTCTCCCCTCCCTCCACCCCTTCTCTTGTTTCCTTCGTTCTATACTCGTGTGGGTTCTAATCTCTCTTTCAGGGCCTTGCCGGAGATCTCGGGCTCGCAAACCTCAAACCCAATAGGATTGCCGAGCTTTGCGCCGCGCCGATCCAACCCGATCCGCTGGCCACTGAGCCCGATTCCGAGAATCCGCACCAAATAAAACTGTCCACGACAGGTTTTTGGTGCCTGACGGCCTACTGGGTCTTCGCCTCCGAGGTCTTTGACAGCGATTTCGTCAAGCCTGAAATGCACGTCTTCCCTGATCTGTATGACATGGTACATCGCTACCTCGGTGAAGATGCCCAGGCCAAGATTATCGAGAATCCCGGAGTCATCGAATCCCTGCTTGTTCTAGGATCCTGGCTGCACGAAAATAATCGCATTGTCGCGGACGACCAGACCGAGAAGCCCGCGTTTATGACCTTCCACCACTACCTTACCTTGTGTGCCGTATTCCACCGCTCTCTACAAATTCGAAATGCCGCTACTACGCTAGCAGGCCAAATACTCCATGCGGACCCCGACGACGAGGACCGCCTCAAGATCCTCGACGACCTGCTCGAGAACTGCATGTTCTCGTCCCTCCAGGCGTGTGCGGTAACCTGGCTCCGCGAGGAACTCATCCGCGCCGCTAAGGGAAAGGCCGACAACGTCTTTTCAACACCAGAATGCATCGAGTCCTTCCAGTACACGCTATTCCCGAGCCTCGGACACCTCAACGATGCGGAAGCCAATGAGCTCATCGAGTTCTGGGCCGAGAATCACCCTTTCCACCTGCAGGTAGCCAATTTTGCCTACTTCTTATTCGCCGGTAAGGATTTCCGGCATTTGGTGCCCGAGGGCATGGCGGCTGCCGTTGGAGAGCGTTACGTTCAGCCGATGATTGGTGTTGCGAAGACGTTGAGGGAGAAGACTGGCGGCGAGGAGAACGCTCCGCCGCATTATCACATGGATATCCAGGTGTTGATTGATAGGCTTGAGAGCCTTCCTTTGGATGCGTGAGATGGTTTTATGAGTTTATAAAGTTTATGGGCATTTTGATTTTGGTTTTTGTAAGGGCACGAAGGAAGGAATGCGACAACGCGAAGGAGCCAGGTCTGTATGAAGTTATAGAGTGTAGACTATATAGTCCTACCCTCGCCTCCGCCTTGCCTCGTCTCTTTTGTCACGGCGCATGCGAGCCATGGGTCTTGACTCAACATTAAGTTATTAGTTACGGTCAAGATTTCTCCGAAAAGAAGAATTAAAAGATTTTGATGCATATGACACTCGAGGTAACATACATATATAAGACTTGAGGCAAGGGGTGTTTTATGATGGAACTTTTGCTTGAGTGGCCATCGAAGTCCTTCCATGTGGACCTGATCCTTCTAAACCTGAGGCTATCTAGATGACCTCGAAAAGGCACTAAAAAAAAGAAGACGACCTAAAGACAAATATAATTTTACTTAGAGGAACTCAGTACCAAGACCAAGAACCCGCCATGTCCGTAACGAACATCAGAACCTTAAAAAAAAAAATAGGAAACGTGGACGTAACATCGTGAACTCGTGAGAGGAGCGAGATCCAAGCCCTCATGGCCATCTTCGCTAGCCTGTATCCGTCAAGGCCCAAAAACCACGTGTTGACAAACAGGACCAAGAAGAAAATACCGTGGAAAGCAAGAGATACTCCTGGCTAGACCGTATAGGCTCCAGATCTTCCGACCTTGGAAGCGGGTGAACACAGGAAATGAGTGACTTTGGTTGGTGGTGCCTGTGTATCTGCGCGTATTCTTTTATATATATATATATATATATATATATATATATTTATTTTTGGACCTTTTTTTTCGGGTTTCACTTTTCCTTTAACACTCGGACTCATCGTCGTCCATGGCCCGGGAATCCGCCTGCATGCTGCGGAAATGCTGAAGCATCCTCTGCATGCCGAGCTCGCTTGACTGGGCGGCGTCGGTGAGCTGGATGGACGAGGTGCGCGGGACGTTTCCGGGCTCGTTGCGGGAGCTGTTCATGGAGGAGTTGCGGGGGTCGGGGCGAGGGGTGGACTGAGGGATGTAGTGAGAGTTGTACTGAGGCTGAGGGACCTGATGAGAGCTGCTCTCGGGCCGAGGGATGTGCTCAGAGTTCTGCTGATAGTTCTGCTGCGCGTTCGGTTGGGAGTTGTACTGAGACTGAGAGATGTACTGAGAGTTATATCGAGGTTGAGGTGTGTGCTGAGAGCTGCTTTGAGCGTTGCCCTCAGGGATATAATAAGCTCGGGTGCCAGGCATATACTGAGCAGTGTCAAAACGGCTGGTGTTGGAGTTATATAGAGAATTTCCGCCCGGACCTCCGTTCTGAGCAACGTTGCCAGCGTCGTTATACTGAGAGACGCCATGAGCATGGCTGAGAGGCTGCTCGAGAGGCCTCGGCGCGAAAGAGGGCGTAGCAGGAACTTCAGCCATGACCGAAGGCGGCTGTGTGAGATACTCCGCGCTAGGAGGTCCGCTCATGCTAGCGATGGCATTTGCATGTGAAAACTGGTGAGACGCGTTGGTGACCCATCTGGCGTTTCCCAGATTCACATGCTGAAGGATGGCCAATTGCTGGGCCTGAGAATGTGGTTTAGGCATAGAGACTCGTGGGTCGACGGCGCCGCCGTTGGGCGTCATTCGACGGTTGTGACCCTGGCCGTGAGTGGCGTTGACCGGTGTCTGCCTGTAGGGCCGAGAGGAGGAACCACCCGTCCACTCGGGGACAGGGTCGATCTCATCCGAGATGCGAGTCTTCTGCATGGTAAGACGAAGCTCGTCCGAAAAAACCGGCCGAGTGCCTAGACCAACACCGGCCAGGGACTGAGGCTCTCTGAGAAGCAGCTGATCACCCTCGGACTCATGAAACCCGTCATAATACTGCAATTTCAAGGCGAAATCGTTCAAATCGAGGAGATAATCCCACTTGTGCACGGCATAGTTGATCATCATCGAAATCGGATCAGAGTTCTGATAATTCTGTCGTCTCGCCTTAAGCTCGAAAGTGTACCGCACACCACCAACAACACCGAGACGCTTCAAATCGCTCTCAAACCGGGTCGAAGCGATAATCGAGTCACCCTTGAGCCAAGGGCTGCTGTTCCTCTGCTCAAGCATAGTCCGGAGCATGTCTCGAGCCGTGACCAGCATCTCGGCGCACTCGTACAGAGACATAGGGGGACGAGGCTTGCTGGCGGCGTAGAGCCGGGAACACAGGATGTGGAAGAGCTCGCGGGCCGTGTGTTCGTTGATGCCGAAGCAGAACTCGAGGAGCTGGGGCGTGTCGAAGGCCTTGGGGATGCAGAAGCGCAGATCGCTCTGGTGCTCGTAGGGGGGCGCGTAGGAGTTGCGGAGGGGCCAGTAACCATCTCTGGTGTCCTTGAGTCGGTTGAAGTCGACTAGAGAGTGGCAAGAGTCATTGAGGATGCTGAGACTCCGGGTTCTCATGGCGATGGTCTCCATTGTGGAGGTGATGAATCTCTGACTGAGAAACATCGGTATAGGCCGTTTGGTGATGAGTAGTGATGAAGTAGTGATGATTCCTTTGATGGGGGAGGTAAAGATGTGTGTGATGTGATGGCTCTCAAGAGAGAAAGGGGGAACAGAATAAGTTTGCAAAAGGTGAATAGAAAGTATTCAATGGCAAAAGAAAACCAAATGGCAAGAGTTAATGCTGTATTCTTGAGGTGTCTCCGACTGAACTGGCTGCCCAGCTCGCAGGCATCGTTGGAATCAGAAAATCATATGTCAGGAAGGCTCACTTGTTCCCATGATGTCTTTTAGCCATCGCGTTTTTGCGCACTAAGCCTCGTCACACATCTAGGCCATATGCCTTCTTTAGCAAGTAGCCTTGGCCTTAGTGCCTCCCTCTAACCCTCAAAACCGCTCGAAATCAGGTTTCCCAAGCGTCCCCTTAACTTCTAGTCAGTCTTTATCTTCCCCCTCTTCCCCTGTCCTTCTCACAACTTCGATGCCTCGCTGCGGAACGCAGTCGTCACCGTACCGCGAACGGAGATGCCCCCGTCCGTGCCCTCAATCCAAACATCCCAGCTTCCCTTCCCTCCCTGTCCATCGGCGCCGCTAATCCTCCTTACACAGACAGTCAACGGCTGGTCGACGTACAACGGCCTAAAGTTCCTGTAGTCATACACCTCGACGGACTCTCCACGTGCCAACTGCGAGTTGAGCACCGTCAGTGCCACCACGACGCTAAACGGTCCGTGGAAGAGCATAGCGGGATGGTTTTCGGACCGCGCGTACTCGGGGTCGATATGGATGCGGTGAGCGTTGTACGTTAGTGCCGAGAAGTTGAAGAGGAGAGATGGCGAGGGAGTCAAGGTGACCGAGTAGTCGGGCTTTTCCTTGGCTGCGGCTATGTCGTTAGCATATCCATACAAAACCACTCCCAGGAGAGAGACTCACCCTTCATGGGAGGCTTCTTGGCCCCCTCTCCCTGCAGAAACACCAACCGCCTAACCTCCTCAATCGCCACCCCTCCCTCACCCTCAACACCATACCCCCTCTTCAAATCCATAACCACCATCCCATTCCCCTCCCCACCCCTCTCAACGACCCTCGCATCCCCAATCTCCTCGAATGCCACGACCGGCCTTCCATCCACCTTCAGCACATCCTCCCAACCCTCTCTAAACGTCATCTTCCCGCCCGCCCACATGCGCTTCACGTACGGCGCACCCGGCGCATGGTCGTTGTCGGCCCCGTCCCACGCTAGCTCGGAGGGTCGGGCCTGCAGCGGGAAGTACACGAGGTGGTGGCCCAGAGGTAGGGGCTTGCCCCAGGGGGGTAGGTTGGGCAGGGGGGGAAGGCTCTTGGAGCCGGCGAGGTGGGGGGAGGGGGACGAGGAGTTTAGGGGGTTTGGCGAGGCGGAGGCGAGGGGGTAGGGGTAGCAGGATTGGGGGAGGACGTCGGCGAGGAGGAGGCTGAGCAGATGAGAGTTTGTGGGTGAGAGGTAGTCGCGGATGAGTCTGGGTGGACGCGCCTTGGCGCTTGTGATGAATTGTTGGATGGAGCTGGTCATGGTCGAGGTGAAAACTCGAAGTGAGATGAATTATTTAGAAAATAATGGTAAAAATTGATGAAGCCAAACTCTAAAGAGCAACGGAGATACAGTCTCTGACGATGAAGAATGGTTTCGTTCTTTGATATATTATGAAGTAGTCAACTTGGAGCTTGAGCCTTTATTAGGCGAGAATTTCCGAGGTCAAGCAATGATCACTGCTCCGAAAGCCGGAAGCGAGGAAACAGCAGAAAACAAGGGTCTCGCATCCCTAGATCTAATCTCAACCCCACATCCACGATCAAGGGTAGAAAAATCAAGCAACACAACTGCTGAAAAGAACGCTTCTTACGATCCGAATGATGCATCCGGTATAGTGCTTCTGGAATATGCGGGGAAATCTACATTCAAGGCAGCCGGCCTCATTCAGAAGAGGGCCGATCCGGCAGCCGTCCTGAGGAACCGAGACCGAGGCATCATCCGCATTAATTCCACCAACTACTAGAATGCATCGCTAAAACTTGCGCAAGAAGAATACGACAAAAAAGTGTAAAAAAAAGCAAATAATATCTATTGAGGAGTGTAGGAACGCAAGTTTTGGATTCTTGACCGGCTAAAGCTTAACCGTTCTTCCACTCATCGCTAACAATCTCTCTCTGTCCTTCTATCGCTAGGCTAGCGCAGTACGACCCGGTGCATCGCAACTTCTCCGCCGTCTGATTCGTTAAGTTAGAAATCTGCCGTTCCAAATGGCCTCGTAGAAGAGGAAGGGGAATGGGAACAAAAACGGCTTACCCTGGCTTATCTTAATTCGTAGCTCAAGTCGTCGACATGACGCTGCGAAGCGGGCTGGGCCGATGGACCTGATGATTGTTGCGCCACTGCGACCCGCCGAACCTATTCCCTGGAGCCTGGCGGTGCCCTGCTTGAGCGGAGCGTGGGGTCGATGTCATCGGGGTATGGGGCCCGGAGTGCCTCGCTGCCTCGCTTTCGAATGTTCGAGCCTGAGCCAATCCCTCGTCCTGCACGAGGGAATCCTCTGGTCAATCGTCGTAAAAGTCATCATCATCCTCGTCGAGGTCGGCCAGCTGCTCAAAGTTGACCTTGTAGCGCAGGATGCCGCCCACACCACCGAAGCCCTTGACGAACTGGTTGCCCTCGGTTGACCTGTCCGACACAAACTCGAGAGTCGTACCGAAGTCGCGGTAGTGTTCGGCAATCCACTCGAGGAACGATTCCTGCGAGACGATTTCCATCTCCTGGCCTGTCTCCTTGTCCATAAACTTCTCGCGGTTGTTCTGTTCCTGCTCCTTGGTGGTGTGGAGGATAACCTCGCTTCCCTGGCTATCCTTGAGGACCCAGCGGGTGATCTCGAGACTCTCAAACACTATCAGGGTCTCGACAGCACCGAGGTCCAAGGCCTTGAGGGTATCATCGATACCGAAGCAAACACGGCCAGTATCCTGCGAAATCTCCTCAAAGTACTTGCCGATGAGCTTCTTCTCCTGGATAAACTTGACATTGCCAAGAGTCTCAGCGGACAGCTCGATGGCCTGGTTGAAGCCGTTCTCGCCACCGTATGACACGTCAACAACCTTGATGACCTTGGACTGCAATCGGTTGTCGAACATGTCCGAGGCGTTGAGGTCGTTCTTGAAGTCGGCCGAACCAGCAAGAATGATACCGGCAACGTTGACCTTGTCGCTGGTGATGAAGTTCTGCACCGCCAACTCGGCGACCTTGCGGACGTAGTTGTGTCGCTTCTCCTCTCGAAGACGGGCGAAACGAAGGGCGGACTGGCCACCACGGCCGTGCTTCTTGGGGAGATCGACCGAGAACTTGTGAACGACCTCACGAGTGTTTCCGCTCAGGGTGCCGAAGAGGGCGCCGTTACCGTCCATGATGATGAAACCGAACTTCTGGTCGGACTCGAGCAGCTCGGCGAGGGCTTCTGTGTGGAACTTGTTGTCGCAGAGGTACAGGGACGTGTTGATGGGCTTGAAGGGCTCGAAGTCAATGTTGACCTTTCGCTCCTTGCCCTCGGCAGTGAGAATTTCACCACAGTAGATGACCAAGCCATTGGGAGGCACCTTGTTGTAGAGCTTGAGACGCTGCTGGGTCGAGGTAATGGCCGAGAGCACAGACTGTCGGTTGACTCGTGACTTGATGTTGGATGCAGTACCCTATCGCAGCAGCACAATGCAAGTTAGATGAGACATGCGTACACACAGAGAGGAACTCAAAACAAGAGGGAAAAGCAGAGAATAAGATTGCAACTTACATATTCTTCAGCCAGCATTTTGGCCGCACGGGAAACCTGATCCTTTGGGGCTACAGGCAAGATTTGTTAACAACACATGATGGCCCTTTGAGATCCCAGACATTTTGGCGGGGTAGAATATGCAGACAAAAAAAAAGGGGCCGGGTTAACCACATACGAATGATGAGCGAAATCATGCTGGTGCCATTGCCACGAGCCGCCTCGAGGCGTTTAATCAGCTTCTTCACCTTCCATATCTCAATCTACAAATAGTCAGCAACTAAACATTTCAGATGCGAGGCTGTTCTGGTTCTGGTCTCGAGGCTCTTCTGGTGCCCGTGATCGGTGGTCGAAAAAAAAAGTGCGGGGAGGGGCATCAACACGTCTGCTGCAGTGAAAAAGGGAATGTGCCTCGACGTTGCGCAGCGGGGGTTCGACCGGCGAAAAAAGACAAGTAGCAACACTGAACACTTACGTTCTTCTCAGCGTCGCTGGCTTGGGCGTCGCTCATGTTGGCGGTGTTTCCTCGCTCGTTGTCCTTGCTCGAAAACTCGATTCTGTTCTTGACGTGGATCGAGCTTCTTGGGTTAGAAGGGTGAGAGGGAAGAAGAAGAAAAAAAAGGTTTGGGAGTCGATGAGTTGCACCCGAGAGTTTTGGGCTTTTCTTGGAAAACAATTCCAAGTCTGGAAAAATAGGCCGTAATCACTAAACCTTGGAGGGGACAGGGGGCTCCTGCCTAAAATGCAGCCTCAGTGGGCCAGCCAGGTCAGGTCAAGGTCTGACTGTTCACTGTTTCCGCAGATCTTAGAATATTTACTAACAATCCACGTGATTCATACAGTGACTTGGACTCAGCAGGCAGGTACGAAGTACAACATCCAGCGACGTCTTACAGTGCAAATAGTCATTTAACACAGTATTTCTGCCCAGGAGTATCCGCGGCAGCACCGTCATCGTCATGCTTCGGAACTCAGGTCCAGTGCCGAGCCCACCTCGCGTCAATTGATATCTCCTCCAACAACCAAACCTCGCGAAGGGTTCCGCCAAAAACCACAATGAGCTCCCTCGCGACCCAAGCGGCCGAAACCTTCCAGACGGCTCACCTAAGGCGAAACCCCGATCCTCACCATGACATAAACCCGTCCAAGCGCTCGCCCGCCTCCCTCGGCGTTGACTCCGACTCGGAGGACGACGACACGACCTACGCCATCCAGAAGCCCCAGACCAAGCCGTTCCCTCCCATCCCAGACCTCAGGTTCGAACAGAGCTATCTTCATAGCATATCCAAGGCCGAGACGTGGTGGGAGGTTCTCTTCATCACCGTCAAGGATCAGGTACGGTCCTATAGCTTGCGATTCTAGACCTATGTCGAGGCCAGGATAGACTTCTTTTTGCTAACAAAAAGATGTTCCTAGGTTGCTTTCCCCCTTCTCCAAGGATTCCTATGGAACCTTACACTCTGCGGGTGGCAAGCGTGGAACCGAAATGCTAGGGTACATGGCAACACTGTTGGAGCTAGGGTCAGGCGCTGGTGGTATGGTGTAAATAACTGGAGGATTCCTCCTGCGCCTAGGATAAACGGGCTGAAGACTATCTAGAATACCCGCCAGACCAAGACGCACCACTCCTACAGACTTCGGGCGTTCATATCGCGAGAAATACATGTAATCTACACAACATTGTTTGCTGATATCAACCCATGACAACAAACGAAGGGAAGAAAGCCTTGTCCTGCAGTCTTCAGGAAGACTCAGATCGCCCCAGTTCCACGTATCTTCCTTTACTTCAGCAACCTATACTGCAAATCCATGTATCAGACCACTGCTCGTTTTCATAACTCATTTGTGTGTACTGGGCTCGACCGCAGGCTCATCCACAAAACTTAAGTCCATTGGTTAAATCCTGCTTCCGAAGACTATGTCAAAGCCGAAAAAAAGAGCGGAACTAGAAGAGTCCGGGAAGAGCATGTAGCATGTTCTGAATAAGAAAATTGTCCTCATGTATCACCTCCCTCGAAATACACAAGTGATATCTATGAAGCCGGGTGCCATCTACACTTTTGATCCTAAACGCCGATACAAACAAACATGCCAACCAACCTGCCGTACATTCAACCGACCATGACATCAGATAAGAGAAAAGCTCCTCCAGCGTTTGTCGTTTATTTCATTAGTAGTTTTTGTTTTGCTTGTTGGGAGAGGCGGTCGTTGGCCACGGAACGTCCTCACAACTGGGCTCCGATATCGATGGGGCGGGGGGCATTCTGTGGCTTCTCCGGGCTTCCTCTAAGAGCCAGAGGAGTAGGCGCTAGTACCGGAGGGAGGGGGGTAGCGGTCTCAGAGTCTCCTTTAACAGCTAACTCAGGGACAGTGGGACGCGCTTGCTTCTCCGGCGCTTCGCTGGTTGAGGCAGCAGGTGCATCGTTCATGACAACCTCAGGTCCTCCTTGGGTTGACGTGGTTGCAGTTGGCTCGGCAGAAGGGGTGGGCAATCCTTTGGCAGTCACACCCTTGAGCTTGGAACCGTTGACCGAAACCTTGACAACGAGGCTCTTGGCATCTTCAACATCAAGGTCTTCGTCAAGGAGCTCTTCATCCTCATTGAACTCATCCTCGTCGTTCGACTCTTCAGGAATATGTTCCTCGTCACTTTCGTCATCTCCAAGATCGGGAGAGCTAGTCTCAGCTTCCTCTTCCGCATCACCGTTGCGCCGAGATGCTTGATCCGCCCAGCCATTGGCAGCGGCAGCGCGTCGAGGACGGCCGCTCACTCGTCCAAGGTCTTCCTGCCTCGAGTTCGTGTCGGACGTATCTCCAAGCACACTTCCTCCAGCACTGCCGGTCTCGGGATGCAAACGAGTAGGAGGCCGCACTTGACGGCCACTCTGCGTCGTAGCAGATCCGTTCTCGGCGGGAGTACTGTTTCTGGTATTCCGACTAGATCGCCGGACGTTGTAATCGCTGAACACCTCATCTTCGTCGTCCGAGTACGTATACTTGACGCGCTTGCCACGGGTACGACCCTCGTAAAGGGAGAATCCGGGTTCCGGTCGTCGGAATCGCTCCTTCGTTCGCTGTCGGTACTCGCGGCGGCGCCGTTTCTGCATACATGTTAGTGTCAGCTCCAAAACCAATACAAGGGGTAGGGGCCAATTCCAACTTACCTCCTCGCTCTCCAGAAGCCGGGGTATTGCCTGCTGGATACCCTGGCTAAGGCGCTTCGCCTTGGGGCCACCATCTTCATTCTCCAACTTATCAGCAAGAGCGGTGATCGACTCAATGCTGTCGGCGACGCTCCACCAAGTGCGCTTGAACCCAGCGGGATTGCTCTCGCGATACACGCGGAACGATGTGTAGTCGCGACCCTCGATTAGGTAGTAACGCCTCTTATCACTATCCGAACCCCAGGGCTGCACGGAAAGGGGTTGGTTCAAATCATCCTCGTGTCGGTTCTGCTTGTAGGACTTCGCAAGAATCGCTCGGATGGCCTCAGATGATCCCATAGCCCAAAGGATTAGGGTGCGTAGTAGGGTAAGCTGAATGAGAAACCGTGAAAGTTAGCCAATGCGACCAGATATAGATGCATATAAGGAAACATACGCGTTCGGTCGCAGTCATCGAGGCAAAAGTGCCGCCGCCCGAAAGAGGACTCTTGCCATCCCATTGACGAGGCCATTGGCTCTTATGAGAGCTAATTGCGTCCTCCAAAGCTCGGTTATAATGACCCGCCCTAGTAACGAAACATTGGTCAGTATAGAATAATGTAGGATGGTGTTGCTGTTGGAAGCGCACGAGGCTCGGGACGGGAAGCGTACTTGACATCCTGCTTGCGGTTGAGGAGAAGGCCGAGAACGGCGCAAAGGAAAGCTTCGGCGCGACTACCGGGTACAGCCTCCGTGAGATCGTACTCGAGCTCTTGGGGGCCAAAAGATGGGAGGGATCGAGCGAAGGCGTCGTCGAATCGGTTTCTAAACATCACAATGAACTTGGTGGTGGGTTAGCACAGTGTATAATGACGTCGGACGCGACGCCTCGCGTAGAGCGCACCAGGTCAACGCGATCGGGGGGAAAAATGGTGAACTCACAGCAATGTCCTGATTATCTGCAAATTGGGGTTCATGAGGAGGAGAGGGCTCTCTCTTTCGAGGAGGAGGTGGTGATGGCTCTTTTTCAGCTGCCATCTTGTCTTTAGAGACTTTGGTAAAGAACTTGAGGATGCCCTTCTTCTTAACCTCTGGCTCAGACTCCGAGTCGCTTGGAGGTGGCGGGGAGAGGGAAGAGAGAGAGGATAAATCAGAGAAATCATCGCTAGCCATCTTGACTGTCATTTATTTTTTGTTTGCTCCTTTGACTAGGCACAGTTTTTTATCGGGTTCTTGCTGGGAAGGAGCGGTCGGGTGGTGGTTGTGGAGGGCAAGAAGGTTGAGGGGGAAGGAAGCTGGGACAAATTTTGGCCCGCACCAGCACACTCTACAGACTAGACTACACTCAACATCACTTGAGCCGCAAACTACATAAGGAGTCTGATAGGTCCAGCCTTGCTTAAAGGTATCAATTAGTTTTCTGTCTGGTTGACTGCATTAGGGACTGCCTTCTTAAGGAGCACCATCAATCCCGGGACATCTGAGGAAGAGTCCCATTGTTATTGCTCTTGGCAAACCATCTCCATCTTCAAGCCCTTGCCACCATTGGAAAGATGTCGTCTTGCAACCTGGAGTGCATTGTTAAGTCTCTCATGGAAGATAACCGACCTAAGAGCCATCCGCGCCCGTGCTCAAATTCAAATGCAAAGTGGCAGCAGATCATGCTTACCGCCCAAAAGGCGGAAAAGGCGACCCTCCCACATCCCGACAAAACCCAAAGTAGCCCAAATTTCCCCATCAATGTCCCATCACCAAATACCACTGAAGCTATTCACGTTGTTGCAGGGTTGCCGCAACTTGCGCAATTCGAGTGGTGGCAGGCGGCCTGACCAACCCCCTCCCGCTTCTCCCCACTTGGTCAAGCGCATCTCGTCCATTCGTTTTCCAGAACGTTTGATCCGTCACCTATGATATCCAAATAAATCTCGGTGTCTCTCCCGGAGACCGCACCCCGGGAATGAGATTCGCCTTCTCATCAAATTCTGCGCGAGCCCAACTTGGGCGGCAATAAGGTCTGGCTCCCTCCAGAGCGCTTAAAGTCACATGACCATCTCGCTTGCCTGGTCGTATCATCCAGTGATCCATCTCTTTGATCCAATCCTTCATCCGGCCACAGGATATGCGTGTCCAGGATGTGCCTTCGAAGACACACGGAGCCGACATAATGCCGAGGAAGTAGGAGATGACCCTTAGCAAAGAGAAAATCCTGATCCACGCAAAATAGAGCGTCTCCGAAAAGCCCGTCAAGAAGAACGACAGGCAGCCTTTCCATTGTACTTCGTAACAAGCCCTGCTTTAGGGTATTTTCCAAGCATGCGTGGGTCGCGGAGACCTGTTCTGCCCGAGACAGGCACTGGCACAACGCCAACCCGGAAACTGTCCCGTCCAGGAGCCCTCCGATCATCCTCCCAAAGAGGCCCAAAATTTCGCATAGGTGGTAGTAAACGATTACCACACCGTAAAAATGGTCCCAGAGACAGCTGTGGAAATCATCAAATGCAGATGACTTTCCAAGATTTCCTAGCTTTTAGATAGATGGTGCAGTGAGTAATTTCTTCTTACCTGACACGTTAAGACCGCGCATATGCGACCGAGGCAGAAAAAAGAGTGCAATACAATCCTTCAACTGCATGTTCACTCGCAACAAAATACGAGGCCAAATCAACGATCCTGACGCAGATGCCTCCAAACCCGTAGACTCGGATTGGAAAGATGCATCCGTAACACGTAGAGATGTTCATGCGTAATAGACACAGCGATGCGACAAAAAAAATCAGTTGACACAACTTTCATGAAGCCCATGAGGGATCTCACGTTACGCGGTCATTTAGACGCGTCGTGTATGTATCGGGCCTTCTCATCGTCGATGAGCATCTAGGTGAATGGGCAATTGCTGTCGTTTCTCGACGTTGAGTGAGCCATGGTCCGAGCCCGAATCTTATGTCAGTGACAATGAGAGTCCAATCGAATTTCAAGTCTAACCAAATGCCCATGCGGGGCGAAACAATGGTGCAGAGGACATATTTTAGCCAATCATTCGCGGTCTTCACCGAGTACCTCTGTCGTGCACAAGTATCTGGCAACCAAGGCTGGAATTAAGGTGGGCAACGGCATATTCCAGTTCACGTGACAAGGGTTTCCACACACAAATTTTCTGCGTGCGCAACGCCCAGACCGGAACAGGGAAGCGTCAATACATCAGACTCAAACGCCAATTTTCTAAGCCCTCCCACCACCACCATCACAGGTGATAGGAAAGATATCTGCTCAGGAACTGCGACTGGTATGTACGCACACCCAAACCCTTCTTCCAATATAACCACTGCGTGTCTTCCCCTCTAGAAAGTTTTGCTAATTCGGCATTTCTTTCTTTTCCATTTTCCGCCATCCACAGAAGCAGTGTTCTGGATCCCTAATCGATTATTAGAACCCCATCTTCCAGGTCCGAACCGATAACGAGACGAGATGGGTAGAGTCATTCGCAACCAGCGAAAGGGTCGCGGCAGCATCTTCAGTAAGGATTTATCTTCCAATTCGCGCGGGGTGACGGGTTGAAGGAACCGGAAATAGAAGAAACGAAAGGAACCAGAAAATTTTAAATTTTCCTGCTCACACAAAGGCCTCCTCTAGCTGCCAACACCCGCCTCCGAAAGGGTGCCGCCAAGTTCCGATCTCTCGACTTCGCCGAGCGACATGGCTACGTCCGGGGCCTCGTAAAGGAGATCATCCACGACCCCGGTCGTGGTGCGCCTCTCGCCAAGGTTGTTTTCCGTGATCCCTACAGGTTCAAGCTCCACACCGAGACCTTCATTGCCAACGAGGGAATGTACACTGGTCAATTCATCTACGCCGGAAAGAACGCCGCTCTTACCGTCGGAAACGTCCTTCCTCTCGGCGGCATGCCCGAGGGTACCGTCGTCACGAACGTCGAGGAGAAGATTGGTGACAGGGGTAGGCTCGCGAGGACCTCCGGCAACTACATTACCATTATCGGCCACAACCCCGATGAGGGCAAGACCCGCATCAAGCTCCCCTCTGGTTCCAAGAAGGTCGTCCACAGCTCTTCCCGAGGAATGATTGGTATCGTTGCCGGTGGTGGTCGTACGGATAAGCCTTTGATGAGTACGTATCAACCTATCTGGAGGGTTTGGGAGGTGGAGATTGGTCGAAGAGAATTTTTATTTTCTTCTTTCTCTTAGAGATTGAAAGCTGGGGTTCTCGATCTTGCTAACGTTACTTCTCCCCTTCTTACAGAGGCTTCTCGTGCGAAGCATAAGTATGCCGTCAAGCGTAACAGCTGGCCCAAGACTCGTGGTGTTGCCATGAACCCTGTCGACCATCCTCACGGTGGTGTACGTTACTCCCCGAACAATTTTCGTTCTCCTCGTCTTCACTCGTCGATATATGCTGACGACGTCTACAGGGTAACCATCAACATATCGGTAAGGCTTCGACAATTTCGCGATACGCTTCCCAGGGACAGAAGGCCGGTCTTATTGCGGCCAGGAGGACGGGTCTGCTCCGCGGTACCCAGAAGACGAAGGATTAAGGCTGGTGTGCTTTTCCTGGTTCATAGGGACGGTGTTTTACAGGCTAGCATCTTTCAAAGGGTACTTTCCAAAAAAAGGGCAGATAGTTGGTAGCTCGGTTATGATGAAAGTACAAGGGCATTTCATGATTCCCAGCCACGCGCGGTGCTTAGACACGCAAAACCCCCAAAAAGTTTATGTTGTGACGGCTGGTATATTAGAATTATTGACGGACCTTTTTTCTTTGAAAGCAAAGCAATAGCCTTGGTGTTGTTTTGAATGCCATTTTTGTTATTGTCACTCGAGATGACCTGAGAAGAAGAGCAACACGAGTCTCCATGCCAATGCCTCGGGAATGTCGTAACGCCCAATGTCCAAATGCCAAGTCCAATTTGCTAGCCAAGCTCTTCTCCTGGTGCTTGAGCACTGGGACGTCCCTGAGGAGATAGAGTGCGACGACGAATCTAGTTGGTCCTTGGTCCCATCTCCCACCTGAGCCAAGCCCTGTCTACGAAGTACGAAGGAAGGCTCAAAATGCCTCGACCCAATGTGAGCAATGCATTGAGCCTTAGCCTGGGTTGAAAGAGGCCTTGATTCAGTCATCGATGAATGATCAATTGCATCCTGTCGAGTCCACACTCTCCATCAGACGTCAGAGCCCCAGAAATGGCATCTCCATGGAGCATGGAGCGGACCGCGCCGGCAGCAGGATTAATTGATCGGATATCAAGGTCCAAGTGATCAAATCGACCAAATCAGAACGGGGGGGTGGCTGTCCCCTGTACGCCTGTAGCAGGCCGATCATACGATCCAAGACAGCATTGAACCCAACTAACAACGCCCCCAAGCCAACGCTGGGAATCCATGCTCCTTCCAAATGTATAAACTATAAATCAATCGCCACCCAAACTCGACCACCCTCTCAGCTTCCAATGATGTCGGCCTCGTCATAATCCCCCCGAGATCCCAGCTTTCCCATTTCTGCCCTATGATGAGGCCGAAACCGTCAGCAACCACAAAATGTCGCACATACTCCGTAGACAACTCCTAGGTCGCACAGCAATCGGCGTTGCAAATGCCGCCGCTATTGCCAGCCAGCCAGTAAGAGTGCAAGCGAGCTCCAGCAGGTCCTTCACTACCAGTATTAGCCTCAGACTGCTTCGGACCCTGTCATCCCAAGCCCCACGCCTCAATGTCGGTACCTCCAGGGCGATCCTTTCTTCTCCCTGCCGGTCAGACTCGTCGCCCTTGGTCTTCTTGGCTTTGACCCCGCCATCTCGCACAACCACCACAACCCCGCCATCGACAACTTTCTTCAGCTTCACCAGATCTTATTCGGCTTCCGCTCCTCGTCGTACAGGTCAATTCTCTGCGAAAATGGCGCCCGCTAAGGAGTACGCTCTCTTGTGTCTCGAGAATCCTCTTCTCGGTATGTTTTTGAAGAAACTTTCCCAATGGAGCCTTTTTCCGATGACGGAGGGGTAAAGAAAAGAAAGAAAAAAAGAAAAAGAAAAGAAAAATTCGCGATGGAAAAAAAGTTGGAAGGAGGGGTAGTGCTGTAAAGCTAACCATTGAGGCCTTTTTCCATCCTCCCCTTTAAAAAGACATCCAAGCCTTCGGTGACGAAGCCCTCCTCAAGAAATACGACCTCAAGGCCAACGACGCCATCCTCGCCGAAGAGAAGCACCTCCCTCTCTACGAGGACCTCCTCAACAACTACGACGCCAAGCTCCTCGCTGGCGGCGCCGCCCAGAACTCCGCCCGTGGCGCCCAGTACATCCTGCCCCCAAACAGCGTCGTCTACCTCGGCTGCGTCGGCGACGACAAGTACGCCGCCATCCTCCGCGATGCCGTCCGTGCCGCAGGCCTGAGGGTCGAGTACCGTGTCGACCCTAAGGAGCCTACCGGTAGGTGCGGTGCTATCATCACCGGCCACAACAGGTCGCTTTGCACCGCTCTTGATGCCGCCAACAAGTACGACTTGGAGCACTTGAAGAAGCCTGAGATTTGGGCCCTTGTTGAGAACGCCGAGATCTTCTACGTCGGAGGCTTCCACTTCACCGGTATGTTTTTTGATCCCGCAGTTGGAACGCCAACCGGGTACTTGTAAGGCCTGTTATACTGAACGAAAAAATAGTCTGCCCCCCTGCCATCATGGAGCTCGGCAAGTTCGCCGCCGCCAACAACAAGGTCTTCGCCGTAAACCTCTCCGCCCCCTTCATCCCCCAATTCTTCAAGGATGTCGTCGACGCCAGCGCCCCCTACTGGGACTACATCATCGGCAACGAGACCGAGGTCGCCGCCTACGCCGAGGCCCACGGCCTCGCCTCCAAGGAACCCAAGGACGTCGCCATCCACCTCGCCAACCTCCCCAAGGAGAACACCCAGCGCAAGCGCGTTGCCATCGTCACCCAGGGCACCGAGCCCACCCTCATCGCCGTCCAGGGCGAGGATGCCGTCCGCGAGGTCCCCGTCCACAAGATCGAGAAGGACCAGATCACTGATACCAATGGTGCCGGTGATGCTTTTGCGGGCGGTTTCCTTGCTGGTCTTGTTGAAGGCAAGGAGCTTGAGACTGCTGTTGATATGGGCCAGTGGCTTGCTCGCTTGAGCATCCAGGAGCTTGGTCCTTCGTAAGTTAAACCCTTCTTATCCTCACCATTCTCCAAGCGTATTCTAACCTTCCTTCCAGGTTCCCCACGCCCAAGCAGACCTACTCTCCCAAATAAATAACGTCATGAAAATCAACCACCAAATAAATACCCTGTTCCGTATATGAAGAATTCGCCCTCCCAATGTACCGTCATCAACTAGACCATCATTGGAGGCGTCCATGGGCCCGGCGTTGGAAAACGATTCGGCAACTTGAGGTTTTCTTTTTATATTTTGTTTCTTCTTCTCGTCTTGTCTTTTATTGCATGGACCATTTTCTTTCTTCCTCTTTTTTTTCTTATTACTTCACGCCTTTGGAAAGAGGGACATGTTTGCGTTGCGAGGAAAGGTAGAACTACGAATAGAACGAAATAAAAGTTTCAACAACAGTACATATTCGCCTAGTAAAAGCCTTATACAAGGCAGGCTGTTCTATTGAGGTTTAATATCGCAAACTGACTTCGGTTAATTCCTATCTTGAAATAGGGAATGACGCCCTCTTCAGCGACGAGGAATGCATCAAGACGAAGAGAAGACAAAAAACGGGGGTCGGAAACTAGTTCTTAAAAAGAGGGAAACAAACTGACTGCAGAAATGGCAATAAATGCCAGACCTGCTAAGCAAATGCTGCCGTCCAGCAGCGTTCCAATCTCCAGCGTTTATGAAAAGCCAATAATGGTCAAATTCTGTGCAGAAACAACAAAGGAGAAGGAAGAGGACAAACTAAGCCTTCCATCTTCTCCCGGAGTACATCGGCAGCATAGCCATTACGAGGATGAACAGAACGGAAAGGATATGCCCTTAGAGACATATAGAGAAGAGAATAGACTTGGGTAACGGATGACTCCCGTTAAGTGCCGGTTTCCGCACCAACCAACAGAAGAGAAACCTCTCCCCTTTGAATAGTCGCTCGCTCTCCTCTCTCAAGGCTTCCCTCGCGACTAAAATTGGCAAAAAGCACATCAATATTAGAAGCTGCCAGATAACCTCAATGGCCCCTCTCTTGACGGTACTTCTGGGCTCTGCGCAACGCTTCACCGAAGCAGGAAACCACATCCCGGATTCAGGTCCGATTCCAGGTGACCAGTTCCATACAGCCTGTGTCTCCTGCCCTGAGACTCTGCGAGTGCCGAGTTGAACATTAGAGTATGACTCTAATCGGCTGGCTTGTTCTGAAGTACCTTCCAGTTAACCTAACCGTTCAGGTTTTGACAGCAGCAGCCCGTCGTTGCTAAGCGGAGGAATGAGTCACTCTCGCATAGGAAGGGCCAAATGTCAGACGAAGAAGAAGAAGAAAACCATCGCTGAAAATCGGAAGTTGATTCACGGCCCATTTATGCCGCGTGGAATACGGTTCACAGTCTTCTTTCTCAGGTCGAGGAGGCGTGAGGCGTCATGCCTACCACCGTCTCCCTGGTTCCGAGGACCTCGAGCGGCTCCATTTCCCCGGCTGGATCGGGGTCTAGAACCGCCTTGGGGATCTAGGTTTTGCATAGCGGCCATCTGCTGCTGGACTTGCTGAGACAGGGGCGCACGGTTCACATGCGATCCACGGCGTAGCTGTTGCTGAGGCTGTTGCGGTTGCTGCACTTGATTCTGGTTGTGGAGCATGTATGAGCCAGGCTGCTCTGTTGTCGCTAAGTCCGGGAGTGGGCTAGTCACCCCGAGGGCAGCGACCATGTCAATGGAAGCTCCCGAAGGATACGACGGACTAGCCTGTGGCAATAAGTAGTCAGACGCCTGCCCAGGGTGGAGGGTCCTGTGCTCCTGAGCTCGTGGGGATACGGCAGGCCCAAAGGATGGGCTCTCCTTACCCGTACCTTGGGAGGCAGAGCGGAGCATACGCAAGAGCATCTCCCGTTGGTGGTCATTGTCGGTACCTACGGCGCTTGACGCGCGTCGAGACGCAGGTGCGGATTCTGTTGGAAGGCTTTCAAACACTTCTCTGGTTAGACCTGTCCATGCGCCGGTCGGCTTAGGTTCGTAGAACCAGTCCCATGAAAGAGGAGAATACGTGCCACCCCGCATAGCGGCAGCAGTAGAGCCTACAGGCGACCTTGGGCTCAGGGCAGGGCCCTGCCCGTCCTGCATTCCACTAAATGATGTAACGTCGTGGTGGATAACCCCGGTAGGCTGCTGGGGGGAGTGATATGTCTCCACAGTTGGGACAGCAGCATGCGTCACCTCAAGATGAAGGCTCGAAGGTTGAACGGGGGGCTGGCTCTGACTTTCTGGAGCGGGTTGGTTCCAAGACTCAGCTGCAGCCTGATACCCGTAAACTAGAGACCATTGTCCGTCGCTTGTCGTTTGGATACCCAAAGGTAGCGCCGGGCTTTCCGCAAAATGCTGGACGGCCCCGACGAAGTCACCAAGACGGCATACAAATTCATCGAGAGGCTTGACGCCCTGGGCGCCAAACTCGAGAATTGTGGGCTTTCGCCTGCTTTCGGTGCCGTAATGAAACAGACGCGTGTAGACAGGTGAAGTAAGGTCCCCAATAGACAAGCAGCAGACTGCCTCCTCATCCTCCTTCATTAGGTAAGGCGCAGTTGGAGGAAACGGGAGGTCGTTCTGTTTGGAGAACTCTTGAATATCGGAGATCGAATAGGTTAATAAGTCAGTAGCCATCTGTGCAAAGTCTTTCCAGGCAGACTGAACTATAAACTGGATAGCTTCGGGGGCCTGTGCAAGGTCCTCGGCATGTGATGACAGCCAGCAGCAGTACAACCTCAGGACGCGGAGAACAGTGTCCGCACCAGGGGAAATGCCGTACAACTGGCTGATCCGAGAAGTCGACGTTTCCATCTCCCCAGGCATTACGCCCTGGGCTTTCTGGAGGTAGCTTCGCATGATTCGGCAAATGGTTTGGAGAAACTGCATATTGAAAGACAGGGTGTATGCTAATGCGAGATTTTGTCCTAGCTGACTGTGAGATGTCGTGGAGGGCAAGCGAGAACTAGCTTCAAAACTTACCCTGGTGTTTCTGAGCATAATAGTACGCGGTCATGTTGACCATGGCCATCCTGACAACGGAGTCAGAGGAGTGGGCCGACTGTAGAAATTGTTCAAGCCTAGCGAGAACGGTTTGCTCCAGCTCATCGCGTCCTGAAAAAGAGGCGTTGGTCATGTACTGGGCAAGAAGCTGCACCACTCTTCCTTCCAGAATCTGTTGCGGGGACTGGGAACCGGAAATAGTCGACTTGCCAGCCTGGATGGTTTTGAGTTTGGCTTCCAGGTTCTTCTCCGCGTTGGGATGGGGTGTCTTCCGGGCTAGAGACATGAAGAAATAGTAGACTATTTCTAGGTGCTTGTCTGTTTCAAGATAAGTGACGCCAATCTGATGAAGAGCGAATCCCCGATCTGGGATGACATCGTGGGCCAGGCTGTAGTACGTGATAGCGGCCTCGTTATCCCGACTATTTGGCTTCAGCTGGGCGCGGTAGCGCGATAGGTCACCGAGATAAGTCAGGGTTTCTTGAACGGAGAGCAGGATCATGGATTGGACTTCGGGTGTTATCGACGAGATGGAATCCTGTCCGGGACCGCGCTCTACCTTGACCGCAGACGCAATTTGATGCAGAGGCTCGATGTTGTATCTCATGGAAAGGCGCTGAATGTAGCCTTTGTAGAAGAGCTGCGACGTGGTGATGAACTTATTGTACCGGCTCTCTACAGCACGGATCTTCACCCTCATATCCGAGGGGAGACGCTTGCTGACATTGCGATAGACATTGTTGATGAGGATGTGGCTTGTCCAGAGAGCCTTCTCAACTTGGTTCTGCTGCGCGAACTCGAGATCTTTAAATAGAACCCCAACGCAAGCAAGACGGTACCTGTGAACGGGTTACTACGGACGGTCAAACACACAAGGACTACGTCCAAGGGGCAGACAGGCCGCTCGTGCCCGCTGCGCGCATTCACTCACTGGCTCATTGCATCCTCCAAAGACTTCCATTTGGCGTCGCTAATCTCACCGGGTGGACCGCGCTTGAGATTATTGGCTTCCTTCTGGATGATCTTAAAAATCTTCTGAGCATGCCTGTCGTTAGGGGAAAGAAGGAAACCAAAGAAAAAGAGAGAGTTAGTAAGCAGTGTCTTCGGGGACGTTAGAGCTTGCAAGAGTTCAGACGTACTTCCAGACTCCAGCAAGATCCGCCGGTCCGCCAGCGGCTACTTCGGAAGCCATGGCGAACAATAAAAGGCGAAGAAGGGACTTGAAGGAAAACCGCGGTTGGGACTTGATGATTGGGCCTCCGGGCGGGAGGCCGGAGAATTAGAAAGAAAAGAAAAATGAGAGGAAAAGAGGGATTTCACGGTGAGTGCTGTGTTTGAGCCTGACAGACTGCTGCACACCCTGGCCTCATACTGTAAAATGTGAATAAGAAGGACCTTCCTGAGAGCAAGCTCCAACAAGCTTGAGAGAAAAAAGACGAATGGAATGGATCCTGGAGCTACACAGGATACGAGCCCGACTCCTCTATGAGCTCAACTCGGCCTGGCGATAGTGGCGCATTGCAACAAGATCGCATTGGAGAAAGCAGGGATCTAGCGACGACACAAGCACAGCACGCAACGGAGCTGTGGTCGCGAGGTCGTCCGAATAAACTTGGCGCTTCGGAATAGCTGATGCGAACCGCGAATACAGAGGCAGCACCGGGGTGCAGCGATGCTGAGGCGCTCGGTTTGGGATTCGAGAGCTGGTCGTGGGGATATGAGCAACGTGCTGGTGACATGAGTGAACAATGATGAAAGCTCTCGACGACGTGTGCCGCAAGTTTGAACCTTCCAAAAGGCCTCGACCGAGTTTCCGGCGTAAAATCGGCTAAAATTAGAATGGGTTAGAGTTGGAAACAGCATCCAATTGCCGCTAGCAGAATCAGACCAGGCCAGAAGAGCACAGGTCATTTGTTACTTTATCAGGCCCGCATGTCCAGTCCAGGCTGGTCTGGCTCAGGCCCAAATGCACAAATCAGCGGGGAATACAGCACTAAGGCACTCTTCCTCCAGTGGGCTTCCTTTGTCCACTGCACTAAAAGGCTGAACCTGCATCACTCAATGGGTCAATCAGTCAATGAAACATTCGAACTCATGATTGATTGCATTGATCGTGCTTAATTCTCACAAGTCACTGATTCTTTGTCTAACCTAACCCCACAGCCAGGCATATGGATTATGGATTGACTCATTTGCTCCGTTGAGCCTGTGGAATAATTGCCTGTCTTCTTTCTTTCTGCTGCCTGCAGGCTGCAGCCACCCTTTGGCTCCATTCTGATTGTCCCTCATCATTGATACCCAACCCAACAGCATGGAGAAGGCCTTCCGCATCCCCGACTGCCAGATATTAGATCGATCATAACACACACTCAAACAAACTCAGCATCTTAGATCAGTTGATGTTGTGAATCAGGGCAACCATCCAACACAGCACAGCAACTAAGCCCCTCACCAATCCTCGCAGACAGTCACTCAGAGGCGAAGCCGAAGTCTTATTCACCGCCACCGTCCGGAAACAAAGAATACGTATTGTCCACTCCAGCAAGTAAATATTTTCCATATCATCCGCCCCTAGTTTCAAACAATCCAGGGGTAAGACAAAGAGAAAAAAGAAAACCCTTGGTATTATTCAAAAAGGCATGAAGCGCTTACGAGAGCCCGAAGACGGCACAGGCGTGGATGCCCAAGATCCGGAAGTGGAGCAGGGCTCTTCCCCGGCGGCGAAGCTCGTGGACCTCGACAGTGCTGTATTGGACGATGAGTCGACAGTCACCATGAAGTGCTCCATGCCCCCTCACAAAGACGTCCTGTCGTTCAGGACCTATGAGGAGTACGAGACGCACTATAACAAGGCACACTTGAATAGATGCCTGGAATGTGACAAAAACATGCCTTCGGAGCATCTCCTGAATGTACATATCGAGGAATGTCACGACGCCTTTGTCGCTGTAAAACGGGACCGGGGCGAACATACGGTAAGTCAACATTCACAAACATGAGTCTATTCTTTTCCGTTTTCTCATTCTAATCTGCCGTCATGTAAAACACGGTTCCTAATACCTCTCTGTAGTATTCATGCTTCGTCGAAGGCTGTGAGAGAAAATGCAGGACCCCTCAGAAGCGGAGGCTCCATCTTATTGACAAGCACATGTACCCAAAGAACTTCTTCTTCGCCCTAACTAGAGAAGGCATCGACGGGAGAAGATCCCTCCTCTTAGAAGGTGGCCATCGTCGACGGAGATCCTCGGCCAACTTTCAGCCAAAGGATACTCGGCGAAGAGCGAGTCTTCAAGACGGTGGGGAGGCCAGCAGGGATAAAGAAGAGCCCCTTTCCAATGACAACAAGCAGCCGGCGAAGAAGTCCTCAAGCGAGGAAAACAAGTCGTCCCCGAAGGACCCCGACGATGAGATGGAGGATCTTACTGGCGCGATGTCTGCCTTACAGTTCGTGCCAACAAATATTCGGTTCGGGCGAGGGGGTGGTCGCGCAGGCTTCTCGAAGAGATAGCATAGCGATAACAATAAAAAGAAAAGAAAAAAAAAGTTGGGTATCTTTCTATCCCGGGCATGTCAGTCTCGACTCTCGACTGTGACCCACAGGAGAAACCATGTCAACCTCTCAAAAAGTATATAACATCCAAAGTCCGTGAATCCTTTCCTCGAATTATGATATTCGCCGAAAATGCCACCAAACGCCGGTTATGAGTCGTGTCAAAAAAGAAACAGACGCGGACAAGAACATCTCCCTTTTTTTTCAATACATCGCTTAATCGCTTGACGCGCATCCTCGACAACCACAGCTAACGCATTGTATTTCCTGGTCGTCCTTCAACTGAGCCCGTGGGACTCGGCATATGCAGGTTGAGTTGAAGTTTGTTTCCTTCGTTTGTACACACCGCAGGCAACAGAGCTAAGAACCACGCGTGAAGTTAGCAAACACCCCCACAAATCGAAACAAACAACCCCGGCGAAGAGGACAGAACATACCTTCTCGTAACCCTGCTTCTTCCACTTCGCGATGAGCATCGCGTCCGCGTAGCCGTTCTTCAGGAGCCAGTCGTACAGTTGCTTGCTGATAGCCTCCTTCTCGTAGTAAAGATCATACACATAGCGACTCCTCTGATGAGAAATTTGGAATATCTCCCACTGCGCCTGGTGTTTGGGTCCTGGTGGAGGAGGTTTGTTCTGGGCATCCTTCATCTTGTTCGCAAAGATAAGAAGGTCATCTTCGATGTCGTCAAAGCCTTCGGGGGGCGCCTTGCGCTTTGCTCTGGTTCGGATCGGAGGCATCTTCGAGGAGAATCTCGCGAAGTTGATTCAAGCTAAGAGTTGAGTTGCCCGGCTGTAAGTGTTGAAGCAACCAAAAGGCTGTCGTGATGATCGTGAAGAGAGAAGTATTGGTGGGGCAACAAAGTTGACCTGAGGTCCGAAGGTATTATGCCTGTGACGTTGGTTGCCTATTTGAGGTTGACGTCGCGTTTGATCCACCCTTTTAGTAATCCGACGTCTGGGTTGGCTCCACCTTTCTACCGGAATCACGTGACTAATAGCCTGGAAGCCATGATCCAACTTCAATCCAGTGCAAAGTCGCATCGTGCATCCATCAGACATTGCGTCAAGCCGACAAACACAAGCATTGCCTGCCCAACATGGCGATTACACCCACCCAATTCGCGGTCATGACGCGGAAGTGTGAGTTCCAGGGCTTTCCAGCTGTGTTTTTGTGAAGCTAACGGGGGTGGATAGCCGCCAATTGGTCCGACGCCAAACGACGAGTGCTTTCTGCGTATCGAAGCTGGATTCGAGCGGTACGTTTTGAGGAATTCGAGAATATACGACCGGAATCGAGCGTCTTCGGCTATATTTGGTTTCCAATCCTGACCGGGGCATACGGTGTCATGACTAACGTGTCTGTTCTGTGCAAAAGGCTCCCGAGATCCGAACCATGTACAATGTCCCTCTTCCTGTATCCGCTCTCCGAACCCGGGTGCGTCAGGAGTTTGAGAGGCACAGGTTTGTCAACAAGCTCGCCGTTGTCGACGTCCTCATTATGAAGAACAATGCCGAATACCAGGTACGAAGCTAGCCCTGTCGACGTCTCGCACACGATTACAATTAGGGGTATGGAGGGGTTTCGAGAGAGGAGCTCCGCTGACGGTATCGGACCACAGGAAATGATGAACTTCTGGAAGCAAACCACACACGTCATGTCGTACTTCAAGGAGGAGAACTTCCGCGGTGACAACAGGTTGCCGTCGAGCTTCATCGAGGGATTTTTGGAGGTACGGCACTTGTTGCAAAACAATCTCCTCTCAAACGGGAAAACTAACTCGATTTTCTTTTTAGGGTCGTAACTAAAGCTGGAGTGTCCCAACGTGTACATATGCTATTAGACAACCAGCAATAAAATTCATCCTAGAACGCCCCGTTTTTTCTCAAATGCCCTTTGTACACCTAAGTGCCCCTTAACCTATAGCTCTGCAAACTTTATAAACTGCCGAATGAAGTCATCATCGTTCTACGACGATTTGAACTCGTCCAGTTTCTCGGTAAACTCAGCGGAGACGACATCGCAGATATCAGCGAGGTCCCTAAGCCCCTTTTGCAGGGCGTCTACCGCGGTTCCTTCTGCAGGGGAGTTAGTTTCTAGTGGGAGAGAGGGGTAGGGGCGTTAGGGGGTGAGCAAGGAGAGACGATATACAGACCATACGTCTGGATCCTGACATTCATCTTGGATTCCGAGGGGTGAGGGATAGTGTACGCGCAGAACTCGACATCAGGGCTTAAAGATGAGGGTCAGCATCGCGGTGGTCAAGATACTCCGAATTTAGCAAACGGGGTAGAACACACTTCTTCATAATGACCCATCGCAAAGCGTTGCCAAGGGTGTGTCCCTCGTCCAAGATCTCAAAAGAGGCAGCGTTATCCACAGAGCCAGGGAGCTAGGCGTGACGTGTCAGTCAAAAAGTATCGATGTAGATAGGTTCTAAGTGTGTCGTACAATCCTGATTCGGGTAGGAAGCTCCTCTTCCTCCTCCTCAGTCTCCTCATTCATCTCCTGGTCGTCTACCTGGGCGCTGGGAGGGACATCCGCCATCGTAGCATCCTCACGGTCGTGAGTGTTCGCCTGCGAACTCGGCATGGTGGGGGAGATAGTGATGAGAATATATTTCAAATTTAAGTTACTGAATTGCGTGGTTGAGCCTCGTCGTGGGAAAAGGTTTGATTGAAATGAATAAAGGAGTATTGAAATTTGGTGAGTCGTTCGGTTATTTTATTTTCAGTTTGAAGGCGCCTCAATATGTTTGGGAGAACTCGAAAATCAAGTTCAGTCTTATTCATTGATGTCAGTGAAGCCTACTTCGAAAAAAAAGTGAGAATTTTCATTTAGCTTGACACGCTACGCAGGTGTCATCAGCTGCAAATTCTTGCCCACTGCCCAAGCCAAAATACCCGCAACCTCCATCTCCGTCGAGCATCAAGATCAATCAAGCTGGCTCCTAAGATATCAGACCCGTGTCTATACAATATCTAACAACATTTTATCCTCTTCCTTTTTTTTTTTTTTTTTTTTTTCTCTCTCTCTATGGAGGCAATAAAATATCATGAAATACTACCTGAGAAACCATCTCCAGAACCAGTCGGATCTGACCACATGCAACCACAATTACCGACCGACCTCTGAGGCACTGCATGGGGACCGAGAATGTCCCAATTAAACGCTGTTTCCACCCGAATGTCGTCCAAATTAGAAAAATCAATAGAAGCGCATTGGGCGGTAACCTGCAGAACAAGAGAAGATGGTGTGGAAAGATGGCGCCAGAGAAAGCACTGAGGAGGGTGGGATTCGCCAGTCGGATGAGAGCTCAGTCGCGGGACATGTGGTAGCATTTTCTAACCTTTTCCTTCTGCCTCGGAGGATTCTTTGTTTGAGAGGGCCCGGAAAGATATTTGGCCGAATGGCGAGATCCAAAATACGGGAAGGATAGAATGTGTTTTGATTGATTTCATTCTCGGAGAGGAAGCGGATGCCTGATATTGTAACAACAAGTGTCGCCGAATCCGAACGATTCCTTGACCTGGCTAAGTTTTTTCAATGTGAGAGCTACAGTTGCATGCAAATCATGGACGTTCGAAGATCAGAGGGGCAACAAGAAACAAGCCATAGCTCCGACAGATCAGGACGGGATAGCCTGATCGTAGGGGCTGCACCCTTGACAAAAAGCTTGGTCAAAGCGGTCGTATCGAGGCAACGACATCTTCGAGTCCTTTTTTTTTCTTTTTCTTTTCTTTTCTTTCTCTGGGGCCCAGAAGATATCAGGATGTTCGATTGTGTTGTTGATTGCACATGAGTCTGGCAATGGTGCTCCTTTGCAGGTGGATTGAGTCTTGGCCGCCCACCATGTTTCATGTCAACCTCGCTCCTAGTCGTTATGATTGGGCCAGTTCAAGGGTCTCAAACACTCTCGATCGATGCCTTGCGCCTCCCTTTTTCTCGCCGTGTCCTGTTTTGTGCTAGCGTTTCGCAGGGTTTCCCCATGAGGCTTTGACTCGCTTTTGCTTTTTTTTGGCTGGAAATCCAGGGACGAGATTTTCTTGTCGCGATGGCTGTGACTTGCGTCTTGACGTCCTCCAATGTAACAGCAAAGAACATTACCTTGTTCGAATGTAACGCCGTATCCCAAGGACAGAGAGAAAATATTACTCACCGCTAGGACTGTAAACAGAGTTCGGCGGCGGTAGGCTGGGGCTCAAAGTAATTCCACATGTGACAAAGGCAGAAGTTCCAATATTGAAAGTAAGGATGGGGGAAGCTTGGATCACCCCAGATTTGACCTTCAGCTCCCCTGTTCTCGGGGTCCAAGACTTGCTCATGGTCGGCCCATCGTCTATCGTCTTGAAAAATATATCAATTGATTGATATTTGCTCCCCTACGCACGTGTCCTTGTAAAATGTGAGTACCTTTCCCAACTACACAAGACGTAGTCTGCCTCGAAGTCGTCCCGGTGTTTGAGACTCTGAGGACCCGTCCAACTTGCCAGGGTAGGCAGGTCTCAGAATAGTTCGAGCGACGCCGCGGGTTGAGGAGCCTTAATAATCCGGTGCCTAGAGAAAGATCGCCCCGAGGATACCACTGCCGGGTCTTCTTGTGTAACTGGCCATTCTTGCTAGGACCCTTCTGCGCCACGCTTCAGCCATCTTAGAGTGCAGCGTCATGAGATGAAAGATAATGCGATGGGCCAAGATGCATAAGAGATCAATGGATGCAAATCTCCTTTCTCCTTTTCTTAAGTGGGTTACATTACGGGAATCGGGTCACCGTGGCCTCCAATCACTCTCTAGCTGTTTGGAACTCGCGCCGTTGAAAGACATCAGGGTCTCCGCAGCAAGTTTTCAGCCTCCTTTCAAAGTGGCTCTCTCTTTTCCGCTATATTCGTGCATCAACGGTTGGCTTGTTCGAGATTATGCAGGGACAGACTAGTGAAGCTTCCTTCGCAACTTGCCGTTCTAGCGCACTCACCACGAAGGAGTCCATGACTCGATAGATGACGCTATTTGTCACACCAAGAGTTCGAGGCTCCGATGTTGGAAAACTATCATCACCTTCTCTCTTGCGCCTTGGTCCGATAGCAAACCCACTATTGGTGCGACATCCCTCTTTCCTGCTGGTTGGGGTTAGACAGGCGGCAAACTAGGCCTTCTTACCAATAGGCCGGCGCGGTAGCCTACGTCCTCATCGTGAATGTTCTACGTTAGTACCGAGGTACACTGCAATACCTTCGTAGTTTATGAACAGCTGCAAAATCGAAAGGGATACGAGTTTTTGGGACGGTAAAAAGGAGGTGTGCTGTTGGCAAGTCGTGCGTCTCTCAAAATCTATTGGCTATCTTGAGATCTCCACGACTTCATACAAAGTACTTGGAATACTTCGTTGGAAGTAAAGAGCGGGCAGAGCATGGGCCAATTGGCGTGAACGGAAGGCAGAGGAAAATGACAGGGGGGGCGTGGGAGAAGGAAAAGGAACACGACTGGGCTTTTCCAAGGCTGGGTTGGTTTCAGGTTGACCAAAGAAAGGGCTGCCACCTGAGCGGCGTCCGGTCAAGGACTCAGTGTGCCATGTACACCGCTTGTACTCCAGTCTTCTCAGTTTCAATTGATCGAATCAAATCCTTTGTGCCATCTCAAAAGCTAGGAATACGACGATGACGATCGATACTAGTTCAATCCCTTACATCTCGACTATCGAATGTTTGCACTACCAGTGTAATTGAGACGGATGAGAGGGTAATTGTAGCGGAGTAGGTTCGGTCCGGAGCCAATTACACTCCTTCAGACATGAAAAAGAATAGCAGCATGAAATAAACGACTGGTTCTATGAGGTATTCTGAAGTATATTGCTCTCTTCATCAACCGGTATATTGCATCTCTGGATTTCCAACCGCAAGGTTGCAGGTACAGAGCCATTTGCCAGATGTTGATTATATTGGCACCTCCTCCGTTTATTCTTAGAAGCGAGATGGGACAACGCAGCGTCGAGATGGTCACAGCGCACGGCATGAGAGGAGGATTGAATCACCCGGACCTCGCGATTGTTACCAAGGACGATTAGTCCCATGTCCGTCCCATGTCTCCTCTCGTTGAATATATTGAATCTCGTATAACTTTTCTTCTTTATTCTTGCTACTTGTGGAAGTGGAAATTTGGCAATTCAGGTGAGGCAGCAATATATCATGACATCTACCGTGGGTTCTAATTTCGGGACACATCACCAGAGGCATGGATATAGCAGACAATTCTTCCAATGAAACAGGTCGTATAAATCCATAGAATTTCAGACGTTCGCGACGCGGGAAAACTCGAGTTCCAGCGTCTGATTGTGGATGGTGTTCAACATTTTCGGAACGTGAGTATTGTCCGAGGATCGACCTAGGTGTTTGCTCAAACATTCTAGCCCGTCAAGAGTTTGGATCCTGATCTTTACGAGCCCGTTGCTGAGATCTTCCGTCTCAACCTGGGTTGCCGGTTTTGAGAGTTTGTGGGGTGAATCGGAGGCTGTTGCTCTTCGGACCACCCAGGGGCTTCGATGGTTACGGGCTTGCAGCACCATATTTCCTAGGCTCATTGATCGCCCAAAACACTTCCGCTCCCGAGCATCAACTTGGGGTGAAGATTGCGGTCTGTAGCAATAAGATACTATTAAGTTGTCGCCTCGCCAGTGATCCCTCTCCAATGGTTCTGAAGCCATGGCAAAACAATGAAGGGGTAAAATGACAAGGGGGCTTGGATCACTGTTTGCCTGTTAAGGTTGACGGGTTTCCGGCACCATGACACTCACGCTAGCTGGCAGCCTCCAGGCCCCTGGGTTAGTGTAGCATAGCGTGCCTTTTGGTCTGTTGGAAACCGACGAGGTTGAAACGAACCAACAAAGCGGAGAACCATGGTGCATCCCCACCTCTGAGCGACGTGTTCCCAAGCAGTGTCGGGGTCAGGTGTATCCAGGAAAGGGCTGGAATCGATGCTAGTATTATCATACCGCCCTTTTAATATCCGTATGAGGCGAGAGACCACGAGGCCCAACCAGCATTGTGGAAATCATTAGGCGAGTTGCTAGGCTTTATTGGCCGTGTCCATTTCGGAGGGGTTAGGGTTTTGATGATCTTTACTCTGGGGCTACCGTCTCGTCTGCAAAGCCAGGATGTCATCGTAACTTGTCGCGTGGTCTGTCTTGTTACTTGTAAATACTGACTGTGCATTTCTATACATGTAACGGCGCCGTGCACGGTTATATTTTCGTCTTTTAAGTTGTCTTGAGCAAGGCTGGCTAAACGAGAGTTGAGGGTTGAAGAACCGGGAATGGCCCGCCTAAGGAGTACTTCATAGATCAGGAAGCGGGATTTGCAACAGGGCATTGACTGTGTTCATTCGGAACGTACCCGTAGCAGCTAAATCCTACGTAGAACACACCCCTAGCTACTTGTAACATCTAAAACACGCCATGGATGATAATTTAAGGGTCACTTACTTGGAGACTGACACGTAAATTGAAAGACCAGCGCTGGAAGAGAGCGATGCTCAAACTGATACTAGAGACGAGATGCTAGCAGTCACATACATACGAGGTAAATGCCCTACATGTCTCATAATGCCCGAGACCGACCTGCTACAATACGCGACCGGTCCTGATCAAGACATCTGGGACGCAAATCTAGTGACGTGACAGGATTGATTGATCCATGGCAGGTGAAGTATTTGCTGGGCAGTGCTGGGTGCTCGTAGTCCAATCGTCCCGAGTGCTCCGTTGGAAAACTGATATGGGCAAGTGGAATCACTGGAAAAAAGCTCATCCTCTCTGAAGCACTGCGGCAGGTATTATTGAATTATTGAAGTGCTGGGACTTGCAGGAGACAGCCTCGAAGCTAAAACACTTACGCTCGCAAGTAAAACTCCCGACGCAACCACTAGACCCGCCAACTTACTTCGTATCATTACGGCGAATGTGAGCTGTCCAGATCGCCTCTTGATGGGAGTTTTATGAGAATAGATCTAGCTCCTCATCGCGGGACCGCAACATACACTAAACCAGCCAAACGCGTTCAGAGGCCTTCTAACATCAGACATAGACCCCTGGTGGTGGGTACATCAATACATCAAATGCCTACTTCGTACGCATACTCGTCTCGTATGAGCGATGGACCAAGTTGAGTTGATACTTTCCACGCCGCTCTGGGGTATTTGGCTATTAATAATATTACATAGCCAATATTTCAAGAGCACCAATTCCAAGAAGTTGAGTTTCCCCCTGCACTGTCTAGTAGTTTGTCCTGTTTTCTCTTCACTTCGAGTCTCGTCGACTGTCGGGTTTGGCTGGTCTCCAAGGACTATTATTTCGTACTTGAAAATAATTCTTTTTTCTCGTACTTCAGACATTGGATTGATTGATGTCTCCGTTCCTTCCCCAATCGCCCCCAGTTTCCGCCTCCTTCCCCTTCCACTTCCCTCACCATGAGGGCGTGATACTACGCTACTCCATGCTACTTCTGTCGCTTTCGTGCAGACACCCCTCCCACGCTGATTCCCCCAGGCCCCTCATCCCTTCCCCCTCTCTACCCCCTGGGTAATAAAAACGACACCAAACTTTCATCCACCCGTCTCGACTGCCCCTCTTCCCTCCTTCCTGGTGCGGGCGTGTAAACTGTCGAGGGGTGTACACCTTAGTATCTCCCCCACCTCCCTGTAACTCAGACGATACCCACCGAGTACTTAGGCGAACTTCTTGCCAATAAAGTATCAAAAGTATCAAGAGTCTGCAGCACGGCTCGTACCTTCCTCGTACTTGGAGACGGAAGGCGCGAGGTGCGAGCCTTAAAACTCTCTGCATCCCTCTTGCCCTTCGAACGCCATATCAATCCCTCCCACCCCCCGGCCCCCAACAACCAAAAACCCCCGAGTTGCACCTGCTACTCTTTCTTCGTTCCTGCCTTCTTTTTTTGCTTTCTCTTCTCTAAGCATCTTCGCCAGGCTTCAACTGTTACCAACTCTCTTTTCCTGGCTCAACGAACGCCAGTCGATTTAAAATACACAGCCAACGCCAGCAGCCAACAGGAAAGCATCCCAGCAGCATCGGAGCTGGAAGGCAACATTGAACACTGGGACTGATTCAAATTCGCGACAATTAGTGGCTACGCAAATCCGACGAAGCAAGCCCTGCTTTGCCACCTCGCTCGTTGACAACCTGCATCGCATTGCTTTTTAAACCTGTCTCATTGTCTCTGCTTCCTTTTTCTGTCAAACTTACTCGGGACCCTTTTTTTTCTTCTACCCTTTGCTCTGGGACCCTTAAGAACAACTTCGCCCTTTCGCTTTCGCATTGTCAGACGAAGAAAGGCTTCACCATATATACGCAATTTTTTCCCCTGGATTTTGAGGGCGGTTTCTAAACGGAAAGGTAATATTTGGGATACCGCGACAATTCCTGCATTCACTCTCCCGACTCCAATTCGCCGACCATATCATAAACTCGGCCGGATTTCGTCTAGTGCACCACGACGCACCACAACGCAACGCAACGCACGAGCATCCAGCATCAAAGAGTCCGCTCGCCTACCCCACAAAGACGGTGCGCCTCTGAAGTACAATTCTTCCACTTCATTGCGAGAAGTCAGTCCTTCGACATTTCCGCTTGCCAATAATTTGATCAAGGCCGACTTTGAGACTCTGGCGAGAATCCGTCACCACATTTCCTGCCAAAGCCTAGATCGAATTCGTGGGCAGACTTTCTCTTTCCTCCTATCGTCTGCCGCATCGTCGAACCGAGGGCCTCACCTGCTTCCAAGGCATTTTCTGCGTGCACTGTGCTGGTGAATAGCCGCCGCAAATTGTTATTGTTGCTTACCCGACCGGGAAAAGGAGGAACACGAAGCCCATTAGCGAGCAAGGGGCCATTCCTGTCACATTGGGGCTCGATCAAATCTCCATCCTTCGAATCCAACCCTGAGGCAGCACAGCCCTTGGCTCTCCCGCGCCAAACTCTGCCGTTCTTCCAAATACCACCCGCAATCCTACCTGTCCTTTTTCAGGACTTTTAATCCTTTTTCGATCCAGCATGAGTGCCGCCATCGCCATGGCTCCCTCACCGGCCCCTCATGATCGGCCGTCCTTTTCTTCCGACACCCATCCTGCCTCTACCACCGCCTCTTCGTCGCAACAGTCTCCCTCCGCGCAACGGACAGCCGCGAAATCCACCCAACACCAGCGAGGATCTCGAAGCCCCAGAGGGCCCACAGCTTCCAAATCATCTCCTAGCGCGTATGTATTGTGTTCTGCCCATTCTCACTTCTTCAACATCTTTTTTTCTTATTATTATGATAATTATTTGCATCTTTCCATCCAATTTGCTCTTGTCTCGCGTGAATTTTTCGATTGCCGTCTCTTTCTATCGCCCACCGCGTCGCAGAGTTTTGCTAAGTAGGCGCTGCACAATTTAGTACCAGATCCGGCGCGATGCCATCAATCGTTGTGAAGAAGGAGCCTGCCTCCCCAGACATCCCCGCCCCTCGCCATCGTCCCAGAAAACTCGACTTGTCTAAGGGTGGTGTCTCGAACCACGGAGCTTCTACCGCTCGCCCGCTAACTGCGAGAGACAACCTCGGTATCCAGGATGTTGGCCTCGCCTGCCTCTCCCCCGGCTTCGTAACGCAAGATCCCGTCATGAAGGAGCAGCTGCAGCGCAGCATGACGGTCAGAGAGCAACAGCGCCATATCATTGAATCAAGGCTCCAGCAACAGTCGGCAAAGGGTGACGGCCCGAACAACAAGGACAACCACTTCTCCGCCAAGACCCCCGGCATGTCGCGACGGAATAAGGCCCCGCCCGGCCTCTCTATCGTTGCACCCTCTCACGAGCAGTTTGCTAACGAGCGCGTGATCCAATCCGCTCCTCTCAACCAAACCTTCACAGGCATGCATAATCCTCATCCTCTTACGAGGCATATTACGAACCAGCCTTCGAAGCTTTCCAGCACCTCGCACATCCACCATGTCCCCGCGAATCAGACCAACAACCGTCTACCGCCTATCACCGACGTTTTTGGCCAAGCCCTTCCCCCGCCTCCCGAGTCCGCCGGACACAGCCTCTACCCCGGCCAGCATAGCGCTAGGGGTCCTTTGGCCTCTCCCGGCCACCCACCGCCGCCATCGCAGCATGCTCCCGGCTCTGCCCGTCCTAGGGAATACAAGTCGGCGGAGGAGGCACAGGCGGAGCTCGCTGGAGGTCGTCCAGAATTATTGCCAAAGTTAGTCCACTACGGAGGCCATCAGCCACCAACTCCCCCTTCCCCTCATACCGGAAACAGAACGGCCGACGCCAGCCGCAGTTCCAAGCGACGAACCCGAGCCGAGTACGAAGAAGGCCACAGCCCCCCGCTCGGAAACGGCCCCGCTTCCACACGTCGAGGTCCCTTTGGCTATGGCCGCGACAGTCCCGAGAGCCAACGGGCGAAGCGTGAAGAGTTCTTGCGCTTGTGCGAGAGAGCGTGGGATTTGTTCCACTCTTAAAAAGCAGCCTATGCAGAACAACCCCCCGCCATGTCTCAGCCTAGCCACTTGTTCGGCATGTGCTCCACGAATTTAACGGGGACCTAATGCTTGGGAATTGTGTTGCGCTGCATTTCAAACTCCATCCAAAAAGCGCAATTCTTCGATTCTCATGATCCTATGATTGTCTCCGTTTGCTTTACTACGTTTTCTGCAGCATGAGTGCGCCCCGAATATCATCTCAACCTCGTGTTTGGTCGCTCCCACCCATGGATGCAGGGGAATACTGCTACTTAAGAAAATTCCCTTCATTCTCGGGGGATGGGCGTGTTACTTCGCTGGTCAAGTACTATTGTAGCAGAAGTACGGAAGCCCATGTCATGAGATGTTGGAGAACCGCGTCGGGCCCGCGCTACGTCAACATTCTTCGGAAAGCACATCCTTGGTGTTGTCGAACAGCCGATTCGGAACCTCGCGTGTATGACGCAGTCGACCTCTGATGGCACATGATCGTGTTCAGCGAATGCGCCAACCAGCGACTTTGCAGCTTGGCGGTCTCCGAGCGGCCATCGGCGACGTCGCACCGGCAAAAGAGCCTGGCAGGCTCTCTATCCGATCGACCCCGAACCGCATCTTCTTTTTTCCAGCTCCTTGACGAGATATGATGATGATGATGGCACAACTTGGTGGATCTTAATTGGCTATGCGAGGTGTCTTGGTCGGGGAGTGGGAAGGAAGACTTATCATCCCTGGCTTGAAGTTGCCTCTGCTGTTACGGTGGTATATCTGATATTCATCCTCGTCTGGGCTCTGTTTCATCGTCACCATCGGTTTGCGACTTTGGCTGTCTTGTGCCACTATAATCCTTCGGCCTCGGTGTCAAGACTAATTTTATTCCTCCCACCACCGAGCCCCAACAACCTGCATCGAATGGCATCTAGTCAACAAACAAGCTTGATTATATCCTCGGGGTTCGTTTTCTTCGGCGGATGATATTTGTGCGTTTCTCAGGATACCCTTGGTTCTCATGTATCAATTGACGTCACTGGTTGGTTGGAGTTTCCCCCAATGTTTCCTGGTGTCTTTTGCTCGGCCCAGCGCGAAAGGATAATTTCTTTTGAATGAGAAACAGTGGCCGGGTTTCATTTCGTTGCGTTCGTTCTCCTGGCTACCCTCTACCCTCTTTCGCTTGCTTTGTTTTTTGGTGCAACTTCTTTTCGTTTCTCCTGTCTACCTTGGCTGCTCTTGAACTTCGAAAGGTAGATGTGGACGAACCCTCTTCTCAGTGTATGTATAGCCTCGCTTCCTCTCCTCAAAGTCGTTTCGTGTCTGTTTCTCTTTCCTTCTGGCTTTGATTTCCTTTTTGGACAATCAAAGAGAAGTTTGCGTGTGTGCGTCGGCGCATTGGTTTTTCTTGGTTATTTATTGGGGGCGGGTTGATGAAATAGGGAAGAAAAACGAGAGATGATGGGATGCAAATGTGTCTTTCTCTATATCTTTTGGTCCTCGGTACCATTTGATGAGAGCATTTTTCTTCTTTGGCAATACAGAGATGTTCGGATGCGCACTCACCTATATATACCTCTCTATATCCTTTTGTCTATTAATACATGTATTTTATGTCTAGACCTTGATCTTGAAATGAGTTTGTTTGGTTCACTTTTGACAGATCCATGACAGGAGAAGGAAGGCAATTTTAACTCCAAGTTCAACTCCTCCATGAATATGATATCATATACTAAACCCTTTGTGATAGAGACCGAGCAATGGGCCAAGATTTTCGATGCCAAGTTCCTAGATCAGAAAGAAATAGCTCCTTTTTGGTTCTCTCTTTTGATTCAGTTCTCTCTCATCTATCATTGTTCCCAAAAGACACCCTTTTGTCCCCCCCGAATGTAAAAGCAATCCCCCTTCCACCAACTCCTAAGCTCAAGCAACCCAAAACGTGTGAGTGACAAAGACAAACAGTTGAAACGGGAACACAAGTAATGGTAAACCAAAAAGAAAGCCAGTACATGACGTTATCATGTATAATGCCGAGGGTATATATAGTAAGGAGGGAGAAATGAGGGTGTACGCCTTCCAAAATGATCGCTTAAGTATACATCAATATTCAAATGCCTAGGAATGAAAACCGAGAACGCCAGTGCTAGAGTACTGTGAGAAGAAATAAAGGATGAAACAGAGTTCTAGCTCCTCCCCATCATTCCCTCTTTTCTCCCCACCTTCTCTCCCTCTCTCACCGAGAGAGAGATAGGTGAAAGAAGGGGGTGTGGGTGGGGAGGATAAGAACTAGCAAAAAAAAAAGAAAAATAAAAAAGAATCCTGCATAGTAAATAATAATACTAGGAGAGAACAGAAGATATTCAAAAGGGATAAAAGTGTCCCCAAGGGTAGCGACAGAAGTACATAGAATGCTTTTCCGCCGATCGATGGCATCCAACCCTGGCTGGCCTGGCCAATATATATAAACATACTTTTGAACAAAAACATGAACATATATAAAAGCCTCACGGGCAACGACGGCTCCCGACCTAAGAAGAAAAGCGCCGCCCCTGCCCTTTGTCTGCCGTTGCCAAAAACTAGATTAAAGCCGTCGATGGGCGGAGTCACGGTTATATACCTTCCTCGCCCGCCTTGCAGACTTTTATTTCTCGACCCCATTCCGACTTGAGGACCTGCGACGCGGCAAGTCGTCTCTTAGGGTTTGGATCTAGGATCGAGTAGATGACGTTTCGACAGCGAGCCTAATCACATTCTGTGTTAGCCTCTCCGCAGTCAACTTGACCTGATGGAAACAAGAAAGGAAAGGCATTTAAAACAAACATACCCTATGAAGAGATTCAATCGGCTGGTATCCCTCCTCATCCCGGCGACCTTCAAGATATCGGGCATAAAATTCGTCCTCGTCCTTCTTCGCCACATGCCAAAGGTGTCGTCCAGTTCTCATGGCCATGTAGATCACACCGCATGCCCAAACATCGACAGCGCGGGGGTCGAACTCCTTATCTGTGTATTCCTCAGGTGCGATGTAAGGCGCAGAGCCGCAGAGACCCGAAACCATGTGAGCATCCGTTTCCCACGCCATTCGGAAGCATTCGCCGTTCCCGAAATCCGTAATTTTGAGGGCGCCGTGGGTTGTGAGAAGAAGGTTCTCGGGTTTGAGGTCTCGGTGAGCCACGCCCATCTCATGGAGGTAGTTCACGCCGCGCATCAACTGTTTGAAAAAGCAATCTGCTTCCTGGGCCTCGAGCTTCACGGCCGAGACAACGAGGGAGTGTAGGTCACCACCGGCGCAAAACTCCATCACCTCGCAATAATCACCCTTCGCGTCCTTGAGCAAGTCGAGGGTGTGAATGACGTTGGGGTGGCGGAGAGACGAGGAGATGCAGAACTCGGATGTCAACCTCTTATTGTACTTCCGTTCGGATTCCTCGGGCCGTCGGCGGAACTCCTTGACTGCGAACAGCTTCTCGCCCGCGCCGTTCTCGAGTTTCTTGTGCGAAATACGCACCACACCGAAAGCGCCGCGTCCGATGATCTCTTGGCATTTGCCGTATTTTTCTAACAGCGTCTGCGTCGTGTGGGGGTTGAGCTTCTTCTCAGGTGCAACGGCGCCGGGTACTATGTCCTTGCCGTCTTGATATGTGTCCATCCACGTGGTGACCAGCGAGAGTTCGCTCTCCGGCTTCTTGCCGATCAAACTTCTCCAGAGGTCGGACAGCTTCTCCTGTCTTCTACTATTTTTCAGGTAGTGCTCGTGTCCGCCTGGAGCGTCAGGGACTATCGTAAAGCGTTGAGGGGGTTCTTTGGGTTTTGGGCTCGGGCGATACGCTGGTGTCGAGCCGGCTGCGGACGCGGCGGAGGAGGCAGGTACCGCTGGAGTGGGGGCCCTTTCGTTGAGCGTCGGTTTACGGGTCGGGCCAGAGGCGGGAGTGGAGACTCCACTAGGGTTTTTAGAAGTGGAAGCCGAGCTATGTGTTGTCATGAACATGCGCGTTATCCTGTCCTTCACCGAGGGGGTCTTCTCGAGAGGCTTGTTATCAACTCCGGGAGACGGGGCTGGAGAGATGCCGTTAACAGGCTTGCCGTTCGGTGCGGCTACAAGAGTAGTCGCCTTGGAAGTGATTGATTCTTGTTGTGAGGAGGCGGACTTGACCGATGACGGTTTAGAGCTTGTCCTCGACGAGGGCTGTGACGGTTCTTTCGCCATGGTGGGCAAGATGGCGATAGAAAGGGAAAAGAGAAAAATAAAAAATAAAAAAAAATAAAAATAAAAATAAAAATAAAAAGAAATCGATAAAAGCGGTACGGGGTATTAAAGTCACAACGTGCGCTTCAAGGGCTGCCCTGCAGGTCTTCTCGCCTCGGGGTTTCTTTTTTCTTTGCTTGCTCGCCGAGTGTCGAGCTGCGATAAAAGGAGCCTAATGTTCCTTGCCTGAGGAAGAAGGGTATCTTTCGTTCTCTTCGCGAGCCTTGTCCCTGATGACTTTTTTCCTCCTTTCCGTCGATTCGCCTTTTTGTCTTCTTTTTTTTCTTCTTTCTTTCCTGAGCGCGGGCAGAGTCCGCAATAAGACACAAGGAGAAGAAGAGGTATTAATTAAAAATTATGGCGGAAATTAGAGATGGAGAAGGGGAAAAAAAGGAAGCGCGGTGTCGTTCAGTAGAATCGAAGTTGGCAGTTGGATCAAATGTGAGATCAGGAACGTGGGTGGCGGCAGTATCGATAGCTTCGGCGTCGACTGCAGCGAAACCCGGAATCACAGGTCTGATTTGATGTAGGGATGATGTATGATGTAAAGGGCGCTTGGGGCGTCGAGCGAGGTTGCGTGTAAGTGAGGCGAGGAGGGGGTTGTACCTGACGAACTTCTTGGCAAAGTACTCCGTAAGGGTATCGAACCCTCCGGATGACGAAGTCAAATTCCGAGAAGGGGCTAAAAAAAGAAAAAGAGAAAAAAAGAAGAATCAGAAAAAAAAAAAAGGTCGAGGATGGTCTTGGCGCAGCACCTTCTTGTAAGCGTCAAGAAAGTGGAGAGAGAAGCCGAGTGGCAAGATTTGGTTGTGGCGGAGGGAATTTGAGTGCAAAATTGAACTGTGAGAAGGGCTAGGAACAATGAGGGTGATGGTGACTAATGCCGTGTTATTGGTGCTGGCGTTGGTGCTGGCGTTGGTGCTGGCGTTGGCGTTGCTATTGCTGCTGCGGTTGACAATAGAAAGCGTGACTAGAGGATATGACAACAGTCTGTCTTCATTGAGAGTTCGATGTTGGTTTGCAGAATTGCGGAGACGAGCTGAGAGATATAGTGGTAGAGTGGTGGACTCGATGCCTGATGCCTCGCAAGAAGGAAAAGATGGCGCGAGTTGTTAAACGAAAAGAGGACGGGTGAGTGATCCTCGTGACTTTTGGTGATGCTTGGTTAAGTCGCACGCCTGGCTTCTTGTTGGCTGCTGGCGTGAAATGCAGGAAATTCGATGCAAGTGCCCAGAGGATGAGGTACTGGAGCAGTGAGACACCGTCGACCAGGCTCTGGTGGAGGGACGGGATTGGTTCGCACAAGGAGTGGTTTCCGCCGAGCAAAAGCCGCTAATATATGTGGCAACCGCCAAACGGAGGGTAGAGACGATATCGTCCGTCGGTCGCCTGAGAACCGGTAATTATGGGCCGGAGGTCAATGAGCTGTTGGGTCCTTGAAGTACGGAGTAACACAGGGTCTGGGAGGACGAGGAACAGGTTGCAGGGAGGACAAAAATGCCAACCAAGCCCGATGAATAAACACACAAGGCAGGGAAATCGCGGCGGCGGGCGGCTGTAAGCGAATCGACACGATGCGCGCAAGTAGTCCCAAGAAAACTAGCCGACACTCTCGAATAGGCCGTAGTTATTCGGACTGGCTCAATGATTCTCAGGAGTCAAGCGTAAACGCAGATTTAGTAGGTCTCGTGTAGGGTGGATGGAGACGGGCTCGGGTTTGGGTTTGAGTTGGGTGGGCGATTAAGCACAGTGCTGACAGGTCAGCAAAAGCAGCTGTCAAAGAACGGGAAAGGCGATGTGTGACGATAAGCTCGCGGATAAGACCATGATGGAAAGAAGAAGGTTCGAAGGGTGGACTCAAGGGAACAGCTGAGGAGAAGAGAGAGGGAGGAGAAGGGAGGAGAGAGCAAGGAGGGAAAATAAGAGGGATTTAGATCGGTGATTGTGTGTTGTGTCTTAAGGCGGTGGTCAAATATCAATCCAGCTTAGAAGCGTGGAGTACGGAGACAAAAGTGGACGGAGAAGGGATCAGATGGGGACAAGAGCGGAGGGAAGGGCGGAGAAAAGACCAATTGATCAATGATATCGTGATGTGGTGGTGTAAGCCAACGCGTAGGTGTAGCTGTAGCTGTAGCTGTAGGTAGGGTCTGGAGTTGCAGATGCCAGCTCGCTCCGAGATGTCTTCACGGTGGGTGCGGCAGTGAAAACTTGAATGTTGTGGACAAGTGGAATCAAGAGTAAATGGTAATGGAGTAAATGTAGTCTGTGTAGGGAGTACGAAGTAGGCGTACGAAGTGGTGGGAGCAGCACTGGACGTAGCGCAGTTACGTCGTTTGTTGTCGGGTGAGGGTGGCCGGAGCACGAAGTTTAAATGAGAACGGGGAACGAGGGGGGGCAGAACTGGTGCGGTTTTAGAAGACGACTCGGGGCGCAGCGTGAACCTTGGGCTTATAATGTTGTAGGAATTTGGGAAATAAGCACTGGAAAGTGTGTACTTTTTCAGGAGAATTTTACGGCGCTGATGATTGGTAGCTTCACTAGTCCAAGTCTCCATTACTTCGTGCAAGTACACTACTTGGTACTTCGCAATGAGCGGTGGCTTCGAAATGTTAATTTGGCCTGGCCAAAGGCGGCAAAGGCAGGTCTGACCTAGAGAAGCACGGGGGATTGGGAAGGGGAGCCTGGATTCGGGGTGGGAGAACAAGACCAGACTGGGAGAGTGCCAGCGCACAGTAAAAGCAGGAAGCAATGGTGAAGTGGATCCTTCGAATAGCCGTTGTTAGATGAGTACGCCGGTAAAGAGCCCATGACGGTTCCTCTAATGTTGCTTCTACACCTAAGTCCGGTCATGGGGGCTAGCCGAAAGGATGAATCCACTACCAGATCACGGGGGGGGAAGGCGGGACACTGCTACCGAGAAGTACGAGACAATCCACGTACAGGTCTGACAGTGACAACTTTGGAAACTAGTCCAGCCTACTGAGGTAGCTTGAACAGTGTAATGTTAGTCAATTGCACTGCTCAAACGATTTTGGTGGATATGGGATATTGCCGACAACACGAAGCCCAAAAAAAAAACCAGCAGATTGATGCTGCTCATTTCGATGGTGCACATGCAGGTTTTGACCCTGCACATGTGGTCTAGCGTATATCTATCGATTTGCCCTAATGCCAGGCAGTCCTGCGCAGCACGTCGTACTTCGTAGTGGAATTACCTGTGCTGCCAGCCAACACTACGCTACTTCGCATTTCCTAGTTCCTACAAAGGAGCATGGGTTGCAGAAACCAGGCTGTAATACATGGAGCGTCGATGATGTGGATCAAATGCTTCGAGGTGCCCTAATGCTAATGTGCCAGAATCAAGTTCTTGGACTGTTGGATACGCACATGCCGCTCCATTTGATGCATTTGCACTTGCAGACGAGGCCAGTTCGCTGTTGCATGTAGCCTCGAAATCCCTCTTCTGGCTCTGCAAATTCAGGTTTGCATCTTACTTCGTACTATGAGTACGCCTTTGGGACTGTCGCTCTCCCTCTCGTGCACATCCTCCTTTCTCCCTCCCTCTGTTGATCTCCTCTTCTCCATCCACGTCTTGTCGCCTGTGCATGCAGGTGGTGTACGTACGACTGGAGATGGAGATGAGGGGACATTGAAGGGTGTCTCCATAAAAGGTCGGGCCCATCTACACGCCCCAAGCTGCGGTTGCCCACCCGGGAACGTGTCTTAAAGCTTCTCGTCACTGACAGCATATGCATGCAGAATACAAGTACTACACACTACATACATGGATGTATGAACTCAGGCACTACGAGGTTGTTTCGCCATACTTCGTAAGAGATCAAATGCCTGGATGCACGAAGAAGTACTTGTAACTTCGTACTTCGCAAAAGAGGCAAGACCGGGGGAGAAAACATACCACCGGGTGAGGGTCTCGGCATGCTGAGGTACACTCGTAGATGCACATTTTGGGGGAAGGAAACGACCACAATGGATGGGTTCTTCCCAACATCGGCTCTCTTTTCCAAGTAGTGGCGAAAGTATGCGATAAAATGGACAGGAATCAAATCGTGAACCCGAATTTCGGGGTCACGCTCGGCCGGTTACACACGGAGCTCACTTCATCAATTTTTTTTTTTTTCCTTGAAATTTTTCTTCAGATTTTTTTTTTCTCTAACGAACCTCTAGCTTACTTTATCGAGCGGCATTATTGTCATCCCGACCACATGCGATGCGATGCAATACACATCGCACAGTACGGATTGGTTAGGAGTCGCACGCTATACATCTCATCTCGCAGCATCCTCAATTCGACGGTTCCCTTTGACACCGACTATTACGAGTCTAGATTTGTGTCTTGTGTGTGCGTTTTCTATGGACACGAGGGGGAAGGGAATACTCGTACCAGAACTCGCTTCCTGATAACCGTCGAATTTCCGTTTGTGCGAGACCATCCACATCTGACGAAGTTGGTCTCGGGGAGTCTGCGCTGCATGCGATTGTATGGATGAAGCACGAAGTATTGAGAGAGCCTCCATCCCAGAATTTGTCCCTTGTCAACGGCCGGACCCAGGCGAGAGACATGACCAGCCAGCCCTTGCTTGGCAACCCTACTTGTTTCCAATTTTGATCATTGAATCTTTCCGATCTACACTTGGCCCCGGCACCCTGCGTTCTTGGCGGGTCCGAGTCCAACGACATCAGACATGGGTTGTTGAGATCAAGTTTATACGGAGCAATTAGTTGTGTTACGATCTCGTTCAAAGTCAACCACGTTCCCATTCTTCCTTTCTTTTTTCTTTATGTTTTTCTTTTCCCGCCCCGAATTGTTATGCTAGCGGGCATCCCCTGTCCACGATCATATTTTAAGTTGTGCACGGTGTTCTCCGGTTAGGATCTGAAATGCTTGCTCTATGTCTCATGCATACATGTAGTGTCTGGTGTAGCATTCCCGTCTTATTCCT